TCCGGGCGAAGAAATGGCCATACCGTCGGGGGAAAAACGGAGACCAAGAAACCCCGCTTGTGTCTCACAAAGAAAACTAGATTTTCCCCCGACCTGCATCTCATTTCTTAGCCCTAAGCGGGGGTCTAGTGGTCCGGGCGAAGAAATGGCCATACCGTCGGGGGAAAAACGGAGACCAAGAAACCCCACCTGTGCCTCACAAAGAAAACAAGTTTTGCCCCCAACCTGCATCTCATTTCTTCGCCCTAAGCGGGGGTCTAGTGGTCCGGGCGAAGAAATGGCCATACCATCGGGGAAAAAACGGAGACCAAGAAACCCCGCTTGTGTCTCACAAAGAAAACAAGTTTTGCCCCCGACCTGAATCTCATTTCTTAGCCCTAAGCGGAAGTCTAGTGGTCCGGGCGAAGAAATGGCCATACCCTCGGGGGAAAAACGGAGACCAAGAAGCCCCGCTTGTGTCTCACAAAGAAAGCAAGTTTTTCCCCCGACCTGCATCTCATTTCTTCGCCCTCAGCGGGGGTCTAGTGGTCCGGACGAAGAAATGGCCATACCCTCGGGGGAAAAACGGAGACCAAGAAACCCCGCTTGCGTATCACAAAGAAAACAAGTTTTTCGCCCGACCTGCATCTCATTTCTTAGCCCTCAGCGGGGGTCTAGTGGTCCGGGCGAAGAAATGGCCATACCCTCGGGGGAAAAACGGAGACCAAGAAACCCCGCTTGTGTCTCAGAAAGAAAACAAGTTTTTCCCCGGCCTAAATCTCATTTCTTCGCCCTACGCGGGGGTCTACTGGTCCAGGCTAAGAAATGACCATACCCTCGGGGGAAAAACGAAGACCAAGAAACCCCGCTTGTGTCTCACAAAGAAAACAAGTTTTTCCCCCGATCTGATTCTCATTTCTTAGCCCTAAGCGGGGGTCCTGTTCTTTTGCGCCAGGAGGAGGGGTTCATCTGTTGCCCTGACCACGGTATTGCGATTTCCTAGCCGTAGGCCCTGCGGCCTAAGAAATGGGTAAGAAACGCGACAGCCCTCGGGGGGAAAACACTACTTGGCCGCCCCCTGTTTGGCAAATAAGTGTGATCTATCTTTTTCCCCGACGGCGTTGCGATTTCTTAGCCGTCGCATCTGCGGACTAAGACATCGCTAAGAAATGAGAATGCAGTTGGGGCATGAAGAACACTACTTGCTCGCTCCTTCTTGGGCAAGCAAGTGCGATCTATCTTTTTCTTATGCTGAAACGAGAAGTTTCTAACATCATTCTTGACAAAGTCAAAAACATGACTTGTTATAAATCTATTCAAGCGTTTTTTTGCAAAAAACCGTTACCAAATTTTTTTAGGATGACCGAAGATATTTGGCTGGATTTAGACACGACGGCATTTAAGGGAATCGCATCAGGGTTGGTCTTCGTGGGTGTGGGTGTGAATGAACCATATTCAGCTAAAATGGATCTTCTTCCCGACGTTCTTGCTTTACCTCGATATCCATGTAGCTATAGCGCGCTTGAGTCTTTATCTATAATTTCGCAACTAAACGCTCTCTGACGTCCCAGAAGACCCTGCAATTCATCTGAAGAAGGTCGCTTCGACATTAACAGCACATCCGCCTCATCGTCATCATTACACTTGCTCCTGGTTCTTGAAAAACCGTCACACCATCAAAAAACACGTGCTAGCACTCCGCTGCGCGCAGGCATTCATCGTTTCGACAGAAAAGTAAAGACTATACAACTGAAATCAAAATTTGGAGTCTCCCGTTCGATGTCGTGTTGTTACTTATTTCTATTGCGACGATGGGAACAGTGTTGACGTCAACTGATGTTCTTGGCCGCCGCGTGGTGCGCACACAGTACCCAGCGACTTCGAGGACACCGGCCCCGATGGCGGGTGGTCGACAAGTGGTCTACTAGATCATTTTCATTTCAAGTACAGCTTCTGAGTGTAGTAAAAAATACGAAGTCTCCTGCTGATTCCACGACACAGGCTTGCAGTTATTTTCTGCTTTCACACTTCTCAAGTCACCAGTTCGTACCCGTCATCATCAACAGCTTTGTAACGATTAGAAGCTTTCTTTGACGACCACGATGGAAACAGAGATAAAAAGCCGAACCGGTTCCATATACTCCAACTTGCTCCTTCCTCCCCAACATCTAAATTCCGCTGCTCGTTTTTCCAATCGTTCATTTTTTGGTGGGATCGCCGCGCGAACCAGGAAGATCCGACGCCGGCGAACCCGACCATTCCCAACGCGATCAGCACCAGTCCGAACTTGTGCTTCTGCTGTCGCTCGAACGACGCCGGCTGGAAATCGCGCATCGGATTGGACAGGTTTTCCCCGTACTTGGCTTTGAACCGGAGCAGCGGTGATCGCTCGTGCAGGGGTTTTTTCAAGCTGTCTATCCAAGAAAAAAAAAACTGTATCCGTGACAAATGGCCAGGAGCAGCTTTGGTTGAACCAAAGATGCTCCTGGCCAAAACAAAACACGGCCTAACTACTTGCCTTCCCCTCGAGGGGCTGCGGCACCCCTGCCACTCGGGCCTCAGGGGAGAAGGCGCGCAGTCCGCTCGTGTTTGAAAGTATGGCTTTGCAGCGAATTTGTCATGCGCAAGACCAATAAACAACCAAAGCTGCTCCTGGCCAAACCGAAACACGACCTAACTACTTGCCTTCCCCAGGAGGAGCTGCGGCAGCCCTGCCGCTCGGGCCTCGGGGGGAAGGCGCGTAGTCCGGTCGTGTTTAAAAGTGAGGTCTTCAGTCAAATTTGTCATGCGCAAGACCAGTAGACAACCAAAACCACACATGGGCAAAACGAAACACGAGCTAACTGCTTGCCTTCCCCAGGAGGAGCTGCGGCACCCCTGCTACTCGGGCCTCGGGGGGAAGGCACGTAGTCCGCTCGTGTTTGGAAGTATGGTCTTGCAGCGAATTTGTCATGCGCAAGACCAATAGACAACCAAAGCCGCTCTTGGCCAAAACGAAACACGACCTAACTACTTGCCTTCCCCCCGAGGGGCTGCGGCACCCCTGCCACTCGGGCCTCGGGGGGAAGGCGCGTATTCCGCTCGTGTTTGGAAGTATGACCCTGCAGCGAATTTGTCATGCGCAAGACCAATAGATAACCAAAGCTGCTCCTGGCCAAAACAAAACACGACCTAACTACTTGCCTTCCCCTCGAGGGCCTGTGGCACCCCTGCCACTCGGGCCTCGAGGGGAAGGCGCGTATTCCGCTCGTGTTTGGAAGTATGATCTTGCAGAGAATTTGTCATGCGCAAGACCAATAGACACAATAGACAACCAAAGCCACTCACGGTCAAAACGAAACACGACCTAACTACTTGCCTTCCCCAGGAGGAGCTGCGGCACCCCTGCTACTCGGGCCTCGGGGGGAAGGCGCGTAGTCCGCTCGTGTTTGAAAGTAAGGTCTTCAGTCAACTTTGTCATGCGCAAGACCAGTAGACAACCAAAACCACACATGGGCAAAACGAAACACGAGCTAACTACTTGCCTTCCCCAGGAGGAGCTGCGGCACCCCTGCTACTCGGGCCTCGGGGGGAAGGCGCGTAGTCCGCTCGTGTTTGAAAGTAAGGTCTTCAGTCAACTTTGTCATGCGCAAGACCAGTAGACAACCAAAACCACACATGGGCAAAACGAAACACGAGCTAACTGCTTGCCTTCCCCAGGAGGAGCTGCGGCACCCCTGCTACTCGGGCCTCGGGGGGAAGGCACGTAGTCCGCTCGTGTTTGGAAGTATGGTCTTGCAGCGAATTTGTCATGCGCAAGACCAATAGACAACCAAAGCCGCTCTTGGCCAAAACGAAACACGACCTAACTACTTGCCTTCCCCCCGAGGGGCTGCGGCACCCCTGCCACTCGGGCCTCGGGGGGAAGGCGCGTATTCCGCTCGTGTTTGGAAGTATGACCCTGCAGCGAATTTGTCATGCGATAGACCAATAGATAACCAAAGCTGCTCCTGGCCAAAACAAAGCACGACCTAAGTACTTGCCTTCCCCTCGAGGGCCTGTGGCACCCCTGCCACTCGGGCCTCGAGGGGAAGGCGCGCACTCCGCTCGTGTTTGAAAGTATGATCTTGCAGAGAATTTGTCATGCGCAAGACCAATAGACAACCAAAGCCACTCACGGGCAAAACGAAACACGACCTAACTACTTGCCTTCCCCAGGAGGAGCTGCGGCACCCCTGCTACTCGGGCCTCGGAGGGAAGGCGCGTAGTCCGCTCGTGTTTGAAAGTAAGGTCTTCAATCAAATTGGTCATGCGCAAGACCAATAAACAACCAAAGCCACTCATGGGCAAAACGAAACACGACCTAACTACTTGCCTTCCCCAGGAGGAGCTACTACTCCTGCCGCCCGGGCCTCGGGGGGGAAGGCGCGTACTTCGCTCGTGTTTAAAAGTATGGTCTTCAGTCAAATTTGGGGGGAAGGCGCCTAGTTCGCTCGCGTTTTTCAAGAAAAAAAACTGTATCCGTAGCAGTGCATGACAGGATTTCTCTGTAGTGTAGGTGTGCTGGGGTGACAGCATGACAAATTTGCTCTGCATTACAGAGAAATGCTGTCATGCACTTGCACTGGTAGTAGGAGAACATACGTATGAAAAAGAAAAGAGGACGCCGTGGCTGGCAAGGGCCAGCATGACAACTGTATGAACTGTTTTGCATTTTCTGCATCACAGACTTACACTTACACGACACTTTTTTTCTTGCATACTGTCCCGTGCTTGTTGATCAGCAGTCAAACGGTTGAAGTCGTGACTCTTGTGTATCGTATTTAAAAACGTCCCCACCCCATAGCTGTAATGCAAATCTGCATGCTGAAAATGTTTCTCATGCGGAGCCCCATGAGAAGCATTCTCTAGTCGTGTTTTGGAATTTGCCATGCTCCAATCAGCGCGATATACTAGATCTGTGATGCTGCTGTACTACCTCAAACAGCACTACACTACGAGGCCAAATTTGTCATGCAAAACATCCAAAGCTTGTGGATTTGTCTAGCCGATTCCCCATCTTGACTATGGTGTGGGGACGTTTTTACATAGGATATTGTGGTCCTGGAATTTATCTCTGTCCGTCGCGAGTCTCCTCCTTTTTGCGCTTTTCAGTTGCAGCTCCATCTCGTCTTTCGTCAGATGCCACCCGGACAAACGGCTGTTCCCGTCTTTCAGCTTGCTCCATTCCTTTCCGATATCCTCGAAGTAATCCAAAAATCGATTGTATGCGAAGGAAAAACTGTTACAGTTACACATTGTGTCGCAAGACCGGCAACACAGATAAGCTTTCTCATGCAGGAAATGCTTGGGAGCCTCGTTTCCTTCCTGTTTTTCCTTATGATCTTCGCGTTACAAGTTTTCCCTGCCACACAGAGAAAATTTGTGACGCTGAAACTCCAACAAGTGTGTAACTGTAACACTTTTTTCTCGTGATAGATTGTAGCTGGTTGTGAACAAACTTCCAGCACTAGCGGAGATGTGTTTGAAGTCGACAGTTTTATTTCTCGAGGAGAGAAATCCGCTTGTTCCCCTTCCATCCCCACGCGTTGATATAGTGCTTGTTGAAAATAAAGACAAGGCACTGTAGTTGCTCTTGCACCGCGCAAGCGAGGTTAATACCGCCTTGCGTTTACTGGCAATCGCGGAAGTCGTTCGTTTTTTTGCCGACAGGAGTGATTTGACGAACACTTCCTCGTAGACGCGTTTGGGTATGTCCTCGGGCTTGCTGCGCTCTGGGTAGATCTCCTGAGAAAAAAGTGTTACAGCTATGCACTCTGATGGAAGACAAGCAAGACAGACGACCTCTGTCATGCAGGAAATGCTGGCCAGCCTCATTTCATTCGTGTTTTCCCTTATAGTCTGCGCATCACAGGTCTTCTTTGCCATGTCGAGCAACTTTGTGATCCAGAAACTCGAACAAGTGTGTAACTGTAACACTTTTTTCGTTGGATAGTAGAGTCTCTCTCTCCAATGGATGGCTTTTTTCTTCGCCCACGCCTCGAGGTGCGGAAAGGAGCTGCTCATTGTGGAAAGTTCATCTTCTTAGTTTCGGTCGCAATAGAAGTGGTCTAACTATTTTGTATAGCGCAAAAAAATCGCTGAACTTGTCGTTGACCTAAACCGACTGCGGGTGGGCAAATAAAAGACGAATAGAGAAGGTAGTTTCTCGCTCCTCGTTCTGGATTGGAATAATTACCGAACCGCGAACAGAACCTGCCCCAATCCGCCACTGGTGGTCCCGACAAACATGTCGAATTAGCCCACTGGTGGCCCCGACCAACATGTCGAAGGAGCTTTCTCGAATTTAGATTTTTTTCGTCAGAATAAGACCACATCAAAGCTTTTGTTGCCAGGTTTGTAGAGAAATTTGGTCAATTGCAGCACAGGGATACTGAAGTAGTTCACACAACTGTTGTATTCAAAAGCATGCTAGAGTAAGTAGCATCTTCGTTTCCAAACACGCTATTAGTTTTAGTTGCCGAGTTAAGACAACTCATGGCACTGCTTGTTGTGTATAGATCAAATAAAAAAGACCAACTCCTGCAGTTTGGCCTGCGAAGTTGCGCGAATTTAAGAATCGCAAACTTGCAATTTAGTGCAATTTAGGGTGCAGCAAAACATGAATAAGAGTCATCATCCTTTGATTTTGGCTCGTAACTGGCCCGAGTAGTAGCTAAGAGAAAGTCACAACAAGCTTCGTCCAAGTTCTCGCACTCGGTTGTACTGCTCGTTCTTGTAAACTTACAAGTTTTTTGAGCTTGTTCTTTCTTGAGCTATGTACGCCCTCCAACCGTCATAGACAGCCGCTTTTACCAAAACCTTTGTCTGCTTTCACCTTCTCAACCATTTTTTTCTCTGCCTCTACTCCATATTCGTCGGCGGTAAGTAGTTTTCTCCTGCTCAATATCAAGGCCGTGCGTGAATAAAGATTGTTCGACGACAGCTTGATAAGTAATTGGTCTATTCTTGCACCCTAAATTTTTTGCCACTGAGCTTTTCTTGTTCATTATATATGCGTCTAGAAGTAAGAGCATAGAAAATGAAAATTGCTCAGTCGGAGTCGCAGGCCTACATTATTTTTCTCATCTGCCAACTAACTCAATAGCTGCTATCATGTTCTTGCACTTATCCTTGGCCCGTTCATCGCGTGATAGCTGCTATGTTGCTTGAGTCCTTTCTTGCTGAATCTAAAATTTCTCCTGAACAAGCAGACGTGGTTCTATACTTCGATGTGTGCTCTTCTGAGTCCAAACTTTTTTTTCGTTTTGCATAACAGTAGAACCTCTCACATTTAGAAGAACCTTGCTCGTTCTTTGTTGCTAGCCCCTTAGTTAGAAAAAGATGAATAAAGAAGTCGCTTTTGTAGTAAGTACCCAAAATTGAAATAGTGGTGGTTTGTTCTTCCGAAAGAACCTGTTGTAGCTAATAATCTGCAAGTTTGCCTTATGTTCGCTTGAGCAGCCACGAGTTGTATACTGCTGCGTCGCGGCCCTCATCTTACGCTAAAAACTGAGAGCTTGAGTTGATCTAGACAACTCTGGGGATGAACAAGGGAAATAAAGTAGAGTAAACGCTACTGAAAAACTCCGTCCCAGGTCGTCGGAGCAAAAAATCCGGAAAAAAAACAACGTTTCTAGTACCGCTAAAAAGTAGAGCGCTCTTCGGCCCTCGCCGCTTGGCCTTCGCGTCTCAACAAGTAGCGGCGCTGTCTGTGCTGTTGCTTTGTCTTCACGGATTTATCACTCCATAGTTGTTGTCCCAGGTACTAAAAGCGAAGTGAAAAACTGAGGAGCTTGTAAGACCTATCGAGGAGCTGTAGCAGTGGCGATACTATCGTGAAGGTCGAGAATGAATCTCGACTGTTTTGCTTTTTGTTTGTTTTAGTCGCAAAGCAACTCTAGTTGTACTCCCGTAATGTCAAAGGCTGTAAAAGAGTTTCGATTATCTTCGAGGCAAGCAGCTATTTCGTCTTAACAGATTTATTTAAGAATGAATGAGAAGCGATTTTTGTGAAATTTTTTTGACATGCGAGTTTTCGCTTCTGTTGCATTAACATTTACTCACAAAAAATCTGAACCTCCCGGTTCTGGCGTCTCTTTTCATCTTCGCCGGGTGAAATTTATTGTTGTTGCAGCCTCGAATATGTTTTAGTTGTGTGAAAACAAGAATAGAAATATAGACTCAGAAACCTTTAGCTGTATTGGAAGTCAAAATCTATCTACGAGGAAACTCTATTCGATTTGTAACTGACTCGGTATTCTATGAAGAAACATGATAAAGTGCTTTTTGTTCTTGAACCCAAATATTCCTATGGTAATATGTTGTATAGCTTTTCTGTATGGAGGCATCTTCCTTCTGATGTGCCGCCTTTCTTGTGTCGAAGCAGTTTTTCTACTGTAGCAAGTTGATAAGATCGACTCCTCTTCGTGGTTTTGTTCCCGAACAAATTACCACCACAACAAGTCCTCGCTGTTATCATAGATTGTTGCAAATAAACAAAACTGCGTCACAAAAAAAAACCTTGTCCGTTTCCCCGCCCGCAGGGAGCAAACTGGCTTTGCGACCGGGCTTCGACAATGGACAAAAAAGGTTCTTTCTGCTGCGCTTTTCCATCACAGACTTACAAAACCTGAGACAACAACGAGCAGTGTGGCGATGGTATAGTTTCCTCTTTGGCACAGCAACACCACTCAACTCTATTTTCCATTCGACGGGAAAAAACTTCTATCTGCCCCTAAAAACAGGCTATCAACGGCTTTTAAGCTTCGTGCTCGCGGCAACTCAAAACCTTTGTGGTTCTAAATGAGCACGCTCGGAAAAAGTTTGGAATGAATTTGGATCAATGTATCTAGTTTCTACCATATCTATGATGATCCACCCGCCTATGGATTTTATTAGTAGTAGTAAAAAGGAGAAGCAAAGATGCGTATACAAGAATACTTCTCCCCTTGTCTAGTTGTTCAACTGTCACGGCATAACAAAATACCGCTGCCACGTCAGTCTTTTTGTGCTCTGTATCATGTTTCCCCACATAGTTTTTTTGTACTTACTGCTTTCGTGAGAGTTTCTGAAGTGCTAAATTTTTGTTCATTATCTCCGCAAAATCTGCGAAAGCTTTTGCCCATCATCCCCTTCGAACGGAGAAGATGAGAAAAAGCTCTCCGGTGGTGTTTAAGTAGAGGAGATAAAAGGCTGCATTATTGTTTGGCTCTGTCGTGTGACATCAGATTGGAAGTGCTGTTTTTTTTTTAGATCTGGTACTAAAAGAATAGAAAATCATTCGTAAAGCCATCATTCGTGTAGTGCTGTCGTTGGTGAGATTGTCCTGTATGTAGCTTCAATGGGAGATAAAATCAGGAAAAAGTCGATAAAAACATCTTCAGGGTAGGCAATTAATAGATTGTCTAGCTCATTTGACTTCTTGTTCTGGCAGGTATCGGTAGAGACGAGCTCAATTATCCCGTAGCAAACTTATTCCGCCATAGCATAGTCTGGCGCCGCATCGTATTTTTTTTTGTACTTGAGACTTCACTATGCCGCTTTGACAGGAGCCAGTCCGGCGTCGGAAAATAAGTTCTTGATACAAGAAAATAAACTCAGCCCGTTTAAGGTCTTGTCTAATCTAGGAAAAAAAGTGAAAATCTTTTCGATAAATTAAAGTATAGATCTTCCCGGGAGTATATTCTTGTTCGATTCCAGATATTTAAAAAGAACTACATCAACGAAAAATCACTTCAATATTCGATGTCTGAACTTCCTCTAGCCATAATTTCTCAGCCTGTCGCTTTACCCTGGCGCTGCAGTTCTATTCTGGCATAATTCTGACACTTCGCTGGCCTTATCGGACGAAACGAAAGCCATTACAAACTACTACACTATGGCTTTATCTCTTCCTTAACTCTACTTTGGCCCCCTGCTTCTACTGGTGTGGTTTATTGTGTCTTGATCTTTTCACACACGATCAATTTACCGCAGGCAGCCAAAGGGAAGATTTTTGCAGCGAGTTGCATCATCGCTGAAATGTAAAAACGAAAAAAACGATCTTCAAATACAACCGTACAAACATTCCTCATTTTCGATAACTCTCTTTGCTATTAAGTCATAATCTTCCATAATGTCATAATGGCTCCATACTCGTCTAGGAAGCATGGCAGAAACGCCAAGTCAACTACATACCGTCTGCGACGACGTAACTGCGGTCGTTTTGTTACACGTTGACTATGTAGCAGCTTCCGGTTTGGTGTATTTTTATCGTATGAAATAAGATCGAGAAACAATAAAATTGAATCGGAATATATTGTCGAAACCAAAATCAAACCACTTCTTGTACAAAAGGATTCTATTTATAGATTTTTTACTTATCATTTTCCTTTTCGGATAAAAATTTTCAAGGACCGACCCTAAACTATCACCGGCTTCATTGCGGGTTTTCTGCAGGTCGGGCACGTCCCCTTGTTATTCAGCCATTCCAACGCGCAGTCGAAGTGGAAGTAGTGCTTGCAGGGCAGTCGCACCACATCCCCGTCCTGCTGGTCATCCTCCCCTTCCAGGGCGCACATGCAGATCACGCAGTTTGACCATAAGTAGTCGTAGGTTCCCGATTGATGGGGTTTTCTGCAGAAAATCTGGGATGAAGCAGTTTTTTGCTTTTTCAACATCGCTTCGGAGGAAGTTTTCGCGCCTCTATTAGGCTGTTCTACTTCCTCTTCGTCCTCTCCCTGTTGCTCCTTCACGACCCGCATCGACTCTAACTCCGCCAAACACACCCGCGTCGGTAAGTTCCGCAACTGGGCATCGATGTTTTCAAACAACTTCCGCAACCGCATATCTTCCGTGCGCACCCGGGTCGCTTCGTCGGTCCACAATTGCCGTGACCAAATCTTATTGGCCTGCTGCACCGCCGCCAGCCGCATGAAAATCTGCTGCAACCTCGACCGGGACTGCGACCACCGGTTGTGGGCGAGTAACCGCGTTTTGGAAACGGGTCCGTGACCGGCGAGCGACTTCAAGAATTTTCGCAAATCCTCCCGGTTCTGGAACTGCTTCGCTTTGAGACAGAGCTCCAAATCCCGGAAGTCGTTTTGCAAAATCTTCGGAAAGAGAAAGCTCGCCTCGTACAAGCGGACCCAGATGTCCACCGGAATGGAGTTGGGTAAGTCCGGCGCCTCCCCGAATTCCTCGTGGTACCGCGCGTAGGAATCCACAATCTCCCGCAACAACGTCGTCCTTGCGATTTTCCGCTTCCGACTCGTTTTCACGGATTTCAGCACGTGGCAGTCGGTATCCTGTGCAAAAGTATCGTACTCGTAGTAATCGCAGTCATGCATCACAAATTTCGTTTCCAAGGCAAATCAGCATGACAAATTTTATTTGTAATGCTGAGCGACTTTGTATTGCAATAACTCCTAGTACGATACTTTTGCAATTCATAGTCCGCCAATTCTGAATAGTCGGAGCGATCAGACAGGCGCAGATGCTCGCCGGGATGCGACTCCCCGATCGGGGAGTAAGTTTGTAGTTGCGCGGGTGTTGTTGTTGTGATCGAAGGATCTTCACCACGGCTAGAACCATCTCTCCGACTTTTCGGCACGAAGGAGAAGGCTCTCGTCCGGCTCTTTCGAATTTCCTGATCGTGATCCTCGTTGTTATTGTTGTCCTCTCCAGTATACTGCTCCTCCGTCGCCATGGAAGCCCGCTGCGTCAAGGAGGAGGAATTTGTCTCGGTCTGCGACTCGAGAAAGTTACTACTTCTATCCCTCCAGCTATGGCGTTCTCAAGTGTTACATTCCCAACTGTTACATGAATTTGTGATGCAAGAGTGGCAAAAGTGAAAGGAGGAAGATTGCGCCTTTTGCATTTACAAGTTTGGCGCAGATTTAGATGCTGTCTAGCCCTTCCGAAATTTGTTATGCGAAGCAGCTCGATCATCTGCCGGCCTAAGGTGCTTTTGCATGACAAATTCCTGCAACAGTTGAGAATGTAACATTTGAGAACGCCATATCCGATGGGATACCCCTGCGGATCTTGCAGCCAGTAGTTGTTGTGCAACACCGGGAACAGCTCGAAGGTGTTCTTTGTAGAATCTGTGACCGGGTAGTAAAATCCGTCTTCCCCGCTGTCCATCAGCTGAAGGCAGGTGCCGGAAATCTTCCCCGTTTTCAGACACAGCTTGCCCTCGATCCGGGTCTTATGCATTGCAAAAGTGTCTGGGTTTGGAAGGATGCAACTTGTCATGCTGTCTTTGAATTCTGAAAAAATCTGTATTGCGTAAGCCCTACACGGAAGGGGCATTTGTCATGCGGTATGGGCATCAGGAAGCCCTCACAAAATCTGTGATGCTAGCGCATGATACATCACAGACATCATGGATCATGCAAAATGTGCATGACAAGTCCTCCAATCTTCCAGACCCAGACATTTTTGCATTTGATAGGTCTCAAAGTCTTCCCATTCCAAATCGAGGAAATCCAGCTTCTCGTACGGTTCTTGCTCATCGTCTTCTTCCTCGATTTCGTATTCGTAATTGGAAACGGACTCCTGACTGATCCTGGGTAAAGTGTCGATCAACCGCTGCTGGTTGAAAAGGTAGTCCCGATATCAACTGCAAAAATGTCTGGGTCTGGAAGAATGCCAGACTTGGTTGGTTGGTTGGATAGCGCCTGTCGCCGGTGCAGGTCCCGCCCTCCATCGATTGCGATCCGGAGTAGCCAGAACACAAGGCCCTAGTGGCACAATCGATCGACGAAGCCCTTTATAACCAGGTCACGGACATCCGGCTGCCGTGGAGTCATTCGCGGGCCAGGCAACGTCTAGGAGCTACGGATTAGGGATCTTGATGGGCGAGACAGGTCACAGCCATCCGCCTGCCCATCGAAGACGAGCCAGGTCACTTGTCATGCAGGTTTTCCATAAGAACCCATGAGGTCTGGTATGTAGGACATAGCATGACAGATTCTGTGAGAGTTCTATCATGCCTATCCTGCATGAGAAACTGCCTCTCGATTAGGTCAAAAGTTGACAGCTTTTGGTAATCACGCAACACAGATTTTTACATGATTCAGATTTAGCATGACAAGTTGCGTTGTTCCAGACCCAGACATTTTTGCATTTGATACCCGAGGCATGGTCGTTATTTTCGCGTTCATTTCGCCGGCATCTCGATCTCCTCGCCCGTTGTTTTTTGAAGATGACCTAGAGGACCCCGTCGGCTTGCTCTTGCTGTTCCGACCGGCAGTGCCCGTTGCAGAGACGTCGTGGTCGTTGCCATCATTATTCCCGCTGTGTTCCCGACTGATAGGAGTATCAAGCAGCTCTCCGCCGTCCAAGACGCGACCGTAGTATTGCGCGTTCTCAATGTCCGTGAAAATCGGTTTTTCATCGCCATCAAACTGCCGCATGTCCTTCAATTTCGCGGTCTTAATCCGCACGAACTGCGCATCCGACCCGTCCGAATGGATCGCGTAGATCAGCTATCAAATGCAAATATCCCTGGATGTCTGGAAGGTCGCAACTTGTGATGCTGCCTTTGGATTCCACACAGAATTTGTATTGCGTGGGCAGCAAAAGAGGTCCGTTTTTTGCTCCACGGAGAGGGCATTTGTTTCTCATGCAGTACAGGCATGATCAGAAAGCCCTCAACAAATCTGTGATGCTAGGGCATGCATCACAGACATTATGGGTCATGCAAAATATGCATGACAAGCGCTGCCTTTTTCCAGACCCAGACATATTTGCATTTGATATCAGCGGCGGGGGGAGGTCTTTCAGTGGGGGGTACGGCGGCACCCGCCACGGCTGGGCCTCAATCGCGAGGTAGTAGTCCACACCGGAATCGTCTTGGGTAGCTGGGAGTTGTCGTTGTGTTATGATTACTAGCCCTTTAACGCGGGCGTCCAGGACGCCCGCTGGGCTAGTAGCTTGAAAAATAATTCTACACATGGGGCGCGCACCGTTCGCGCTATTTTGGTTGGTGAGAAGGTGAAGGCATGGCACAGACAGAAATAGGCACAAAAGGCCCTGAAATTCGCCCCAGAGGAAGGGGGAGCTGGCACCGCAAGAGAAAGCAAAAGCACAGCGGGCGAGGACTACATAGACCCAGGCGCGGCCTTCCGGCGCGCGTGCGGTTTTGCTTTGTGCATGGGCTGCCCCGAGGGAGATTGGTGCGCCTCGGCCGGCCTTGCTGCGCTTGCCCTAACGGCATCGCCGCTTTAGCGCTTTTGCGGTCCGGCGTCCAGGACGCCGGCCCGGCGTCAGCCCCTTTTGCGCGCCCGGCAAGCAAAGCAAAGGGGGCCAGCCGCAAAGCTTATGTTGGGGCGGCTTTGGCGGCCGGCTGGCCATCACTTTTGCCCGCCCGGAAAGTGATGGCCAAAAATGATGGCCAAGGAGTTCCGGGCCATCACTTTTGCCCGAGCGAAAAGCGATGCCCACGAAGCTCTTGGCCGTCACTTTTGCCCGACGGGCCGAAATTAAAACGATGGCCAGCGAGCTCTTCATTGACCGTCACCTTTGCCCGAGGCGAGCGAAAAGCGATGGCCATGGAACTCTTGGCCACCACTTTTGCCCGACCGGGCCAACACTTTTGACCATCGTTTTTTTTTTTACCCAAACGAAAAGCGATTGCTGGCCACCGGCATCTTGGCCACCACTCACTTTTGCCCCACCGGAAAAAAATTCACTTTTGCCCGGCCGGATCGGAAAGCGATGGCCAGCGAGCTTTTGCCCATCGATCATTTTTGCCCGACCGGAAAACGATGGCCGCCGAAAGCGATGGCCAGAGGGCTCGCGGCCATCACTTTTGCCCGACCGGAAAGTGATGGCCAGGGGGCTCCTGGCCATGACTTTTGCCCGACCGGAAAGTGATGCATGGCCGTGGAGCTCGCGGCCGTCACTTTTGCCCGACCGGGAAGCGATGGACAGGGACCCCTTGGCCATCGCTTTGCCCGACCGGAAAGTGATGGCCCCGCAGGAGCTTTTTGACCACCACTTTTGCCCGACCGGAAAATGATAGCCCGGGAGGAGCTCTCGGCCATCACTTTCGCCCGGCCGGAAAGTGGTGGCCAAAAGTGATCGCCAGGCAGGGCAGGGAGCTCTTGCCTTGGCCATTACATTTGCCCGAGCGAGGTAGTAGTCCACACCAGAATCGTCTTGGGTAGCTGGGAGTTGTGTTATGAATTTGAATGTATAAAAGTGATATCAGATATAGTTTTCTTTCGAATAGTAGATTGGGAAGATCATCGCTCCTGTCTGTGTGGAAGTTCAAATTCTTAACCTACAAGCGGTGCCAGGCAAAGAACGACTCTGTAGTTCTCATATCAGATAAAAATTTTATGAACGTCGAAAAAGAAAACCACTATACTTCTGAAGTCTCCGGGGATGCAAATTTTCCCCTCCCATTCCCGGCCTGGAACGAGCCACTCGCGGAAGGTCAACGGCTTGTCTATCAAATGCAAATATGTCTGGGCCAGAAAGATTCCGAGGTTTGTCATGCAGTTTTTCCAAGCTCCCCCACGTCTGGAATGCAGGGCCTAGCATCACAGGTTCTGCAGCCCCTTGGTGATGCCTATTCTGCATGAGAAATGCTCTCAGCATGGCCCGGCAGGGACACCTTTTGCACGTTCTGCTTCACAGATCTTTGTATGATCCGAAACACGCATCACAAGTTCGGATCCTTCCAGACCTAGACATTTTTGCAATCCATATTGTCTTCCGCCTTGCAATTCAAGTGCAGCGAGTGGTTTTTGCTCGAAAGAGGGCTACTTCTACCGTCTGCCCCGCTGTCCCGACGGTGGTCTGTCTCGTTGCTGTCCCGACTACCTGGAGGATGTTCATCACTCTGGTCGTGACCAGCGGCGGCCTTGATGTCGGCCGTTTGGTCTTCCTCAGCAACACCGTGAAGAATCGGTTTGTCAAAAAGCATCAAGCTTCCACCTTTGTTGACGGGCACAGCGGATAGCACCCCGATGTCTTCCAAAACTTCCTCCAAGTCGAATTTCAAGAGCTGCACAAAGAGTTTGCACAGCTTCCTGATGTCGTGAAAGTTCGAATCGTTCATGTTGGTCATGTATGCTCTGCAAAAGTATCGCACCTACGTAGTAATTGCAGTCATCGACATGAGCATGATAAATCCAAAAATTCTCTACCTGATATAGCATGACAAATTAATTGATTCTATTTTTGAAAAAATTTGTGATGCATTTTACACATAAAACGATACTTTTGCATTGCATATCATGCTCATCAGCTCGTAACTCTGCTCCCGCATGATTTCACTGACCCGCTCGCCGTCCATGCTGTTTATCAAATGTAAAAATGTCTGGGTCTGGAAGTGTCATGCTGTTTTTGCATGACACAGAAGGTCTGGCATGGAAGCTCTAGCATTACAGGTTTCGAGAAGCTTCGCTTCCGCAATGCCGAATCCGCATGACAAATCCCCCACTTTGGTGACAGAAAGTGGGCAGCTTTTGCTACCCAGCATGCATGAGAGATTTTTCCGTGTTCTCAAATGCGCATCACAAGTTTGTATTCTTCCAGACCCAGACATTTTTGCATTTGATACTGTTCAGCTCATCCTCATTAGGGTAGAGAAAACTGCCGCCCAAAGTCCCGTCAAACAAGCCGGAGGCGCGCTGCTGATTCAGGATCCACCGCTCAATTTCGGTGATCAGGAGAGAGATCTCCCGTATCCATTGCAAATATGTCTGGGTATGGAAAGTTGCTAGGTTTGTCATGCATGCAGTAATCTGAATTGCTTCGTGCTGAGTTGCTTTTTTGACTTTTTTTTGTGCAGTTTCTGGCGCGATCTGAATTGTCACAATATAGCTCATACCTTCGGACTTCGTCTTTGCTCAGTTTTCTTCGTTAATCCTTTCTGTCTTGCCGCTGTTGGTTTCACGTATGACGGGCGGCGCGTCATATCCCGCAATATTAGCCGCCGCCTTTTCGGGGTCGTCATCACGTGATAATCATGTGATCATCACGTGATGAAGACAACTCAGATTGGCTTATGAGCAACAAAAGTCATGTGATTATCACGTGACTACTCATGTGATTATCACGTGATCCGAGCAGGCCTGTTTGAGGCCCAAGGCTTTCGCGCGCACTTGTTCATGGCCAAACACGTAGCGCAAAGAGGAAGAAGCTGCAAGCGCTGCGCTCTAGCGCGGCCAGTTTGCGAGGGCCCAGCCATGGAATGCTCTTCCGAGGGCTGGACATCGTTGCGTGTGTGGCGGGCGGCGCAGTGTTACGAGAAAACTGCCGCAAGCCGCCCGCTCTATTTCGGAACGCCTCGGGCCCGGCATAACGCTTGCGGGCGGCCTTCCCCCCCCCGCCCCCCCCGGGCCCTCTTTCGCATTCTGGCGCGCATGCGAAATTAGGGTGCGCGCGCTGTTTATTTTCGTCTTTGCTTTAGAGCAACGCTCTGCGGAAAACGTCGACACGCACACAGCCCGTCGCGCAATAGGCCGAGCGCCCGCGCAAGCCTCCCGCGCTACCGGCCTTAGCCCCTACTTACTATGCGAGGCGCCTTTAAGGGTGCTGGGCACTTCCGTGGACTACTATTTTCTTGCTCCAAATAAAGCTGTCAGGCACTGTGGTCGCAAAATATATTGTCGAGCCACCGCGCTGGGCTGCTTTGTCTTTGTGCGCTGAGTTGCTCCATTCTGTGACAATTCAGCTGCTGCGCTATTCTTTCCGCTTGGGGGCAAATACGACACAAGGCGCGCCATTTCCGCTTTTGAGGAAATTGGCTCCTGAAGTGCTTCGCTCGCTGTTTTCAGGCTTTCGCCATACGATACGACGCAAGCTTTGCTCGGAACTTAATACGTATTCGGGTACAATTCAGACTATACGACAACTCAGCGTAGTGCATGCATATTTTGCATGACCCCTGATGCCTGTAGTGCATGGCCTAGCATGACAGATTTGTAGAGGGCTTCCTGATGCCTATTCTGCATGAGAAATGCCCTCTCGCCGTGGCAAAAACTGGACCTCTTTTGCTGTTGATGCAATACAGATTTTTGTAGTATGCAAGTGCAGAGTGATAAGTTACATCCTTCCAGACCCAGACACATTTGCAATGCATATCTCGCGCTTTAGAATCCAGCTGCTGCACCTTCAACTGCCGCTGTTGGTTGAAAGTGTGAAGAGCTTCGGCACTCACCGGGCTATAATCGAGGCTCTCGTGGTCTTTGTTGTGCACTGTCTCGGACGTACTCGTACGTTCTTTGTCCGCATGATTCGCACCCATTTCTTTGCCACCTTCCTTGTCAACATCTTGTTGTTCCTCGGATGCAGCTGTTGTCACAACCACCTCCTTCCTATCCGTCATGGCTCTGGGCGCTGCCCACTTCCCGCGCATATAGTTGATATCCCCGCTGGAGATGCCGTTCGTCGGCACATAGCTCCCGTCCTCCACCTTTTTCGGGCGGGTTTTCAACTCCCGGGTGCGATATCATTTGTAAAAACGTCGCCCCCACAGCAGAGTTGTCATGCAAATGCGCAATGACACAAACATTTGTAATGCGCAGCTCCATGGGAGACATTTCCAATCGTGTTTGGGAATTTGTAATGCTGTAGACAGGATGAGAAAGCGGCTCTCTCATGCGGCTTCCCTTGCTAACCAGCACTACAATGCAGAGGGAAACTTGTCATGCACAACTCCCAAAACTTGGAGATTTGTGTTGCAGATTTACCAGCTTGGCCATGGGGTGGGGACGTTTTCACTCAGGATATGCGAAAATACTCCTTCATCACCAGATCCAAATCGCAACTCCGGTCATTCTATCAACTGCAAATATGTCTCGGTCTGGAAGTGTGCAACGTTTGTCATGCACATTTTGCATGACCCGTGACGCATGCAATGCATCACCTAGCATCACAGATTTTTAATAGGGCTTCCTGATGCCTATTCCGCATGAGAAACGGCCTCTCCATGCAGCAAAAACTGGACCCCTCATCTTGCTGGTCACGACGCAATACAGATTTTTTTAGAATCCAAAGACAGCATGACAAATTGCTGTCTTCCAGACCCAGACATATTTGCAATGCATACATTCATGCTGGCGAAGTACTCGCGACCCAATCCCCGGGTCGCCGCCCCCTCGGGGACCTGAAACGTATCAAATGCAAAAATGTCTGGGCCTGTCATGCACATTTTCCATGATCCATGATGTTTGTGATGTATGCCATAGCATCACAGATTTTTTGAGCGCTTATCTATGCGCATCCAGCATGACAAATGCCCTCTCCTCGTAGCCAAATTTGAATCCTCTTGCTGGTCATGCAATACAGGTTTTTTTAGCATCCAAATGCAGCATCACAAGCTTGGCTCTTCCAGACCGACATCATTTTTGCATTTGATAAAACGCGTCGGTTTGCAACGTCAACGCCCCCGCCTTTTATGGCGTTCTCAAATGTTATATTCTCAACTGTTGCATGATTTGCCATGCAGATTCACTATCAGAATCGGCGCGATCAAGCTGCTTCGCATGACAAATTCTCGAAGACCCACACAGGCTGAGCATCTGTGTACTAAATTTGTCATGCAAGGCACGCAGGGTCACCCCTTTCACTTCTGCCATTCTTGCATGACAAATCCACGGAACACTTGAGAATGTAACGTTTGAGAACGCCATACCTTCTTCGCGGCGGTGGGGGTTAAGCTTTGTGTCGCCGCTTTCGAGGTTGCGAAAAAATTTTCGGCGGAAACTTGCGCTTTGGAATAGGCCGCGGGCGGGCTGACGGAGGAATGTTTGTTGAGTGGGGTGGCATTGAGTTGTGTATTCAGGTTGGGGCCCATGCCCATCATCTGCGACACCGCGGGGGACAGCCCTTGATGGTGTTGCTGGTCTAAATTCGATCCTATGCACTGCAAAAGTATCGAACTAGTTCTAGTTCTAGTAGAAATCGCATGACAAATTTCCTTAGCATGAGAAATGAAATTTGTAAAGCGGACTCGCCTCGAGAAAGAAATTTGTAATGCATGAATGCGATTGCGATTAGTACGAGTACGATACTTTTGCAATGCATAGATCCCGCTTTCGACGAAGCCACGGTCGTGCGGCCCGAGGTGTTCGCTGCGTTGTTTAGCTGCTGCTGCTGCTGGATGTAGTTATTTACTAGATTCACCTGTCCCGAGTAGCTAGTATCGGTCGGGTCGTTCCGGCGCAGGATGTTGCTGCTGCCCTGCAGCATGTCGTTTAATTCTCCCGTCGAGGGCAAACTGTACCGGGAAGTAGAAGTCGTGTTGCTGGTCCTGATGCTATCCGGACCGTTCGGCCGGAGCCGGACGTCAAACGTTCCCTCCGACTGCCGCCCGTCCACGCCGGGCGTCTGCGTCACGACGTAGGGCGACGGGACGTAGCTGGCTTGCGTGGCAGAGCTGTGCGAGGTGCGAGACGTCCCGTTCGTGGCTCTTGGTCGCGACGGCTGGTGGACCCCCTGCTGGTTCAACACCTGTACCTGCTATCATATGTAAAAACGTCCCCACCCCATAGAAAAAAGGAAACTTCTGTTGCTGGATTTCTGTACACAAATCGCCACTGTATTGCAGAAGATGCTTGGACAGGCATTTCCTAAGCTTGATTGGGTACTACGCAACAGGCCTCTAGCGGTTAGGCATGGCAGACACCTTTGCAGTATGAAAAAACGCATCACAGATTGGCTGTGGAATGCGCCAAACGGCTTCCATTTATTGCCCCAGATGTTTGTGGGCACAAATCAGCATCACAAATTTCCTTATGGGGAGGGGAGATTTTTCCTCACAATAACTGCCCCGCCTTGTTCGGCGGCATCCAGTCCGGGTCGGAAAAGTTCACGTTGGCTGTTTATGCATTTCAAATATGTCTGGGAGGTCTGGAAACTTATATTGCTGAGCTGTGAATAGTGAGTGCTCTGTAATGCACAGCCAAGCATGAGAAATATTTGCGGAGCTTTAGTGTTGCGTTTTCCGCATGACAAGCTGCGTTTTTGCATGACAAGCAAAAGGGTTCTTTCTTGGACACGCATGACAGACTTTTCAGTCATGCCAGACAAGCATGACAAAGCTTGCATCCTTCCAGACCCAGACATATTTGCATTTGATATTGCTCCACGAGCGGAAAGCACTTCCTCCGCCGAGCTGTTCGCATTTGAAGTCGCGCTCGGGCTCACCGCGGGCTGCTTGTTCTGTGCGATGTTTTGGGGCCGAAGTACAGGATGGTGGTCCTGGTGGGCGCTGCCACTGTGGGTGCGCGCGTAGAAATTCCGAGACGCCGAGTTGCTGTGAGAGCCTTGACCTGCGGGATAATTTTTGGGATGAAAATGAAGTACTTAGATAAGTATTCATAATCATAAGAGCGTGGTAAGTAAGTGTTACATATATCTAGTGCCCTCTACTTTCCGCCAATCCGCCCCATGTTGTATGCAAGTACAAGAAGCTATCGCCCATGCTCTCCTGAGTGTCAGGCACAGTTAGACCCCCCAGAGCCTGCCAAAACACCAGTAAAAAATCATGCTTTGAAATGTAGTCAATCGATATACTTTCGTCACTCTGGTTGCTCAGTCCGCTTATGGACCGCAAACTCGACTGGGTCCTGCGCAGGTTCTTCTTCATCGGCTCATCTTCCAGCTCAAAATCATACGCCGAGGCTTCGTCATTGGCGTTGTTACTTCCTCGTGTGATCGCGTGCCCACTGATGTTTATGGAAGTGTCAGAATCGAAATTGACAAAATCGAAAAATTTGTAATGCATAAAATGTAGGGCACTGGAGGCCTGTATTGGGGCGCAGGCAAATGAGACCGATTGTAAGCCTGTTTAGGGGTATGCAATGTGCTGCCAGAGTAGCATGACAGTGGCAGTCTTCTTTGCCCAAACAGCGCGACAGACTGGATTTGGGTGCTCCCGAAATTTGTCATGCGCCGCTTGCAAACTGAGGCTCCAACTGGTATCGATTTTATGCATCACAAGTTTTGCGATTTTGTCAATTTCGATTCTGACACTTCCATAATGTTCCCGCTCCGGTTATTACTCCGGTTCGTCACCGCGGCCCGATTCGCAGTTGTATTCGCGCCGCCGGAGAACCCTCGAGACGCACTTCGCTGCTGCGTGTTGTCTCGACTGTTGTCGCGGGAGAACGAGTATGAACTGCAAAAGTATCGTACTCGTATAAATGCATCACAAATTTCCTCAGCATGAGTAGAAACAAAATTTGTAATGCGGATTTACCTTGGCAAAAGGATTTGTAATGCATGATTGCAATACGAGTACGATGCTTTTGCACAGGATAACGAGGGAGGTAGCGGCACTGCGGAAGAAGCCGCCCGGGAAACGGACGCGTTGGAATTCGCGGTGGGTAATAACGTGTTGAGCACTATCCTGTCTAAAAACGTTCCCGCCCCATAGTTGTAATGCAAATCTACTGCATGCTGAAGATATTTCTCACGCGGAGCCCCATGGCAAGCAATTTCTACCGTCGTGCTTCGAAATTTGGCATGCTCCAAGCAGCATGACGCGCTAGGTCTGTGATGCTGCTGAACTGGCTGGGCAGCATTACACTACGAGGCCAAACTTGTCACGCGCAACAGCCAAAGCTTGTTGATTTGTCTAGCAGATTTCCCATCTTGACTATGTGGTGGGGACGTTTTTGCTCCGAGTAAACGCCGAGTCTTGTTTATCCAAGAAAAAAACGTTGTAGGTGTAACTTTTTTGGAGGAACAGCATTACAAATCTGTCTGGCATGACAGCAAAAACGTGTCATGCGCAGATAGTACGTGAAAACGCCCTGTAATGGACCCTAGAATGCATGCCAAGCATGACAGACGCAATCATCTTGCATGTTGCGCATCACAAATTTACACTAACAACGTTTTTTTCTTGGATATTGTTCGTCCAACTCCAGTTTTCCGACAATCCCCGCACTTGTGTCATCAAGCATCCGGTATGGGGTTCTCAAGCGTTACATTCTCAACTGTTGCATGATTTGTCATGCAAAACGACCGTGAGCCACCAGACGATGAAGGTGCTTCGCATGACAAATTCTCGGAGGGCTAAATAGCACTAGAATCCGCACTAAATCTGTAATGCAAGACGCGCAGGGTTCTCCCTCTGACTTGTGCTATTCTTGCATTACAAATTCATGTAACAGTTGAGAATGTAACATTTGAGAACGCCATATCCGGTTGTGCTGCGTTGGAAGTAGAGCAGCTGCTCCACCAATTTCGGTAGAAGAAGAGGCGTCTCCTGCAGAGATGTTCGCCTGCATGCGGTTGATTATCAAATGCAAACATGTCTGGGTCTGGAAACTTGTGATGCAAGTCTGTGAATGGTAGGCGCACTCCACTACGCAGCCAAGCATGACAAGTTTTTGAGCTGCCGTGTGTTTCGTTTTTCGCATGACAAGCTGCGTTTTTGCATGAGAGGCAAGAGGCCCTATCCTGCTCATGCATCACAGATTTAAGAGTCATGCCAGACAAGCATGACAAACTTGCTTTCTTCCAGACCCAGACATATTTGCGATGCATATTGATGCTCTGCTGCTGAAAGGAGATACTGGGCTGGTTCTGGGGTTGCGATCCCGCGTTGATTTTCTGGTTGAACGCTGTGGTTATCAACTGCAAATATATCTGAGTCCGGAATAAAGTTGGAACTTGTAATGCTGACGTTGCATTCCTGTGAATAAATCTGTATTGCATGACCAACAAAGAACAGGCGCAGCCCCTTTTGATGTCATACAAGAACGCAGCTTCTCATGCGAGTTGCGTACGAGAAAGCGCTCTGCAAACTTGTCATGCTTCGCTGCATTCGAAAGGGTTTTTATCATCCACAGTTCAGCATCACAACTTTCCAGATCACCCAGACGCAGACCACATACTTGCAATGCATAGTGGTTTGCAAAGACCGAATACTGGTTTCCGACATGGGGTTTTTCAAGTTGTAATCTATCCTGAGAAAAAAATGTTACAGTTACACACCCTGATGGAAGACAAGCAATACAGACAACCTCTGTCATGCAGAAAACGCGTGCCAGCCTCATTCCATTCGTGTTTTCCGTTATAGTCTGCGCATCACAGGTTTTCTTTGCCATGTCGAGCAACTTCGCGATGCAGAAACTCCAACAAATGTGTAACTGTAACACCTTTTTTCTTGTGATATAATCCCGCGAATCCACACTGGTCCGGGGGTAGCTGTGCGACTGCGGAGACAAAGGCGGAATCATGTTGCCGTGCTCTCGATTCATCAGGGTGCCACTGTCATCGTCCCCTTCAGACGGAGCTCCACCCAGGGCCGGAATTCGCTTGTTGCCAAAAGTCATCATGTTTGTTATCCTGTGTAAAAACATCCCCACCCCAGAGTTGTCATGCAGATCTGCAAGCACAAGAGCATTTGTAACGCGCATCCCCATGATAGGCATTTCCGACCGTGTTTTGGAACTTGTAATGCTGTAAACAGGATAAGCAAGTGGATTTGTAATGCGACTTCCCTTGCTAAACTGCACTACACTACAGCCTGCAATTTGTCATGCGTGACTCCCAAAACTCCTAGGTTTGTGTTGCAAAATCCCCATCCTGACTCTGGTGTGGGGACGTTTTTACTCAGGATATTTGTTGTACTTGCATTCGTTTCCGATGAATCCGCTTCGGAACCGCCGTGCCGCGTCGCTATGGAAGCGTCAGGTTTGAAATCGTCAAAGTTGAAATAGCTTGTCATGCATAAAACGGATACCAGTTAGACCTACAGTTTTTAGTCAGCGCATGACAAATTTTCCCGGTCCTCGAAGCGAGTCTCTCATGCGGTTTAGGGCAAAAGAGCTGCCTGCTGTCATGCTAGTCAGCAGGCCAACTTTTGAAGACGACCCTTGCCAGGACTATAATCTGCCTCCCGTGCGTCCTCTGCAATAGAGTCACTTTTTGAATCGCATTTTATGCATGACAAATCATTTCAACTTTGTCGATTTCAAACCTGACGCTTCCATAGTCGCTCCTGTGCCGGTAGTTCGTGTCTGTTCCGACGGTCCACAAGAAACAGGGCCCGCGTTGCGTTCTTTATCTTTACTCGACGGCGCACCATGTTGTTGGCCGCTTCTATAACTAACCGGTGCCGAGATGCGATGCGCGAAGCTGCCCTGCTCACCGATCTGGGGGTTGACGGAGGTTTCAGCTATCCACAGTAAATTTCCTGTACACGTACAAATGCAGTCTCTGCATGACAAAACTTGGCTTCAATCCTAGTGCAGCATGACAAGTTGCACACTCCAAGTTACAGAAATTTGTCATGCATTTTGTACATGTACAGGAAATTTACATTGCATATCAGCAGTGAACATGACATTTGGAGAGGAAAATGTTCGCTTCGCAGACGAATCCTTCATATCCGTCTCGCCAGCAGGAAGATCTTTCCCCTCGTCTTCCACCAGTTTCTCTCCTACCGTGGACGCCTTCACAACCGACGTATTTGGCTTCGATAAGTTCTTGTCCTTGAAAATCTCCCGTTCCAAGGCGCGCGCCGTGGTTATCCTGTCTGTGTCGCACCTTTGACGAGAAGGACTATCGTGGTCAAGAACATCTTCCTCCTTTTGTTCCACAGTTGCTCCTATGAACTGCAAAAGTATCGCACTCGTATAAATGCATTACAAATTTTCTCAGCATGATGAGAAATGAAATCTGTAATGCGGATTTACCATTAAGAAAAAGATTTGTAATGCATGACTGCAATACGAGTACGATACTTTTGCACGGGATAGCTCCACTAGGACCTTCGTCTCGCAAAATTTCCGCGCGCTCGTCTTCAATAATATGATCCTGCTTGTTGCACTTCTTCTTGCTCGTTCCTGTGTCCGGTTTGGTATCCGCGGACGTCGTTCGCCACGCGTTGGACGAGGTCGGATCTTCATTGTTCAACAAATTCGAGGAGGAATTCGAACTCTTGTTCGTCGAAGATTTCACCGTTTTACTATTCGAAGACACATTATCCCGACTTGTGGATTTCGAAACAGTCTCGTCGTTCGCACCGCCCGTAGACGAGGATTCTGACCTGCCACGACCTATCAAATGTAAAAATGTCTGGGTCTGGAAGAATGCAACTTGTGATGCTGCATTTGGATTCCAGAAAAATCTGTATTGCATGAGTACCAAAAGGAATGCAATTTGTGCTATGCGGAGAGGGCATTTGTCATGCGGAATAGGCATCAAGAAGCTCTCAAAAAATCTGTGATGCTAGGGCATGCATCACAGACATCAGGGCTCATGCAAAACGTGCATGACAAGTGTCAGAATCTTCCAGACCCAGGCACTTTTACATTTGATACGACCCGTGGACAACTTATCAGAACTTTGTTCGTCCTTCTCTTCCGTCGGGCTGGTGTTCGGAGTCGTGTCAGAGGAGGCGTTATCAAGTGCAAAAGTGTCTGGGTCTGGAAGAATGCAACTTGTGATGCTGCATTTGGATGTCTAAAAAAATTGTGTTGCATGAGCAGCAAAAGATTTCTATAATTTCGCTGCGCGGAGCGGGCATTTGTCATGCGGAATAGGCATTAGGAAGCCCTCTAAAAATCTGTGATGCTAGATCATGCATTAGAGGCATCATCGATCATACAAAATATGCATGACAAGTCTCAGAATCTTCCAGACCCAGACATTTTTGCATTTGATAGGCGTAGGTGCCTTTCACGGAAATCGAGTCCGGCGTCTCGTTGCTGGTCGGCTCTTCCGAGGTGTTGATGTCTTGCGGTGGAGCAGGACTACTTCTATGCGGCGAAACCACAAATCCTCGATTCTTGTTCGATGCACCAGCACCGGCACTGCTGCCTTTCGACATAATTGTCGTCGCACCATTTTGTTGAATATGCTTCTTGGCCCCCGCAACCAGAGCGTGCGTGTTGCTGTTCCGGTTTTTCTCCAGGATTCGTCTCCGCATGGTCTCCCGGTCTTGCTGCCGACTACTAAGCAGCAACTCATCGTCTACGGAGGACAACAAATCCGGCACGACAGAATGCGTCTCCCCCGGTCCGGATCCGGTATTGGTCAGATCCTGATCCCGTTCGCGCTCGACCCTTTCCTCCTCTTTCTGGCGCAGCGTGAACGTATCATCCGACCGATTTCCGTCCGATCGGTTTTCGCTACTGGTGGTGTTCGTGGCGGACGGGCGCAGCGCGTCTTCGCTGTTCACCTGGGAATTGCTCGAAGTCTCATCGTATCAAATGCAAATATGTCTGGGTCTGGAAGGATGTAGGATTTGTCATGCCAGTTTCCATGACCCATGAGGTCTGTAATGCAGCACCCGGCATGACAGATTCTGTGGGATCTCTAACTCTATCAATATCATGCCTATCCTGCATGAGAAATTCCCTCTCAACTTGTTAAAAAAGGACGGCTGTTGGTAACCATGCAACACAGATTTTTTGCATCATTCAGGTTTGGCATGACAAGTTGCCATCTTCCAGACCCAGATGACATATTTGCAATGCATACATCGGATTTGTAGTCGGAAATGGAATTCTATGAATTGCAAAAGTATCGCACTCGTATAAATGCATTACAAATTTCCTCAGCATGAGAAAAAAAAATTGTAATGCTGATTTACCTTAAGAAAGAGATTTGTAATGCATGATTGCAATACGAGTATCAGATACTTTTGCACAGGATAAATTCGCCGACATGCGGAAGTTGTTCGGGGACCGCGACCCGTCGTTGCTGTCCGTGTAATTGTATCAACTGCAAATATGTCTGGGCATGGAAGATTCTGAGACCTGTTTGCACGTTTTGCATGAGCCATGACGTCTGTGGCGCATGCTCTAGCATCACAGGTCTTATTTTGAGGGATTCTTGATGCCTAGTATTCCGCATGACAAACGCCCTCTACTCTGCGTAACCAACATTAGATTCCTTTTGCTGCTCATGCAACACAGATTTGTTTGAAATCTAAACGCAGCATCACAAGTTGTAACCTGCTTCCAGACCCACACGACATATTTGCAATGCATAAATTGAGGGGTAATTTCTCCTCGGATCCCTCCGCAGACACCATCGGGTGAAAGGACACCGTGGATCTCTTATCCAAGAAAAAAACGCTGTTAGTGTAAGTTTGTGATGCGCAACATGCAAGATGATTGCGTCTGTCATGCTTGGCATGCATTGTAGGGCCCATTAAAGGGCGTTTTCACGTACTATCTGCGCATGACAGGTTTTTGCTGTCATGCCAGACAGATTTGTAATGCTGCTCCTCCAAAAAAGTTACACCTACAACGTTTTTTTCTTGGATATCTCTGTCGCTCCGGGTAGGAATCGAGTTCCGGCGAGCTCGGGACAGGCCGGCCGCTTTTGTCCTGGCCGCGGGCGCTGTCCGCTGACCGGTGCTTCTTCTTCAGCACGCCCTTGATCTTCTTCGGATGCTGCTGGGTGTCATTATTTGGAGCTCGTCCCGCTGACGACGTTCCCGACGTCCCGGCGATGTGAGAGAGAGACCTCAAATCCGCTAAGTTCTTGCTGCTATCGGAGCTCGTCCCCCCCTGCTTTGACGACCCGTTGTTCGATCCAGAAGAACTGCTGCCAGAAGACTCCTTTATCCAAGAAAAAAACACCATCACAATCACATTTGGGAGGTTTTGCATCAGAAATTTGTTTCGCGGGACAGACTTCTCTTGTATTGCAAGAACATATAGGGAAAGCGCCTACAAGTGTTGACTGTGATGCATTTTTGCGCATGACAAAAATTTTTGTATTGCACAAATGTGCAAAAGTGATTGTGATGATGTTTTTTCTTGGATATCCTTACTGGTCTTATCAGTACTAGAATCGGTCCCGCCCGGCGATAAGTCCTATCAAATGCAAATATGTCTGGGTCAGGAAACTTGTGATGGTGAAATGTGCATCATGGAAACACTTCCGAATGCAGTCCAGCATGAGAACTTTCCGCGGCGCTTTCTCATAGGCAGTTCGCATGAGAAACTGCGTTTTTGCATGACAAAAATGGCTGCGGCTTTTGTCGGTTCTGCAATACAGATTTCCCACGAATGTAAAGCTAGCATTACAAGTTCCAACTTTCCAGACCCAGACATTTTTGCACTTGATAAGTCCGGCCGAGGACCGATGATCACCTCGACGAAGGGCGTGCGCTGGCGGGGATTTTGATGTTGGTCCACGACCTCTTCGTCGACTTTCGGAAGGAGGGTTTCCTTCTCCCCGAGGAACCGCATATGTCCACCAGTGTGTTGGTCCAGCGGCAAGTGATCCGACAGCAAGGTTTGGTTCATCACGACCGGTTGCTGTTGAAGATGCTCATCTTCTGTAGCTGCTGTTTTCACTGCCCTCGCTTGATGTTGATGTTCCCCGCTTCTCTGACGCTCCAGCTCCACGCGGAAATCCACCGGCGTGAAGCAATCCAGGTTCGGGTTCGTCATTACTGTAGGCGTAATTACATTCATAGGTGTAGCTGCTGCTGCTCTACTACGCTCGGAACGACTTCTGCTTGCCGCAGCTACCGGCGTAGTAGCTAGACCCGGTTGATTTTCAACATGGTTCCTCGGGGAAGGTCTTGCTTGCGCTGGGATTTGTTGTTGTTGATGTCCAACTTGTTGCGCAACAGCAGTCTGCTGCAGCTGCTGCTGACTATCCTGCAACATCAGCCCCGGGCTCCCGGTATTTGTGATAATTCCCGAAGTGGTATTCATCACAGCTGTGTGCTCTTGCTGAGCAGTCTGCTCTTGCAGGAACTGCGGATCGTAAGGTACCCCGCCAATGTAATCCTGCAGTTGCAGTTGCACGGGCCTGTCATTCAGCATCTCTTTTTCGTCCACCCCGTTGCTGCACTGCACCCGAATATCTGCCAACTGCGCAAACTCGCTTTCCGACGGCTGGTTTAACTCGTTTTCGTGGAGCTTTTGCGCGGCACGCTCCGCATTGCCGAGCGCGTAGCTCGCGGCCGCCATCACGTTTTGCAAATCCGAAATCACCGAGTTCAGCGCCAGCTGCGCATTCCGCACGTCCTGCGTCTGCGACTGCGCGGACGTTGGTGAAGCCGCGGAGTTCATATTCTGCTGGGCCGCAAGGGTGGTCGCCGCGGCAATGCTGTTGGCTTGCTGCTGCAGCGCGAGTAACGGAGAGGGCAGGTTTAACGGGTAGGCAGATGTTGCACCAAGTGCAGTTGCAGGAGCTTCTTGTCCTTGTGTGGTAGTGACTACAAAGTCTCCTGGCGACCCAGACCCGCTGTGTGCGGAGGATGAGCCAGCCGGTCCTGTGGCGGACCCACTGGGATTATTGACAGTGTTGTTCAGAAATTGAACGTTTCCAGCGCCGGTCGTCTGCTGCTGCTGGTGCTGTCCCTGAGACGGGATCATTACATCCGCCATTTGCCCAAACCGCTGCACCTGCCTGGTCGTAGTTTCCAGCGACATCATCCTCTGAATGGTGGTCGTCTGTTCGTGCAAATTCATCTGGTGCGACACCTCGTCCGTCGTTTGCCGCACGACCTGTATCCTCTGCAAAAGTATCGTACTCGTACTAATTGCATTTATGCATTACAAATCTAGTTCCTAAGGCAAATCTGCATTACAAATTCAATTTGTAATGCTGAGCCAATTTGTATTGCAATTTATACTAATACGTTACTTTTGCAGTGCATAACCTGGTGCTGGTGCTGGTGTGAGGAGGAGAACTGCTGCGAAGACGTTTGCTGCTGCTGCTGTTGAAACAACTGCTGTGATTTTTGCAACTGCTGTTGTCCCCCAGGTTGTTGTTGAGCTCCTACAGCAATACTTCCACTATGGGTCTGCAGCTCCGGGTACTGATATGGATTGCAAAAATGTCTGGGTCTGGAAGGTTGCAACCTGTCATGCTAATTCTCGATCATGCAAAAATCTGTGTTGCATGATCACCAATAAAGCTGTTCACTTTTGAGCAGGCCGAGAGGCAGTTTCTCATGCGGAAAAGGCATGGAAAAGATCTCACAGAATCTGTGATGCTAGGGCATGCATCACAGACCTCACACGTCATGCAAAACGTGCATGACAAATGTTGCATTCTTCCAGACCCAGACATTTTTACATTTGATAACTGAGATGTTGCCACATAATGCTCCTCCAGCGTCGCGCCGGAACTCGAAAACGAATTATCAAAGAAAAAAAGTTCGTCACGATCACTCATGCGCATTCTTGCAATACAAAACTGTTTGTCATGCGTAAAAATGCATCACAGCCAAACTTCATTGGGGATTTCCCTAGTGTTTCTGCAATACAAGGAAAGTTTATGATGCTGAGAAAATTTGTAATGCAAAACCTGCAAGTTAGTGACTGTGACAAACTTTTTTCTCTCCATACGAATCCCCGACTTTGTATTCGCGGTTGAAGATTTTCGTTTTGTTCTGCGAGACTGGCATCTGGGAAATTGTTGTTCCGAAATAAGGGGAAGATGTTGAAGCTCCTGCTTGTTGGTTGTTGTACTCATAGGTCGCCATGCTTATATTCTTGTTCCCTGCTGCAACTCCTGGGGACGACGGAGAGAAGCTGCTGGAAGCCCCACCCGCGTTTTGCTGCAGTAGTGTCATCATCTCGTAGTTTTCCCCGCCGCCAGCATGTGACGAAGACGCAGGACCAGGAGATCTTCCGTCGCTTTGCATCATCTGCTTGTTCCTACTTTGATGTTCCCCTTGATCATGTACTAGTGCAACACCTTTATTGCTGGTGTCGAAGAAGTGCCTGCGCCTCCCGACATCATGGTCCGTCAAGTTCTCCGACTGCGAGCGAACTAACCTGCTTATCAAATGCAAATATGTTGTCCGGGTCTGGAAATTTGTGATGCTAAAATGTGCATGATGAAAACGCTTCCTTATGCGGCAGAGCATGACAAGTTTGCAGAACGCTTTCTCGTACGCCCTCCGCATGACAAATTGCGTTTTCGTAAGACAAGAAAGGCTACGACTTGTTTTGTTCGTCATGCAATACAGATTTCACAGGACGCTGAATGTAAGGCCAGCAATACAAGTTCCAACTTTTCAGGAGACCCAGACTTATTTACATTTGATACTGCTATTGATGATCCGATGCGTTTCCTTGCTATTTTTCGTCGCGGTTCTCTCCGAAATTTCGTTCAGCTGTGGAGCGAATTGCTGGTGGTGTATGCGAAGAAAAAAGTGTTACAGTTACACATATAGTCTATGCAAGACCGGCAACACAGATAACCTTTCTCATGCAGGAAACGCTTGGGAGCCTCGCTTCCTTCCTGTTTTCCCTTATGATCTTCGCATTACAAGTTTTCCCTGCCATCATCATCATCATCATTGAGACGGACCCCCTGTGGTCGTCCTCACGGTGTCGTCTTGGCCCTAGGCTGTTTCGGACAGATGTTGGTTGTGTCCGGCAAGAGGACGGCTCTGCGTGGGCAAATGTTGGTAATGTCCAGCAAGAACTCTTCCGTGGCCCCATTTATTTTCTGCCACACAGAGAAAATTTGTGATGCAGAAACTCCAACAAATGTGTAACTGTATGTAACACTTTTTTCTCGTGATATGGTGGTCCGAGGGACTAGTACAAGAACCAGGAGACACGTTATTTGAATTTGACACGGGCGTCGCGTGTACGCTGAGCTTGTTGTGCTGGTACTGCTGCTGTTCTTGTAAGCCGCCAGTAGTTGCACCGATTGAGATTTTGCCACTGCTGTTATCCTGAGTAAAAACGTACCCACACCATAGTCAAGTTGGGGAATCGGCTAGACAAATCCACAAGTTTTGGCTGTTTTGCATGACAAATTTGGATTCGTAGTGTAGTGCTGTTTGAGCTAGCTCAGCAGCATCACAGATCTAGGATGCCATGCTGATTGGAGCATGACAAATTGCACAACACGATTGGAAAATGCTTCTCATGGAGCTCCGCATGAGAAAGATTTTCAGCATGCAGATTTGCATTACAACTATGGGGTGGGGACGTTTTCAAATAGGATAGCTGTTCGGAGTGGTTCTACTATTATTTTGACTCATCTGCTGGTATGGATGTGTCAGAGTTGAAATCGACAAAGTTGAAATAATTTGTCATGCATAAAATGGATGCTAGCTGGAGCCCAGTTTTCAAGTGGCGCATGACAAATTTCGGCGGTCCCTAAATGCAGTTTGTCATGCTGTTTAGGCAAAGAAGAGCGATTTTCTCGTGCTACTTTAGCAGCTCGAGCTGTCACCCCAAACAGGCTTACAGTCGGCCTCACTTGCCTGCTCTGCAACACACGCGCCTCGGGTCATGCATTTTATGCATTACAAATTATTTCAACTTTGACGATTTCAAACCTGACGCTTCCATAGCTGGCGCTGATCAGTTACAACTCGCCGGTTGTTGTTCGGGGTGAAAGCAAGTCCTCCATTCTGATCGAAACCTTGAAGCTGCGCCAGTTGCGGGTGAAGATGTTGACCATTCGTCTGGGTCGCGAAGTTCTGGTGTTCGTCAACGTGAGATAAGTTTGGTGTCCGAAACTGCTGCTGAATATTAAATCCGTCCGCATTTTTGTAATAGTTCTCTTGGCTACTACTACTTCCCGAAGCAGCTGGAGCTGCTCCCTGGATGCTGCGGCCCACCAAGCTCGTACCCTGCATCCTGCCCATAATGTCGTGCGTCGCAGCCACCGTGGAAGCCGTTCCGCTGCCGTCCGAGCGACAGCCGTCGCCCCCCGGGGTGCTCGGCTTCAGTAGAGAAGACGTGTTCGCCGCCGTGGGCGGTTGTACAAGCTGTTGGCTATGCATTGCAAAAGTATCGTACAAGTAGAAATAGCATTACAAATTTTTCCAGAAACAAAAATGGAATTTCTAATGCTGAATTCGCTAGGAAGCCAGATCTGTCATGCATGACTGCATTTCATACGAGTACCATAGTTTTGCGGTGGATATTGGCGCGGATGGGACGACATTGAGGAAATTCGATTCCTTGTTTCATCATCGCGGTAAGTGCCACCCACGATTTCGCTGGTCGTGCTATCCGGCTTCATAGAAGTCATGGAAGTAGAAGATTTTCTTATCCACTGCAAATATCGATCTGGATCTGGAAGGATTATACAGAGGTTTTTTGTAATGCAGCTTTCGCGTGTTACCCCAGGAGGTTTGGCATGCAGCACGCCCTAGCATGATAACAGGCTCTGAAATATTAAAGTAGGTCTCTTAATATATAATGCGTCATCCGCATGAGGCAATAAAGCCCTTCTTTCGGTGGCCAGAACTGGTGTCCAGCTCCTTTTGGCTTCCATGCATGACAGATTTCTGTGCGAAGTGAAAAGCGCATCACAGGCTCGCATGATCGTGATCCTTACAGAGGACCCAGATAACATCATTTGCATTTGATATTTCTACCATGTTCAACATCGCTTCTATGTTCCGAGTATAGCCCTCGGAAAGAACGGTGCTCCTTGTTGGAAGTAGCGTGGATAATCATTCCGCTCGGTGGACTATCAAATGTAAAAATGTCTGGGTCTGGAAGATTGCCAGGTTTGTGATGCAAATTTTGCATGACCAATGACGCCTGTAATGCATGCGGTAGCATCCCGGATTTTTCGAAGGCTTTCTGATGCTTATTCCGCACGAGAAATGCCCTCCCCATGTAGCACAAACTGGACTCCTTTTGCTAGTCATGCAATACAGATTTTTTTGGAAACCAAAGACAGCATCACAAGTTACCACCTTCCAGACCCAGACATTTTTCAATTTGATATGGACTTATGTTGTCGCACGCTGTCGTCGAGGAGACTCGCTCTGTCGAACCGCCGCCTTGTATGAGAGTGCACAACCCCCCCTCCCCCTCATTTGCCATGCAAAATCCCAAATCCAGTCTGTTCCTCATGGCAGTGTTTGCATGACAAATTCGGATGTTGGCCCAAATAGCCCTACACTCCAGCGTAATAAACTTGTCATGCAACAGCGGCATTCTTGCTGATGCTTTTATTGCCGTTCATGCTATACAAATGAGGGGGACGAGGGGGAGTTGTGCATTGTCATACCCCCTGTCGTCGTGGAGATGGCGCTGATCAGCGTCCCTGTATGATCTTCGCTGAAAACCTTTCGATACGCTGCCATGGGAAGATTTTCTCCCTCCGGATGGGGGTAATTATATGGTCCTTGCTGTGTTGATGTCCTCATCTCGGAGGTGGGCGTAGAAGCTGCTGCTGGCGCACCTCCCTGCTGGGAGGACGACCTCTGTTCTTGCGAAGTGGAAGATGACATACCCGGTTTTTTTTTTGAGGTCCTGCTCTCCTTCCGAGAAAGAGAATTAGGTAGTTTTATGACGAAATATTCGTCGTGTTAACACGCCGATTTAGTTTCACGTGGACGACGTTGCTTTTATCCTCGTTATGTAGGACGATAAGAAGTGATAAAACCAGGAAAAAGTCGGTAGTCGATGACTATTAATTTGGCCGAAAAAAAAAACCGCAGCGAGCCACACACAGAGTAATAGTGAGTGGTTTGCTCAGGATAAAAGATTTTCCTCGATGGCACAAAAATAGTTAAAGATTGGGCAAAAGGTATTGAAGCACGTGGTAAAAGAGAAGTTTTCTTGCCAGAAAATTGCGAGGTTAGTTATGTTCTGCGATCGGTTTCAAACGAACCCGAACGAGAATCAACAAACCCTACAAAGTAGTCCTGCAAAAAAGAAACTTCTCCTCCAAATTATGCAAGTATCAAATACCAGTCCACAAAAGCTCAAACGAATACTCTACGGCATCTTCCCCGTTTTTCTTTTCTCTACTTTACGACCAAGTCCGCCGGAATATTAGCGAACCTGGCTGACAAAAGAGGAAAACTCAGGGATGATCTTTAGAGCACAATGTGACTTTTTCTTCAAGTCATGGGTAGTAGAAATACTTTTAATATTGCAAACAAGAACAGTAAAGAATCGACGAGACTAGACAATCTATAGATGAATTTGGTAGGAGTACTGTTTTCGCAAAATAGTATTAGGGTCGTCGTTCTTGGGTAGTAGATCAAAGCACAAACACGCTGTCGTTTACTTTGTCGTGTTGTATGAAGGTCGCGCCCGGAGGGCGATATTGGTAACCAAATGCGTGCGCGAAAATCTAACCAGCGCGAAAGCCTAACCAGCCGCGCGGCGAAAGCGCGGCCCTGCGGGCCGCGCTTTGGCGCTATTTATTTTTGATTACAGTCCCACTCCTTCGTCTTCAAGCCCCCCGCATGAGAAACTGGCCCCCTGGCCAGGAAGGTTTCTGGGTCATCGGTGGCTTCCGGATTTCTATTCAAAGCGTATCGCAGGAGCCTGCGGGCCGCCGCGGGCTCCACCACTTCCCCGCGGCCCTAAAGGGCCGCGCACAACTACTGTCGCCCGCGGCGGCCCGCAGGCTCCTGCGATACGCATTGAATGCTAAGTCCGGCTATGTGGCAGCGGGGCATCCTTTTTAGCCCCTGCATGACAAACTGGCCCCCTGGCCCGGGAGGTATGTTGCCGGGGGGAGGGCTTGAACGGGGCATCCTTTCTAGCCCCCTGCATGACAAACTGGCCCCCTGTCCCGAAAGGTATGCGGAAGGCCGAAAACCCGCGAACCCTTCCGGGCCACCAAAATCGGCCATTTCAGACCCGGGGAAGATGCAGAATTTCTGCCCACAACCCAGAGCAAATGCGGACTTTGTGACATGCCTCCGCCCGCTTCTAGTGCGATTTTTTTTCCCCAATCGCGATGGTATGGCGCAAGCGCGCGCCCGCCGGACCGCCCTTGGTGGCCAGTTTCTAAGCCTGCCGGGGGTTCTCGATTTCTTTTAATTTTCGCGTTTTTTTCTGGTTTCTAAGTGGCCCGGGGGACCTGCACATTTTCACCGACCGCAGCTGACTGGCAGTTTTCAAGCCTGCGGAGGGATTGCGCTTTTGCGCAATTTTTCATCTTTTTCTATTTTCCAAGTGGCCCGGGCGACCTGGACATTTTCACCGCCCCCACCTTGGTGGAAGTTTTGAAGCCTGCGGAGGGATTGCGCTTTTGCGCAATTTCTCATCTTTTCCCATTTTCCAAGTGGCCCGGGTGATCTGGACAAAATCCGACGATTGCCTCCACCCACGTTATGACGCATTTTTTTGCCATTTTTTTCAAACTTTTTCCAGTTACGAAGCGGCCCAAGGCTTCCGGACAGGTCGCGGGCCTGCTGCTCCAACGCAGCTGGCCAGCGGGCGGAGCAAAAAATAGTCCGTCTCTTTTTCAGATATCAAGTGGGCTAAACCGCAAAAATACTCTTTTTTCACCTTCTCCCGCTTGGTTTCTGCCGTTTTTGCGACATTTTTGACCTCCTGGCCATTTTCCCATCTGGTCCGCTTTTTTTCCCTTCTCCCGCTTCATTTCTGGCCATTTCCCTGACCTTCACGCCTCCCGGCGGTTGCCCTATATGGTAACGGCAACTGCCTTCGCGCTGCGTTTGCTAAGCAATATCGCAAGCGCGCAGAGCGCGCGCGCCGGCTTCGTGGGCCGGCGCGCGCTCTGCGCGCGCGCGCGCACGCATTTGGTTACCAGATAATTCGTTCGTATGTGTACGTGTTTTTTGATACAGTTGTTATTGAAGCTACATATTAGATACGGACATAATATGTGATAGTTTTTATGAGAAGATTCGTCGGGCCGGACGAGGTTCTTGACGAGCAGTGGTCTCAGCCGGAAGAATAACTTCTGAGATGAGACCTGATCGATCTATCACCACGCCGGTAGTATTTTCCGCGGTCAATCCTCAAATAGTGTGGTACAACAATGAGATACTAGAGAACAACTATTCGTTGTGTTTGTTCAGTAAATTGTCGCTAACTTGATTTTACGATAGCAGGGAAGAGAAAACTTTCCCGGAAAATTATATCACTCAATCTGGAAAAACTATAATTCTATTCACGGTACTATGAGATTGAGGTGGGATTAGAAATCGTCCGCATTTGTTGTCTTCTGAATAGAGTTGAGAGATCACACTACAATCACAGAGAAGAACAACTTGCGGTGTAGTTTTTGTATATAATCGCTGGTACTATTTTCGATTGGTATTTATTTGACAATTTTCTACTATTGGGTCACAACTTCTTGGGGCAGGTCCTGTGTCGTTGTAAGAAATTGGGGAATGCAGTAGTTCCGTGCTCCGGTACCTACGCATTAATCCTATAATCGGTCCTTAAAAATCTCTTGTAATATAAATGCCGAGTCGTCGTCACTACACCTGATAGCTCAGTTCCTACTGCTAGTACTATGTATTCTCCCGATATTCTGTCAAGTTTGTCAACAGAAATCGACAGACCACCGAATCAGTTTTTCAATAGCTCTGAAACTGATGTCGTTGCTGTAGCAGGGAACTGAACAATATCACGAACTACTACTACGTATCCCTCTCGCCGTCTCCAGTAGTGAGTCCTAAAGGTGTTTTTTTATGATGATCGAGAAGTAATTCTTTATGGTGATGTGTCGCGACGACGACGAGTCAAACTAACACAGTCCGCTGCTCCTGTGCTCCTCTCGTCGACAAGCGACGAGCTATTTTGTAAGCTGCTTATAATCTCCAGGAGCTGCGAGCTGCAAGTTGTGCCGCGTCGGTTTTGTAAAAAAGCAGTAGAGATAGAGATAGTACTACAACTAGGCCAAAATTTTATTTCTCGGGGCCCATGTAAAAATACAGCAATCTCAAGTCTCCAACTCTTCCTCTCTCATCAACTACAGGTGGTGATAACAGTTTTCAAATCGAAACAGAGTTCTTCTTTACGTGGTACTATATCTTTCGATAACCGCAAAAAAAAACTGCTCTCGAATTTTTAGAGAAAGAAGTACTGGCTCCGCTTTTCTGTCGTACGTTCGCGCGCTTGAGGCCAAGAAAAGTCGTTGATGAATGACCGATGATTTTTATTGCTATCTCTCCACACACAAGAATCGGTATCCTGACAAGTACTATAAAACATAGAGTCAAAAATACCGGCGACGTTTCGAGCTTGCTAGAACCCGGTTTTTTACATCGTAAGATCCCGCGAAAAAACCGAACTTTGTTGTCACCTTGTGGTGTTTTGCGAAAATCTATAACTGCTTCCGAAAAAAAAACGTATCTATACCTACACCGCTATTCTTCTGTACAAGTATCAAAAAAAGAATTGAAAGTGCCGGCGATAGTTGTAAAATAAATTGCCCCCTGCTTGTCTTGCCAACAATTCTGCGACAAGTATCTATAGTCACTTCGTTTATTATTGTAGATACCTTTGTAAGTTACAGTCACACACACCAGGCACAGCAGCGCGCCTTTGCGCACAACGCTGCGACTAGTTGAGTCGTTTGTTCGGTAGAATGTAGTAAACTGATATAGTAGTGTCTTCGCACAACTAGTAGTTCTTCAGTGAGGTGGAAAAGCTGTTCGTTTGTCGGTTCTCCTTGTCGGGAATCGTTGTTTCTGGAATTTCCGTACTACTCCTTCTCCTGCTACTTTAGTGCCCCCGTCTAGTAGCGTCTGAAAAATTCCAAAACTTCTTCCCGCCGACCGCCAACGGTTTTGTATATCCTATCTCAAGATTGGTGTCAAGACTCACCGGCTCTTTGAAGTTTATGATTCCCAACCCAGGAGCGCTATACCAACCTTGAGAAAGACGCAAGACGCCTTATTTTGGTATAAAAGTTTACACGATCTCACAACAAGATTCCGTAGGGCGATTGTTGGATAAAAGTATATAAGTATCCTAGCGGTCTAACATTTCTTGCTGATGCGTGCTGCTAGAAATTTCTCGAAGAAACTCGATTTCTGATATCGTTATCGGACAATTTCTAGTAGACAAAAAAAACACGACCTCGGGAGTGATAGGCTTAGGACGAAACGTTCCTTATTCAGAAGTGAAATAAAAATACGGCAAAAATAGTTCGAACTTTTCACAGTATTCCTGATGCGTCGAAGCTTACTGTCCGCTTCGACTAGTTTCACGACTGTATACTCGGTTCGAGCCACGTGCTTATTGCCTGTTGAGTTTACACTTCTCGTGCGTTCTTGTGATGCACTACGTAACCCCCCTCCCCCTCCCTAGCGTGATTTTAGCTGTAACTAGAACAATAAAGTTTGTGCTGATTATTTATTAGGCTGCAATTATAGCTCTGATTCGGTTCTTGTTTCACGACACAGCTTCGCCTTGTGTTTCTGCTGCCTATAGCGAGTTCTTCCAAGAGCAATCCGCCCTGATCAGCAACTATAAGTAGACTCCAATACTTCTCTCCGTGGGTCCTTGTCCTTCTTTCCTACTGAAATTTGTTTCAAAGAAGTGCGCTTTTATTTACGAGAAAACATTTTTTTCCCTTCAAGAGCGTTGTATTTTCTACTGGCTAAGATGACGGCCGGTTGGATGTCCTACACAACAACTGAACTGCGGCACTACTGTTTCTAGTTTTAATACTGTCGGCGAAATCATGGAATAAATGCCACCTGCTACTTCACAATCTCTACAGCAAAAAACGAAATTTAGTACAATGCTACGCCACTGATCTACGAGTAGGTCTGATTCCGCAAAGAACCGCCAAAAAAACGACTTCGAAATATGGCTTTGGCTTGTTGACTCGTTAGCTTCAATAAATACTTGTCTTTCTCAAAATAAATATATCGAATCGGTTCTCTCTTTATTCCTCTCTTTTTGTCAAAGGTCACTGTCTGGTCGTGAAGAATCAAGCAATTTTGGGGTCGTGCAAGAAATAAAACTCAACCGTGCCGGCCCGGCGACGAAAGATAGTGGAAAGCTGGACGACAGGAAAAAAATTCGTATACGGATCTTTTTTCACATAGAGGTTCTTGGGTTACTTATTCAGTAGTAGAGCTACCGGATGAAAAGCAACGATCCAAAAACTGATCTCCCAGCAGAGCTTGTAGCCGCGAGAAAAGAGAGTAGACCCATGGAGCTAGAAAGATCTCTGTTCTTGTTCTTCGTGCCGCCCGTGTATTGAGTAAGCTTAAGCATATGTACTAAGCATATGTACAATATCTTTGGAAAAAATTCTACAGCAAGTGTTGTGCGCCGCTTTCTTCGATACTAATTAGCAATAAAGTGAACAAAAAAAATTTCGCATCAGAGTTGTTCCACGCGCCTCCGCGCGACTTCGTTTAGAAGCGTAAGTCGGGCTACGCATTTGAAATCCCATTGTGCTTCGTTTCATATTTTGTCCTGCACGTCGGTGCGGCTTTCGGTTATTTTACATGCGGGCTGTTTGGTGCTCCTCCTGAGATAGCTTCACTAGCTGTAGATAGAAGGCATTGCGACGCTCTGGCAAATAAATCTACGAGAGAAGAAGTACTACGCTTCTTTGCTCTATAATGCGCAGCACTGGTTCCTTTCTATTCTATATCATGCAAAGCAAAAGTACTGCGGTGAGAAACTAAAAAGTACTTTGAATAGTCGCCAGCAAGGACGAGCGCCGGAATGTTGAAAATGAAAACAGTCTTGCTTTACATTTATTATGTTCATCGTATCACAATGTCGAGACTTAACCCGGGGCAAAAACCTCCGACGTTCTCTTCGACACGAAGAAACCGGAAGCTCCCTTGCATGTTGTACCGGTTCCCCCATGACGATGACACCAGATTCCGAATCGCAAGTAGCACCGACCGGTGAAACTCCGTGTCGTTGTTTTCACAATTTTCTGCAGCACGCGTCGGACGATGATCTCCAGAAACTATCGCAGTTTGTGCTGCTGATATTGCTGCTGTGGGTACACCAAACGATGTCGACACCCCGTGGAGGTTTTTTGCGTCTGTAACTGTATTGCCACGACAAGATAATTGGTCGTGCAGCTGCAGGATTTGTTGCAGCCTCAACGCTGCGGCTACAACAGACCCCATCTGCTGCAGCTTCATGCGCGTTTTCCAACTGGAACTATGTTGACCATTTCCTGCAGAAGAGGTGCGACACCACGCGAGTCCTCCCACTAGCTCCCGGAGAAATTTGAGTGGCGGCTGGACAAAGCAGCAGACACAGGAAAAGCAAACCCGGACCGCGTTCTCGAACGATGCTGGTGCTAGGGACGCGCTGGCTCTTGCTGGCAGGGACGAGGAACTGCCTGAAGGGGAAGGTAGAGCACCGGGAAAAACAGCACCTGCTGCGTTCATCATCTTCGCAGCACCGCTGCAAGTATATAAACGTAAAATTTTCTGTAATGAATCCACGTCCCCACACCGGTGGCAGGCCCACAGAATCGTGTTTGTCAGGTTTTCATCGACCAGCACGTGGCCAGCTTCATTTCTGGTCCGCGGGAAGTTGTTTTTCATCATCAACACCTCCAGCAGGTGGTCCACCGCCCTGCGAAGAAACCTCGGCTGATACACCTGTCGGTCGGCAAGCGCCATGAGGATCCGGCCAGTAGACGTCGGGGTGAAGAAGTTGCGCCGAAACTTGTCATGCGCTAGTTCAACATCCGTACTAGTAGTACGTGTACCACAAAACTGCCTCTGCCTCTCATCGATCCTCTGCAACACAAGCTGCAGAAAGTCCGGCTCATCTTGTCCTTCTACCATGATTTCCAACGACGCACAGATCACGTTGACAAACTCGATCTCGTCAAGGGCACTGTGGGGGAAGGAATCAGACTCAGGCAACCCAGGAAGTGCTGGCGTTTGCTTCTTCAGAAGCTGTTTCAGAAAATTCCGAAACTGAGCTCTCCGACGCTGGTAAGTCGACATGCTGGTGGAGGAAGACAAGACATCATCTTGGTCGCTGGAGGGCGAGGGCGTTGTTGGACGAGAGCGCCTTCGACTACTTGCCGTCTGGTGAGCTGCCAAGTCTTCGATCACTTTCGGCGCGATGTGGCAGAAGTTGCAAATGTCCCGCTTGTCGTTGCTCTTGAAAAAAGCCGTGGTCTTTAGTGCCGGCGCGGACCCTCCTGCTGCGAACGAGCAGGGTGAAATTCCCGTCCGAAGCACTAGATTTTCTTCCGTTTTCAAAATTTCGTCTAACACTTTTCCGCACCAGATACGCAAAACTAGGAGTTCCTCGTAGCTGATGGGATCATCGTGACCAGCCACGGTGGGTTGCAGCAGTGCCGGCGCATGTGCAGCATTTGCATTGATGCTGGTTGGACTACAATTTGTTCCGATTGCCTGCCACAAAGCGCGCAAAGCTCGGTAGTGGTTCTGTGGTACTATCTGTGCTGGAGGCGAAAGAGCTCCCAGCGTTTCTGTGTTCTCGGGATAATTTCCTCTCGAGAATAGCTGCACGTAAAATTTCGTCTGTTGCGATCGTTGTTCCGAAGTAGTGTCTTCACTTTTTCCGAGATTTCTTCGCGCGGTGTCCAGTTTTCCCAAACATCTGCTTTCATCTAGTCGGGCCAGATTGATAATGGTCTTTGCGCAATACCGTACAGCCGCTTGTGTAGGTTCAAATGCAGTAGAGTCCGGGCAGTTTATCCGTAGTGCTCGAGACACCGACGCCTTTACGTGCTCGCAAAACTTCCGATGGTAGTGCGGTAGTTTCGCAGTGTGTATAGGTCCGGCATCAAAGGTATTAGCGGCTTTTCCTCCAGCAGAAGCGTCGATGGCACGGCTTGTTTTTGACAGCTGCGAATCCTCGCTGCGACACAAGATTTCAGAAGCCGCCCACAGAACCTTTGGCGACTTCCAGTCTGTTTCTTGCGGCCAGTCGGTGTGTCGTGCAGGCCTCCTCTTGTTTCGTTCCGCAGCAGAGCTCCTCCAAGTTCCGGTGAAGAGGTCCAGCATTGGCTCTCGACACAGGAAGTTCTCCATGACACGCACCAGAGCTGTAGTCCTCGTGCTTGTAGTCGTTCTACTGGTTCTGCTTGGCTGCATTCGATCCAAATTTTCCAAAATCGTTCCGAAACTCAGAAGCGCGAAACCTGCGTTGTGTTCTGTGATCCTCAACTTCTCCAGCGTGAGAGAAGCGATCTGTTCCAGCACGAAAAGAAGACTGGCGACCAAGTGTTGCTCATTCGCATCGCCTATTTGACGATCCAGTGCGCTCATAGAGATAGAGGCGACCGGTCCCTTCATCCTTGCAGCCGCATCCAGAAGCGTCAAAATTTCGGGATCTGCCAGCGGTTTCGGAAAACTGCCGTCGCTTAGACAGGTTTTGAAGGCAGCAACCAGCTGCTGTTGCAATGAAACGTGAGATTTCAACATCTTGTCGGCTGCACGACCTCCCGCTATAGCCGCGTCCGGCACTAGTGCACCACGACCGCCAAAAGTAGTAGAACAAAGGCTGAGAAGACTACTCGCAAGCGAATGAAGCAGGCTTGCAAGCTGCTGTCCCGAGTACAGACGTCGCCTTGCCAATTTCTGAATCTCGTCCGAAATGAGAAATTCGACGAACTCAGCAGTTAGCAGAGGTCGCTCCGCCTGTGGAAGTCCCGCAATGGATGGTCGTGCTGGCGCACCACGTTGTACATTCTCCTGTGAGAATGTTGACCAAGGTGTGATGTGCACTACTGGATCTGCTTGTACTTCTTCTTCGAAGCTGTAATCTGTACGAGCAACACCAGCCGCGTTCTCGGGTCCCCGCACCATAGCGTGAGTAAAGTTTGCGATGTGCTGTGGGCTCCAGGATTTTGTGGTAGCGGCCGACGTCGGATCTGTCACTGTCTTCTGGTGGCCACAAGAAAAACAACTCAGTCGGACTTCGCGCACAATGCGGGCCTGTAACAAATGATGTACACTCCGCGCGCCGTCGCTCTGAAAAAACCCCGAGAAACCTAGGCTGCTCATTCCCCAGGCGAAATTCGCCACGTGTTGCGGTTCGTAATCACCGATTGCGTTGCTGCAGTAGTGAAGCGTCGCTCTTGCCAGTAGTTCATTGAGTTCTTCTACCCAGGCGAAGTCGTGTTCAACAGCAAGATCAACTTGCGGATACATCTGCTGTTTCGAATTATACAATTGCAGCTCCAGTTGTCCTTGTTTGGCCAATTTTCCCAAGCTCCAGACCGCGTTCGCCCAGCCTCGGCAGTCGAGAACTGACGTTGGCCTGTTTTTGCTACCGTCAGCTGTGCCTCCACACGACTTCGGCACCTCGCAAGCGCGGAAGGGTGGTAGGGTGGAAGTGATGGACGGTGACGTTCTACTTGTGGCAGAACTGCTAGAGCAGCCCTTTCGATGCTCTTCTGCCGGCGCGTTTCGCTGTTCTCCAGTAGTTTCAGTTGCTGCCGAAGTAGAAGAAAAAGAACTTGTACTTCTGGTCCGCAATACAAGCTTTTCAACCAGTTGCTTCACGTAGAAATCAATCTCCGCTCCTGCCCTTCGAGCAGACACTGGCGTATTCTTGTTGCTTTTAATTTTATTCTTCGGATTTATTTGCTCTCCTCGTCGTTGACCAAGTTTCGCGAGTCTGTGCAAGGCTGTCACCAGGTTCACTGCGTTCATGTTGTCCAGATGCTTTTTCACATACTCCCGCACCGCCTCGGCAGACCGGCATTCCGCAAGTCGGGCGTTGAGCCAAATAGGACAACTTCTACGGAGAGCAGTAGTTGTTGTAGGGGTGGAGGTCGCGACGTGTGACGACGTTGTTGATGTTTTTGTTTTTCGCACCTGCAAATGATCCGCAGAACAAGAAGCACTCTTCTTGCTACATGAGCCCCACACCTGATCAGAAGCTGTTTCTGACGAATTGTTCATCTGCGCTACGCCGAATTCTTTGTGCAGTTGCTCTCGTAGTGGCGCGTCTTGCGGCTGTCGTGTGGCGGAGGCGGGATATGATTTCAATTTCTCTGGCAGCTGCAATTCGTTGCTGGTACTACCTCCCGGGGCATTCTTGTTGCCGCTTTTATTCAGAGTAGGTCTTGCGGACGAGCAGGCGGGCTTCGGGATGGTTGTGCAAGGCAGCGAGATGACAACTTGCCGACGAGCGGCCGGAGGAACTCCCTGCATCATATTCTCTGTGCCGACTTCGTTGATATGGATACGCACAACTGTCCGTCTATTTTTCAAAATATCATCGCTCTTGCCTTGGTCTACTTTTTGTTTTTCGAAAGGCGGCAAGTGAAGCATAAATACGTAAGTGGAGCCTTCATCTCTACCGGCCCCGGCAAGAGGATCAGGCGTCGCCGGTAGAAACGAGAGACAGACCGGGAAAGTAAATCAAGGTAGCCACTGACTCTGCCACCAACGGCAAGCCGTGTTTTTCGTTTCCGGGGCGATCTCTCGTTTCTACCGGCCCCGGCAAGAGGATCAGGCGTCGCCGGTAGAAACGAGAGACAGACCGGGAAAGTAAATCAAGGTAGCCGCTGACTCTGCCACCAACGGCAAGCCGTGTTTTTCGTTTCCGGGGCGATCTCTCGTTTCTACCGGCCCCGGCAAGAGGATCAGGCGTCGCCGGTAGAAACGAGAGACAGACCGGGAAAGTAAATCAAGGTAGCCACTGACTCTGCCACCAACGGCAAGCCGTGTTTTTCGTTTCCGGGGCGATCTCTCGTTTCTACCGGCCCCGGCAAGAGGATCAAGCGTCGCCGGTAGAAACGAGAGACAGACCGGGAAAGTAAATCAAGGTAGCCACTGACTCTGCCACCAACGGCAAGCCGTGTTTTTCGTTTCCGGGGCGATCTCTCGTTTCTACCGGCCCCGGCAAGAGGATCAAGCGTCGCCGGTAGAAACGAGAGACAGACCGGGAAAGTAAATCAAGGTAGCCACTGACTCTGCCACCAACGGCAAGCCGTGTTTTTCGTTTCCGGGGCGATCTCTCGTTTCTACCGGCCCCGGCAAGAGGATCAAGCGTCGCCGGTAGAAACGAGAGACAGACCGGGAAAGTAAATCAAGGTAGCCACTGACTCTGCCACCAACGGCAAGCCGTGTTTTTCGTTTCCGGGGCGATCTCTCGTTTCTACCGGCCCCTGCGAGAGGTGTAGGCGTGGCCAGTAGAAACGAGGGATAGGTCGGGGAAAGAAATCAAAGCCACAACTAGCGCTTCACGCAAGACAAGTCTATGCTTTTCTTCTCCGGGGCGGAATCTCGTTTCTACCACTCCCTCCAAGAGGTTTCGGCGTCCCCGGTAGAAACGATGGATAGGTCGGGGAAAGAAATCAAAGTCACAGCTAGCGCTTCCAGCAAGACAAGTCCACTTTTTTCTTCCCCGCGGCGGAGTCTCGTTTCTACCACCCCCTGCGAGAGGTGTAGGCGTGGCCGGTAGAAACAAGGGATAGGTCGGGGAAAGAAATCAAAGCCACAACTAGTGCTTCCAGAAAGACAAGTCTATGCTTTTCTTCCCCGGGGCGGAATCTCGTTTCTACCACCCCCTGCGAGAGATGTGAGCGCGGCCGGTAGAAACGAGGGATAGGTCGGGTAACGAAATCAAAGCCACAACTAGCGCTTCTAGCCAGACAAGTCCATTTTTTTCTTCCCCGCGGCGGTATCTCGTTTCTACCACTCCCTCCAAGAGGTTTGGGCGTACCCGGTAGAAACGAGGGATAGGTCGGGAAAAGAAATCAAAGTCACAACTAGCGCTTCAAGCAAGACTAGCTTATGTTTTTCTTTCCCGGGGCGGAATCTTCTTTCTACCACCTCCTACAAGAGGTGCGGGCGTGGCTGGTAGAAAGAAGAATCAGGTGGGGAAAACAAAAAACGCTGCTTATGAGGCTTTCAGAAACACAAAGCAGCGATTTTTTTCCCACGAGCGGAATCTTCTTTCTACCACCTCCTACAAGAGGTGCGTGCGTGGGTGGTAGAAAGAAGAATCAGGTGCGGAAAACAAAAAACGCTATTTCTGAGGATTTCAGTAAGCGAAAGCAACATTTTTTTTACCACGAGCTGAATCTTCTTTCTACCACCTCCTGCAAGACCTGCGGGCGTGGGTGGTAGAAAGAAGAATCAGGTGCGGAAAACAAAAAGCGCTGTTTCTGAGGCTTTCAGTAAGCGAAAGCAACATTTTTTTTACCACGAGCTGAATCTTCTTTCTACCACCTCCTGCAAGACCTGCGGGCGTGGCTGGTAGAAAGAAGAATCAGGTGCGGAAAACAAAAAGCGCTGTTTTTGAGGCTTTCAGTAAGCGAAAGCAACATTTTTTTTCCCACGAGCTGAATCTTCTTTCTACCACCTCCTGCAAGACCTGCGGGCGTGGGTGGTAGAAAGAAGAATCAGGTGCGGAAAACAAAAAGCGCTGTTTTTGAGGCTTTCAGTAAGCGAAAGCAACATTTTTTTTACCACGAGCTGAATCTTCTTTCTACCACCTCCTGCAAGACCTGCGGGCGTGGCTGGTAGAAAGAAGAATCAGGTGCGGAAAACAAAAAGCGCTGTTTTTGAGGCTTTCAGTAAGCGAAAGCAACATTTTTTTTCCCACGAGCTGAATCTTCTTTCTACCACCTCCTGCAAGACCTGCGGGCGTGGGTGGTAGAAAGAAGAATCAGGTGCGGAAAACAAAAAGCGCTGTTTTTGAGGCTTTCAGTAAGCGAAAGCAACATTTTTTTTACCACGAGCTGAATCTTCTTTCTACCACCTCCTGCAAGACCTGCGGGCGTGGCTGGTAGAAAGAAGAATCAGGTGCGGAAAACAAAAAGCGCTGTTTTTGAGGCTTTCAGTAAGCGAAAGCAACATTTTTTTTCCCACGAGCTGAATCTTCTTTCTACCACCTCCTGCAAGACCTGCGGGCGTGGGTGGTAGAAAGAAGAATCAGGTGCGGAAAACAAAAAGCGCTGTTTTTGAGGCTTTCAGTAAGCGAAAGCAACATTTTTTTTACCACGAGCTGAATCTTCTTTCTACCACCTCCTGCAAGACCTGCGGGCGTGGGTGGTAGAAAGAAGAATCAGGTGCGGAAAACAAAAAGCGCTGTTTTTGAGGCTTTCAGTAAGCGAAAGCAACATTTTTTTTACCACGAGCTGAATCTTCTTTCTACCACCTCCTGCAAGACCTGCGGGCGTGGGTGGTAGAAAGAAGAATCAGGTGCGGAAAACAAAAAACACTGTTTCTGAGGCTTTCACTAAGCCAAAGCAACATTTTTTTCCCACGGGCTGAATCTTCTTTCTACCACCTCCTGCAAGAGCTGCGGGCGTGGCTGGTAGAAAGAAGAATCAGGTGGGGAAAACAAGAAACGCTATTTCTGAGGTTTTCAGCAACACAAAGCAGCGATTTTTTCCCCACGACGTGAATCTTCTTTCTACCACCTCCTGCAAGAGGTGCGAGCGTGGGTGGTAGAAAGAAGAATCAGGTGGGGAAAACAAGAGGTTCTGGGTAGGCCGCGCCCTAAAATCTGCGGGTCGAACCCAAGCAGCAAGATTTGTAATACGCCATGCAAAAAACCCAGGCATGAAACAATACACAGGCACTGTTTAGATGCTTCTTAAAAGGCTTCGCGTCCTTGTAAAAAGATACAGCTTACGCAAACACCGGCTCCAAAGGCAGGCGGGTGGGAGCAAGAAAAATGTAAGCGGTTCTAGATAGGCCGCACCCTAAAAAATGCGCGTCAAACCCAATGCGCCTGTAATCGCGTTCCAAGACATCACGAATGAAAGAGAACACTTCTGAAGTACCTTAACTTGGTCATCCGAATGAAAGTCAAGTCTTGAAAAGGACCTTCAACAAAAGCGCTTACTCTTCTAATATCTGTGAACAAGCGTTCTTGATAAGTACTTAAATTCTTCGAGTCGTGGTTTCTTATGTTCTTGATGCAAAAATGTTTTGGTAAGAACGATATTGTCGCAAAAGCAAAGTCTTCACTTTGCACCTCCTCTGTCGTCAGGTCTGTGCAGCACTACGCAACTATGCTAAATGTATCGGGTACGTCGAGAGGAAGAAGTTTCCTTCCTGAAAAAGTTATACTCTGTACCATCAGTGTTGCTCGTCTGCAGGATCTGAAGATACCGCTCAAAGAAATAACCCGGATAAACACTCAAAACGAAAACCGAATCAAGATCTCAATATGAGAAGTTTACTTACTTTAGTAATTGTCTCTATACTCCGCCATACAGCTCAGAACTGAAGAGGAACTACGAGCAATGTCAGCAAGAATCAACATGTGAACCTCGTACAAACAGAAATGATATTATGAAGTCATGGTATTTAATACCATGACTTCATGTCGGCTTTTGTAAAGGGATAATACTATTATCCCTTTACAAAAGTCTAAAGCCGATAAACGTAGAAAAGGTGTAACAAATTGGATCTAAAAATGCGCCGTCGCTCTGCAGTTCAACTACTATACTTTTTGAGGCGCAATTTTGTTCGACTCTCACCGATTTGGTCTTTCCCTCCGGCGCCAGCACTATTAGATTACCGACTCGTCGGTAACTATTTAAATTTAATTGATCATATATCATCCACCAGTACTTACAAGACTAATCCGCCTCTTCCTCCGCGCCGCCATCTGTAGTATGAAAACCGTAAAAGTCCGCCTCGTACTGCACTAAATGCAATGGTAAGACTATCCCACGACAAAACTGTTTCAACACTGTGATGATCTTGCAAGATTTGCATCACAAGTTTGTTACACATGAGCCAGAAGGTTTGCCATGCGCGCTTCCAAAGGGAAAACACCGCGAAAAAGTCAAGGTCTTGCAGGTGTAGGCAAGACAAATAGTTCTGTGCTTCATTCTATGCATCACAAGTTCACAGTGAAACAGTTTTCTCTCACGATAAAGACGCGCGCGGGGTCCATGACGACGAGTTCTACGTGATCCTGTCCCTATCCTGTGCAAAAGTATCGTACTCGTATAAATGCAGGTCTTGCATTACAAATTTCTTTGTCAAGGCAAATCAGCATTACAAATTTTATTTCTCATGCTGAGAAAATTTGTAATGCATTTATACGAGTACGATGCTTTTGCAGTTCATAGTCCCAGTGGTTTGAAAATGTCCGGAAAGTGTATGCCCCGCTCAGGTGTTACAATCTCAAACGCTACAATAGTTAGAATATGGAAATCTGTGATGCAAGAAGTGCATTATCCAGCGAACTCTCAAAGGATTACGCATGACAAGTTCCGGCTCTTTCCCAAACCGCGCTACAATCTTCCGAAATTTGTATTGCAGAAAGTTGAACGCTCTGCGAGTCTGTCATGCTCATATGTGCAAGACAAGTCCCAGCCTCTCTTGTAAAGTTTGACACTGTTCTAACACCTGAGCGGGTTATAAAGTGCTCCACACTACTTCCATCGGCGCTCTTCCGCTCGCCGCCCGGGTGCCACCGCCACATCAGCCCCGTATCAAATGTAAAAGTGTCTGGGTCTGGAAGATTGCAACTTGTCATGCTAAATCTGCAGCATGCAAAAATCTGTGTTGCATGATTACCAAAAGTCGTCCAGTTTTGACCAAGTCGGATCGTATCGTTTTGACATTTGACTCCTGTCAGGGTGGCGCTAGAACAGATTTAGCCTCTGCCAATACCGTGGCGTTAGAACAGATTTAGCCTCTGCCAATACCCTAGGTGGACACCCGTTCCACGTCCTACAGGTACCACCCGACCGCATCCGCCGAACCGTTTCCGATTTCTTACGCGTGCGTACGGCCAGTGGGCGCTAGATGTGGCTGACCTGATTTACCATCCAAGCCCGCGAGCAAGGTGGAGCTCCAGTGTTGCCTTGTTGGGTTATTCTTACAAACGGGAGGTAGTTTCTCATGCAGGATAGGCATTAATAAGGTCTCGCAGAATCTGTCATGTTGGTCAAAAGCATGACGTGCTAGGTCCTGCATTCCAGACCTCATGGGTCATGGAAAAGCAGCATCACAAGTTTCGAATTCTTCCAGACCCAGACACTTTTACATTTGATACCCCGGAAGGATGATCAACGAGTCACAATGCGGCGGCAAAAACTCCAATCCCGGCACGGTCTTATGAGAGTGCACAAGCCTTCTTGCCGCCCCTCATTTGTCATGCAAAATTTCAAATCCAGGGTATGCCTCTTGGCACTGTTTGCATGACAAGTTCAAATAGTAGAACTACACTCCAGTGTAAATTTGTCATGCAAAACCGGCACTCTTGCTGATGCTTGTATTGCCGTTCATGCTATACAAATGAGGGGGAAGGAGAGTTGTGCACAGTCATAGGTCTGCGTGACCGCACAGATGCGGCCCAAGTTGGCTTTGATCAGCAGCTATGCATTGCAAATATGTCTGGGTCTGGATGGATTCGGATTTGTGATGCGTATTTGACAATACAAACAAATCTCTCATGCATAGGCAGCAAAAGACGCCCAGTTCCTGCCGCCAAAATGGGGGATTTGTCATGCGGATTAGGCATTGCGGAACCATCTCGAAATCTGTGATGCTAGGTCTTCTATGACGAACCTTCCGTATCATGCAGAAGCAGCATAAAAAACATCTACTTGCTTCGGATCCAGACCCAGACATATTTGCATCGCATAGCAGCGCGTGGTGGACTCTTCGTCTTCTTTTACTTGGCCGCTGCTGCTGGTGGCCGACACCGGCTGTAGCTCGTCCCCTGGAACTCCTCGCCCCAGGACTTCTTTGTCTTGTAGTGCTGCCCGAGGACTTCTGTACAAAAGTAGACGTTCTAGCCCTTCTTCGGCGCCTTTTTTTTTCCGAGACGTTCTTCTTGAGGATTCGTTGCTTTATTTTTCGCCCCGAGGAGGTTGATGTTCTTTTTATCAACTTTTTCTTGCCGCGCTGGTGGTGCCTCCTCGTTTTTTTGATGACGCTCCGGAGCTGATGCTGTGCCTTCTTGTTCTTCCGCCGGTTGATATTTTTGCCTTGTGATGACGTAGTGGTCCTCCGCATGGAGGAACAGGCAGACGGAACATCCACCTCATCCCCCTCCGGGGTTTTTGACTCGGGCGATTCCGTCTCGTGTGTATCCCACAGAAAATCTTAGGCACGGCCATACCAGAAAAAAACGACCAGAATGTAATAAATGTGATGCTGCGACAAGTCTACTCGGTGTAGCTCTTCTTTCTTGTACTGTTCTGACAGAAAATTCTCTCTGTTGGTGTAGTAGTGTTCGCGACGAGACAGAAGACCTCGTCTACTTCACTGACGCTGATTTAGCGACACAGGTCGTAATATTTTTTTTCTGGTATCATGCCTATGCTTGTACAACTTTTCTGTAGGATAGTGTTCCCCCTGCGCGTAGTAGTGCGCCTTGCACATCTGAACCGCGAAGTAGAATCCTTTGCCGTACCAACTGTAACGGCGGACCATCGGGGTGGAATGTGCTGTGTAAAAAAATCTACGTCGACGTCCCCACCGCACCAGTACTTTGTATTGTAATGCAAATCGGCAGACCTAAAATGTTCTTTCTCATAGTACGCAGTGCCAACTACATGAAGCGCGTTTTTTGATCATCCTATCTGGCATTTATTTGTCATGCTAGCATCAGCATAAGCTGTTGAATAAACTCCCAGCTCGATGACCTTCGGGCAGGGACGTACTTAGGAGTTTTCACACGCGGTAGGAAGAACCCTTGCTTCTTATGCGGTGCAAAAGTATCGTACTCGTATGAATGCAGTACAAATTTCCTCAGCATGAGAAATAAAATTTCTTAATGCGGATTTCGCTTAACAAAAACAATTGTAATGCGTGAATGCGATCATTAGTACGAGTACGATACTGTTGCACAGGATACTTCTTGATCCCCAGCAACTTCGATCGTTTTCCTGCATGAAACACCAACACCTCGGGCGCCGCACTACCATATCCACTGCAAGTATGTCTGGGTCTGGAAACTTGTGATGCGGGTAGGACAATCACGAGGAAGCCTCAATTTGCAGCTCAGCATGACAAGTTTCTGAGTGCCTACGGTGTTGTGTATTCTGCATGACAAAGCGCGTTTCTGCATGACAGAAAAATGGGACTTTTGGGTAATGTGCATGACAGACATTGGAATCATGCTAGCAGAGCATGACAAACCTTGGATTCTTCCAGACCCAGACATTTTTGCAGTTGGTATACCACTCTCAGACACCACCTGCGCACTCGAGAATACCGGCGGCACGACGGTTCTATCCCCCGATTGTGTGAACACCGTCATGGTTATACGAGTGCACAACTCCCCCTCGCCCTCATTCGTCATGCTTAACAGACTGCGCAGCTAAAGCCCGGGGGGGTGCGGGGTCCGAGGGGTGCACAATGCACTGCCCTCATTTGTCATGCAAAACCCCAAGTCCAGGTGCTTCGCTTGGCTTCCCTGTGGCAATATTTGCATGACAGATTTTTCCGGAAAGAACCCAAATAGTACTACACCAGGTGGTCACCACTGAATTTGTCACGCACAGGCTTCACGTGTGCTGGTGTTTGTATTGCAGCTTATGCAAAAATACAAATGAGGAGGAGGGAGAGTTGTGCACTCTCATAATGGTCGTCAGCAAGTCATCGAACTTCACCGGGCGAAAAATGTCCATCATTTGCAAAAACGTCCCCGCCCCAGACTTGTCATGCAAACTGGCATGTCTAAAATGTTTCTCATGCGCAGCCCCATGATCATGAGAGCCATTTTCTATCTGGGAGTTTGTTTGTTATGCTGAAATCCGGATGAGGTGATGCGTCTGCACTACCTCGAACAGAACTACACTACGGATCCAAATCTGTCATGCGAAACAGCCAAAAGTTGGCGATTTGTGTAGCAATAAAGACACCATCTTGATTCTGGGGCCGGGCCGCCGTTTTTGCTCAGGATAATCTCCAGTAAATTGTCGGTGAAACGCACCGGAAACGACTGGTAATACGGATGGTACAAGAACTCCTCGAGGTTTATTTTTTTGCCAAAAACTGGTGTCTTTTCCGACACTTGCAACAGCTTGCTACGGTGGATGAACGGCTCTCCTTGTGCCTTTTTACTGTCTCCCCCCACAACTTCCTCGTCGCTCGGCCACCCATACTTCGCATCTTTCGGGAGGAAGATCGGGGTGTCTTGCGTAACCACTTTCCATATGGACTGCAAAAATGTCTGGGTCTGGAAATCACGCAAGTCGCGCTCGCGGACCACACTCATAGTCTGTAATGCAAACAGAAGCATCACAGATTTTTTGAGACCTTCCGTATGCTTATTCCGCATGAGAAATTCGCCCTCTGCCTAGCGAGAATTGCGTAACTGTTGGCGTTCATGCAACACAGATTTTTTTGTGATCCGAAATCGCATGAAGACAGGCTTTATGTTTATTCTTCCAGACCCAGACATATTTGCAATGCATATTCCAGACGGTTTCGCTCATGGGAAACTGTCGGTCGCCCATTTGGACAAAAAGCTCGTTCGCCGCTGCTGGTGCTTCTTGTCCTCCCTTGATTGATTCTTTATCTTTCCCCCACCGGACCGGGATACTTTGCAAACCGTTCCTCCGTATCAAGAGCAAATATGTCTGGGTCTGGAGGAAACTTGTGATGCAAATCTACGAATTGTGCGCGCACTACAATACGCAGCCCAGCATGACAAGTATTTGCGCTGCTGTGTGTTTCGTTTTTCGCATGACAAACTAAATTTTTGCATGAAGGGGCCCTTTTCCTGCTCATGCATCACAGATTTCAGACTCATGCCAGGCAGGCATGACAAACTTGCATTTTTCCCGACCCAGACAAATTTGCATTTGATACTCCGCCGGTAATCCGACACTGCGTGAAAAAAGTCGACCACTTTTACCGCAAATTTTCTGCGTTCCAGCACCCAAGATGTTTCACCTTCTAGTGGGTTTAGTTCCTCTCCTCTTGCCCTTCGTCGCCGTCTTTCGTAACGGTGTCCTCTTTCTAATTCTTGGGTATCAGTACTTGCTAGAACGGTTTCAATTTCGATGGTGACCCGCAAGACAGCCTCGTGCCAGTGTATCCTGAGTAAAAACGTACCCACACCAGAGTCAAGATGGGGACTTTGCAACACAAACCTAGGAGTTTTGGGAGTCACGCATGACAAGTTTCAGTCCGTAAGGTAGTGCAAGTTAGCAAGGAAAGCCGCATCACAAATCGACCTGCTGATCCTGTTCACAGCATCACAAATTCCAAAACACGATTGGAAATGGCTCTCATGGGGATGCGCATCACAAATGTCTTTGTCATTGCAAATCTGCATTACAACTCTGGGGTGGGTACGTTTTTACTCAGGATACAGTCCCTCATGAGTTCAGTCCCGGCGTCTTCCAGTTGCATATCGTAGGAAAAAAGTGTTACAGTTACACACTCTGATGGAAGACAAGCAAGACAGACAACCTCTGTGATGCTGGAAATGCTTGCCAGCCTCATGATTATTTCATTCGCGTTTATTTCCATTAAAGCCTGCGCATCACAGGTTTTCTTTGCCATGCAGAGCAACTTTGTGATGCTGAAAGTCCAACAAATGTGTAATTGTAACACTTTTTTCCTGTGATACTGTACCACCTTCACATACCGCGCAAAATTGGAATCAGCGGTAATAGTAAGCTGCGAAGTGCCTGGAACAACATCAAGACCTCCTCGCATCGTCGTGCCAACCGCCGGATGTATTCGTTCACAGGAACACGGGGATCCACTCGAGGGTAGAGGTTCTTGCAGCGGGTGTCCTCGACGAACTTGCTGACTCAGCATGTTGATGTTGCTGTCCCCTCCAGTGTATCAAATGCAAAAGTGTCTGGGTCTGGAAGGTTGCAAGACTTGTCATGCAGATTTTCCATGACCCGCAACGCCTGTAATGCATGCCGTACCATCACAGATTTTTAGACGGCTTACTGATGCCTACTCCGCATGAGAAACGCCCTCTCCGCGTAGCACAAAGTGGACTCCTCTTGCTGGTCATGCAATACAGATTTCTTTAGAATCCAGAGATAGCATCACAAGTTGCAACCCTCCAGACCCGGACATTTTTGCAATCCATACAGTGGACATCAGTGCGCCGCCGGCGCGGCTGGTCCTTGTGCAAGGCGGACAAACCAGCTTGTCCCACCAATGAAAAGGTATCAAATGCAAATATGTCTGGGTCTGGATGAGTGCAGCTTTGTCATGCACGTTTTGCATGAGCCATAATGTCTGTGATGTATGCCCTAGCGTGACAGATTCTTAGCAGGCTACGACCATCCTGATGCCTATTCCGCATGACAAATGCCCTCCCCACGTAGCACAAACTGGGCTCCTCTTGCTGGTCATGGTGCAATACAGATTTTTTTAGAATCCCAAGGCAGCCTCACAAGTTCCAACTTTCCAGACCCAGACACTTTTGCATTTGATAAAAGGTGCCGCGCAGCAGTTGCTACTCTCTCTGAAAGTCTCTTCCACCTTCTTCTTTGAAAATCTCTGGCGCGATGAACCGAGGCCGCGCGAGGACTGGGCAGCAGTAGGCGCCAAAGCAGTACCAGTCTCCTCCATCCCGGCCCAGCTACGTGCGATATAACAGTGCACAACTCCCCCTCCCCCTCATTTGTATAGCATGAATGGCAACACAAACATCAGCAATAGTGCCGGTTTTGCATGACAAAATTTGCAACGGATTATAGTGCCATTTGGGCTACCAGAACTTGTCATGCAAACAGTGCCAAGAGGCAAAGGGTGGACTAGGTATTTTGCATGACAAATCGGGGGAGGTGGAGTTGTGCACTGTGATATGCGACATACCGCTCCCACGTGAGGTCGAACTTGTGTCGTAGAATATCCGAGGCTATCAAATGCAAAAATGTCTGGGTCTGGAAGAATGCAACTTGTGATGCTGCATTTGGATATCTAAAAAAATTGTGTTGCATGAGCAGCAAAAGGATTCTACTTTTTGTTACGCGGAGAGGGCATTTGTCACGCGGAATAGGCATTAGGAAGCCCTCAAAAAACCTGTGATGCTAGGTCATGCATTAGAGGCATCATCGATCATACAAAATATGCATGACAAGTCTCAGAATCTTCCAGACCCAGACATTTTTGCATTTGATAGAGGCAGCCGCGTTTCGGAATTCATGCCACTGCACTTCCCGGCAGTTGCTGTGCAACGAAGGTTCTAGTAGTTTCTGCGGCATCTTGGGGACACAGGGGTGCGGCAGCGATCCGTAGCTGAAACTCAGAATCGTTTTCAAGTTGTAGGCGACCAGGGGGCTACCATATTGCTTTCGCAGGCCGTGTAAAAGAATGGAATATTGCAGCGGCGGGTACAAATCGAAATCTTTATGCAGAGGGTTAGTACGAGCATGATCTTCTGGCAGTCGCTCGAGCAGAATCGGCGGGGGCGCCACGGACACAGCCTCGTATGGCGTCGAAATTGCCTCGAAAGCTATGGATTACAAATATGTCTGGGTCTGGAATTTTGTATAATGCTAAAAGTGAATGGTAGACGCATTGCAATATTACGCAGCTATGCATGACAAATTTTTTTGGCTGCCATGTCTTACGTATTCCGCATGGCAAACTGCGTTTTTGCACGACAGGTAAGAGGGCCTTTTCGTGCCTATGCAACACAGATTCATCTCGAGAAGTCATGCCAGACAAGCATGACAAACTTGCATTCTTCCAGACCCAGACATTTTTGCATTTGATAAAAACCTGCCTGAACCGATCTTCCGGGGGAGCTTTTGGTGTCTTCTCGCCAATAAAGTAATACTCTGGGCCATCTTGCCCACCCGGCACGTCTTGCTTTTTCTGCTCGTCCTTTTTCTGCTCGTCCAGTGCGTTTCGAGCGCACTCTTGCACGTCAGCTACAAATTTTCGATAGTCCTGACTGGCATGCTATTGAGAGGAAAAATCCCCCCTCCCCATATCGAAAAGGCATGTTTCCGAAAATTTGTGTTGCGTATTTGAGGTCACAAATCACGTCTGTCTTGCAAGAAGACAAGGGCAAAAGCTTCGCCCCCATTATGGAGGCGATTTGTCATGCTGTTGGGCCTAAAGCGGAGCCGTTTGCCATGCTGAACAACTAGACCGATACGCCCCTGCATAGCCTGTGGATCTGGCCGCGATGCCTTCCTGCAATACAAAGCCGATTTGTGTACACAAATCCCGCATCACAGATTTCCATTTCGATATGGGGAGGGGGGATTTTTCCCTTTGATACATGCAGCGTCATGACCGCGTGGCTCCACACGACAGAGTCTACTGGGCGGACCGGCCCTTCTTGTCTTCCACCGTATGCAAGAAAAAAACTGTGTGAGTGTAAATTTGTGTTGCAGAACATGCAACAGAGTTACACCTGTCATGCAAGACAGCCATGAAGCTCTCTTTTCATGTGTGTTTTGCCTTACAAGCCACGCATGACAGGTTTTCTCTGTCGTGTAGAGCAAATCTGTGATGCTGTTCCTCAAAGAAAATTACACTTACACACTTTTTTTTCTGGATACACCGATGAGTTCTTGTACTATTTGCGCAGCCGCTTCAGGCTGGAACTCTGTCACCACGTCCAGAAAGGTCATGCCGAAGGTCCGCGGCGCAGAAGACCTCGCGTACAAAAATTTCTCCACCTGCTCTTTTACTGCCTCGAGCTCGCTCGAGCTGACCTTTGGTTGCTTGGTGAGCTGGGGTAAGGACTCGTGCTTCAATTCGTCAACCACCAACGCCCGGGCCCGCAAAACCATTTCCAGTATGGGACGCAGCACGGGCTCAAACAAGTGCTCAAACATTGCCGCGCGGTGCAAAACCGTTTCGCCCAGAGGCGAAACCGAATAGGTGAGGACTATTTCCAGAAACGGCGCTAGATCTATCCTGAGGAAAAACGTACCCACACCAGAGTTGTAATGCAGATTTGAAAAGACAGGAAGACTTGTAATGCGCATCCCCATGAGGGCCATTTCCAATCGTGTTTTGGAATTTGTGATGCTGTGAACAGGATGAGCAGATGAATCTGTGATGCGGCTGCACTTGCTAACCTGCACTACACTGCATAGTGCAACTTGTCATGCGTGACTCACAAAACTCCTAGGTTTGTGTTGCAAGATCCTCACCCTGACTCTGGTGTGGGTACGTTTTTACTCAGGATAAGATCTTGCAGTTGTTCCAACACTGTTCGCTGCCGGCGGGGAGAGGAGCCGCCAGCTGCATCTTGTTTTTTTTCTTCTTGCGGGACACCAATGGCAAACAAAAACTGGGTCAGCCACACCGCCCGCGCGTCCAGCGAAATTCGCTCAAATTCGCTTGGGTTCTGCAGCTGCTCGTAGCTCATCTTCTTTCGCACCGATGCAGCTGCAATCGCCCGCTCCATTTCCGTATCAACTGCAATTGTGTGTCTGGGTGTAGAAGAATGCCAGACTTGTCGTGCAGGTTTTCCATGACCCATGAGGTCTGGCATGTAAGACATAGCATGACAGATTCTGTGAGAGTTCTATCTATCATGCCTATCCTGCATGAAAAACCGCCTCTCGATTGGCTCAAAGAAAAGTGGACAGCTTTTGGTAATCATGCAACACAGTAGATTCTTTACATGATTCAGATTTAGCATGACAAGTTGCTTTGCTCCAGGCCCAGATATTTTTGCATTTGATATTCCGCCTCCGCGTGGCCGAGCGCCCGCATGAAAACGGTCTCACCCTCCACGTTATCGTGAAGAAAAATCCCTCCTCCACATACTCACAATGGAAATTTGTGCTGCTGATTTGTGACCACGAATCAGCTCTGTCTTGCATATGAGGCAAATGGGAGCCGTGTGGCGCATTCCACAGCCAAGCTGTCGTGCGCTTCTGCCTAATGCAAAGCGGTTTGTCATGCCTGCGGAATTGCCTGAGTGCTAGCCTTTTGCATATTTTTACCTGATCAGGCTTAGAAAATGGAATGCCTACAAGCTCGCTTGTTGCAATACAGCTCTGTGTACAGAAATCCAGCAACAGAAATTTCCGTTTCAATATAATGGGGAGGTGGCTTTTTTCAACTTGATACACGTCCCGGGCCTGGAACAGTTCGTAAAGAATCATATCGCTCTATGAATGTGCACAACCCCACCCCCTCGTCCCTCTCGTTTGTCATGCAAAATCCCAAATCCAGTCGCTGCCTTGTGGCACTGTTTGCATCACAAATTTATTTATCGGGAAGCCCGAATAGAAATAGTTGTATTTTTACACATAGGCACATAAATTTGTTATGCATATGCACAGGCTCCATGCGTGCTGGCGTGGTCATGTGTATGGCTCTTCATGCCAACCTACAAATGAGGGGGAGGGGACGAAGTTGTGCACTCTCGTACCGTCACCATTCTGTCGTTTCCGATGTTTTTCGTGGAGAAGAAGGCCAAGCTCAAATGGAATCGCAACAGATCTTGATTGCCGCTCGCCTGCGCTGCTACGTGCAGCGGCGACCGTCTCAGCAGGTCTTTTGGCGCAAAAAACAGCTGCCATACGGCCGGGAAGGACCCAGCCTGTATCCTGTGTAAAAACGTACCCCAGAGTTGTCATGCAAATGCGCAATGACAGGAAGATTTGTAATGCGCACTTCCATGAGAGGCATTTCCAGTCGTGTTTTGGAATTTGTAATGCTGTAAACAGGACGAGAAAATGGCTTTGTCATGCGGCTTTCCTTGCCAGCCAGTACTACACTGCAGATGGAAACTTGTCATGCAGAACCTCTAAAACTTGGGGATTTGTGTTGCAGACTTCCCATCTTGACTATGGTGTGGGGACGTTTTTACATAGGATAGCCTCCGGATTTTCGCTTTCCCTTTCTCGCTTCTCAAGTGCGGTTTTCAGCAGTTCCAATTCTGCGATGTGGCCTATCAAAAGGAAAAATGCCCCCTCCCCGTATCAAAACGGAAATTTGTGTTGCTGATTTGCGACCACAAATCATGTTGTCATGCTGGAGGGCAAAGGATGCGGACTGTAGTGCTGGCTGGCGTTGGAAAGCCTTGCATCTTCAGCATGACAGGAGGCAACTGGAAGAGGGAAACAGCATAACAAATTGCCTACAATTCAGGCGACAGTTGCGTCTTTTGCCTTTCTAGCAATACAAGTCGATTTGTGTACGCAAGTCCAGCATCACAAATGTCCTCTTCGATATGGGGAGGGGGGGTTTTTCCTCGCAATATGGCCGAAGGGCGCGTCCTTGTGAAGTTTTTGCGTGCCCTCCGCACGCAGAAACCGAATTTGGTCCGCAAGCAGCGCCGAGCCTTCCCAGTCTTTTTCCTTGTCGTCTAACACTATCTTCAGCTTCGAAAAAAAGACCCCGGCCATCTGCAGGGTACTAGTCCGCTCCCCGGCCCCGGAATAGAGAAGATGAAAATTGCTCCGGCCTGCATTGTATCAAATGTAAAAATGTCTGGGTCTGGAAAAGTGGAACCTGTAAGTATTGCGTGGTTTGGATCTCTGTAAAATCTGTTTTGCATGACCAGGAAAAGGAGCCTTCTTTTGTCATGCAAAAGCGCAGTTTCTCATGCGCACTACGCATGAGGAAGTGTCCGAAAAATTTGTCATGCTTGGTCGCACTCAGGAGCATGTTCAATCATCGCCACCCAGCATCACAAGTTTCCAGCAGACCCAGACATTTTTGCAGGTGATACATTGTCTGCCCCCCGAAGCCAAAGACGCGGAAACGTGCTTGCAATCGACCACTTGGGCTCCTGTGTTTCATCTTCCCGCCACACGTAATCTTTTTTCACTGCGTCCCATTCGAACATCCTATCAAATGCAAAAGTGTCTGGGTCTGGAAAACTGCCAGACTTGTCATGCAGGTTTTCCATGACCCATGAGGTCTGGTCTGTAGGACAGAGCATGACAAATTCTGTGCGATCTCTCTCATGCCTATCCTGCATGAGAAACTCCCTCCCGACTTGGTCAAAACTGGACGACTTTTGGTAATCCGACAACACAGATTTTTGCATGTTTCAGATTTAGCATGACAAGTGTCACTCTTCCAGACCCAGACATAGTTGCAGTCCATACATCCCCTCGCGTGGCAATTGAATCTTTCCGAGCAATTTTTCCATGAAGATGACATCCCGCTCCTTGCCCTATCACACAGAAAAAAGCTGGCAGGGCATATCTGTCATGACAAGTACTCGGAACAGCTTACATATCACAAGTAGACGCGCATCTTGTGCAACTTGTGCGCCGTTTGTGATTTCAGGTCTTTTCGAAAACCGCTTTCTTCTTCCTCGCCTTGAGCGCTAGCCGAAGCCCAGTTGTTCGTCCTTTCTGCGCCCATATATGTGCGGCGAATGCGAAGCCTGTTCCTGTAAGAAGCTCAAAGCCAAGTCCATTCGTTTTACTTTCTAAAATTTGCGCCTTCTTTCTCTTATGAATATGTGTATTTATTTTTGCATTACAAATACCAGCCATGCCCCGGCTGACGCCGGGGCGCAAGGCTGTTGGGGCGGGGCAGGACTATTTGCGGATCGGGCCACAGCGACAGGGCTTTACGGACAGCGTGACAGATCGAAGGAAGTTTCGGCGCCGGTTTGCGCCATGTCAACCCGCAGGGCCTCCTGCGCGCTTCCCGCGCCTTCAGGCGCTATGCGCAGAGAGCAGCTGCAGCGAAGCTTGAGGGCGAAGAGAAGCCGCCTCGGCATCGGTGCCGAAGCAGAACTCGGACCGCGCTGCCCTTTGTTGATCACACACACGCCCGCCCCCGCCCAACTGGCTTCCCGGCGGAAGCTGTTGGCGCGAGCGGTTAGCGCGAGAGGGTCCGCGAGAGGGTGCGCGAGAGGGTGCGCGGGGGGGTAGCGCGAGAGGTGTGGGCCTACACCGTGAAACAGTCCCACCAAAATCGGCCTCGTGCTGGGCGGATTCGGTTCTTTTTTACCCCCTCGCAGGCCCTCTTTTTGGCCTCTCCCAAGGGGTGTGGCTAATAATCCGGCTATACTCGCCGGTAGAGGTCTACAGAGGTGGCCGAGAGGTGGCCCAGAGAGTGCGCGAGGGGTTCGCCCTTATTCGCGCAACCTCTCGGCACCTCTGTCCCCCTCTCGCTTACCCTCTCCCGGCCCTATCGGCCACCTCCGTCCCCCATAGGCGCGGCTTTAGGGCGACCGGTTCGGCTGGCTATACTCGCGCCACCTCTCGGCCACCCTCCCGAATGACCTCCCGCGCCACCTTTCCACCTCTGTGGACCTCTTTTTGACCTCTTTTCACGTCTTTTTGACCTCTCGGCCACCTCTCTTCTATCCTCTGTAGACCTCTTTTTTCGCATGAATATAATAGATAGTGATGCCCTCCCAGCTTTTTTCTCTGGGATATGCCCATCCGGATGCGCATGCCACTGAAGGTTTCCGCTGTCTCCACCGAAGTGCTCGACCAGAGCTGCATCACCACCCACGAAACAAACAGGTCCTGTGCGGCTATCGTACCGGAGATCCGGTAATTTAATCCCAGCCTAGCTTTAAAAGCATCGATGTGCTTTTCCGAGACTTTGGCATCGCAGTAGGTGTAGAGGTGCCAGAGGAGGAAAGGCGAATCCACCTCCTGAGGGGAAGATGAAGAAGGGGTTGTGGACGACCACGCAGCAGCTCCTTGTCCTGAGGCACTACCACCTCTTCTACCTTGAGCAGCCAAATCCGCTTTGGTACTTCTGCTCATCCGGTCGTTCGTTGCCAGGTCAAGAAGACCAGCCGGGCCCCGTCCCGGCCCGGCGGTGAGAAGCCCCGAGCGACGGCGCACCTCGTCCAAGTGTGGCTGGGGAGGATGGCCTGCCGCTTTAGTAGAGTCGTGGTAAAATTTTTCGGTGTATGGATTGCAAATATAATGTCTGGGTCTGGAAGAATTCATGTTTGTCGTGCTTGTCTGGCATGACTCTAAAATCTGTCATGCACGTTGCCCAAGAGCTCCGTTTTTCTGTGATGCAGAAGCGCAGTTTGTCATGCAGAATAGGCAACACCTAGGAGCTCAGAAACTTGTGATGCTGTGCCAGCATTTGTAGCCTCCTCATGAGACGCCACCCAGCATCACAAGTTTCCAGACCCAGACATTTTTACTTTTGATACGGTGAGATCGCCGAGTCTGCGCTCCGTCCCGTAATACATCTCCGATACCAGATACCCAAGGGCCAGCGCGTTTCTGAACCCGTTTGCATTCCCAATAATCGCGTCTGCCCTGGAGCTATCAAAGAACGCACATATGTCTGGGTCCGGAAGTATGCAGATTTTTCTCATGCTATGTTTCCATGACCCAGATCCAGCAGGTCTGGCATGCCGGGCATAGCATATACAGGTTTTGAGAAGTAGGTGGAGCGCCGATGCCTATATACACATGACAAATTGCCTATTTTGCGGTTGACAAGGATTGGCAATCTTTGCTGTCTGTGCTTTTTTGTGTCTTGTGAAATGCGCATTACGAGTTCCACCTTTCCAGACCCAGACTATGTTGCACTTGATAGGAGCTCACTGCGATCAAAATCGTGTGCAAAAACTGCGGGTACCGCGTCCCTTGTGCCGACTCCAGCGAATCCAGGGCGTAGAAGACTCGCCGCGCCGGACACGCCGAGACGTCGCTTTTTGCGTCCTCGCATGACCCGAATGATCCATCGCCCCTTGTTGGCAACGATCTGCGATGATGAACCAGAAATTGCTGCTGCAGTTGCAGATCTGGTAATTCCTTTTCTTTCATCAGAGGTCCAGTCTGAACCCCCGCGCCAACCTGGTTCGCCGTCTGATGCGTGAACCTGGATACTGAGCGGCTACTCAGAAATTTCGCGTAGTCGATCTCCATCTGTAGGAGCCGGAACATGAGGCTTGCGATATCAAAATGAAAAATCCCCCCACCCCATACTCAAACTAGAAACTTGTGACGCAGATTTGTGATCACAAATCAGCTCTGTCATGCTAGAAGGAAAGACATGCGGAGCGTAGTGCTGGCTGGAGTGGGAAAGCCTTGCGCCTTCAGCATGACAGAGAGCAACTGGAAGTGGGAAACAGCATGACAAATTGCCTGCACCCGAGGCCACAACTGCGGCTCTTGGCCTTCCAGCATTACAAGTCGATTTGTGTACACAAATCCAGCATCAAAAATTTCGTTTTGATATGGGGTGTGGGCTTTTTTCATTTTCATATGCGAGATGCTTCCAATTCTGGAGGATTCTTTTCGTGGTCACCAACTGGCGTTGGCTAGCAGGATTTCCAACATTTTGCTGCAAAAACGATCCGCCCCCAAACAGCAAGGTCTCCGCATCGCGCACTTTGATCCATTTCTATAAAAGTGCACAACTCCCCCTCCCCCTCAGCTGTCATGCAAAATACCCAATCCTCTCTTTGCCTCTTGGCATTGTTTGCATGACAAGTTCTGGCAGCCCAAATAGCACTACACTCCAGTGCAAATTTGTCATGCAAAACCAGCATTCTTGCTGATGCTTGTATTGCCATTCATGCTATACTCAAATGAGGGGGAGGGGGAGAGGGAGTTGTCCACTGTCATAATTTCAGGATGGGATCCAGAAACGATTTGTGCTGCGTATCAACTGCAAACGTATCGCACTCGTATAAATGCATTGCAAATTTCATCAGCAGGAGAAATAAAATTTGTAATGCGGATTCACCTTAAGAAAAAGAAACGTGATGCATGATTGCAATTTTTGCTACGAGTACGATACTTTTGCACAAGATACTGCGCTGCGGATAGCAACTTGTCGACCGTTTGCGGGTCCCCCGCGGGGTCTACGCCCGCACCATGACTTGGATTTGGAATGAATGTGTATGCAGAGCAAAATAAACGTGTTAGTTACCCCGGGGCTGTCCAATTGGGAACTCAATAGCAATACAAATCCAGAAGTGGTGGGGTTCACGCATGAAAAGCTCCTCTCTGCACGGTTGTGCTGCAGTTTAGCAAGCAGGGCAGCCGTGGATCACATCAAAGCCGTTTCCTTATCCTCATCCTGTTTACAGCATGAGCATTACAAATTTCAAAACACGACTGCAATAAATGTTTCTTGTGGAGATGCGCATTACAAGTGTAGTTCTCGCGATTGCAAGGGTGGTCACGTTTGTGCTCAGGATAAGGGGTTGCTTTTTCGGCCCCCCATCACATACCCGTGCACAAACCCGTCCAACAAGCGCGTCAGTATGCAAATAAAGAAGTGTAAGTATAGGTGTAAGTTTGTGGTCGTGAAGATGCAACGCACGACGCAATACCATTACACCTGTGATGCTGGCCAGCCAGCATGATCAACTCCTGTTTTAATATGTGTTCTCAAACTCAAGTACTAGCTGCGCATGACAGGTTTTGTTCACTAATCGTTATACAGAGAAAATTTGTCATGGTGTCACCCGAAGGGTCACCTACTTACACTGCTCTTCGCACAGTTTTCTTCCTGGATAGTCAAGTAGGACTGCGTCGTGTGCCCGGGAATGGATATCAAACGCAAATATGTCTGGGTCTGGAAGAGGACAAGTTTGTCATGCACATTTTCCACGATTCGTGATGTCTGTGATGTATGCGTTCTTAGCATCACAGATTTTGCGAGCGCTTATCGATGCGCATTCCGCATGACTAATGCCCTCTCCGCGTAGCCGAAGTAGACTCCCCTTGCTGCTCACGCAATACAGATTTTTTTTAGCATCCAAAGGCAAAATCGCAATAATTGTACTCTTCCAGACGACCCAGACATATTTGCAAAGCATAATGGACTCCGGGTCCTTAATCCTAGTAGACGAACCCAGTATTGAGAGGAAAAATCCCCCCTCCCCATATTAAAACGGAATTTCTGATGCTGGATTTGTGTACACAAATCAGCTTAGTATTGCAGATAGGCACCCCGGCCAGATCCCCAGGCTAGGTAGGGGCGTATGGGCCTAGTTGCTCAGCATGGCAAACGGCTGACCTTTAGGCCCAACAGCATGACAAATCGCTTCCACAATGAGGCGGAAGCTTCTGCCCTTGTCTTCTTGCAAGACAGATGTGATTTGTGACCTCAAATCAGCAACACAAATCTTCGGAGACATAAGTACCTTTTCGATATGGGGAGGGGGGATTTTTCCTCTGAATACCCAGCGAGAGGTATGCCATCAGGTGCATCGGGTAGGAAATTATCCTGTGTCAAAACGTCCCCACCCCGCCAGAGTTGTCATGCAAATCTGCATGCTCAAAATGTTTGTCATGCGGAGCCCCATGAGAAGCATTTTCTGGTCGCGTTTTGGAATTTGTCATCCGCCAACCAGCATGATGCACTAGATCAGTGATGCTTCTGAAGTAACTCAAACTCGGCACGACACTGCGATTTTTCCAAGTTTGTCATGCAAAACAGCCAAAACTCGTGGACTTGTCTAGCCGCTTCCCCATCTTGACTATGGGGTGGGGAGGACGTTTTCACATAGGATAGAAATAAACTCAAACTCATCGCTGTCGCGCACAGCCACCAACTCGCTCGGCGCTGTAGCTTTTTTTCCGAAAGCTGCAGCTGCAATGTCGTCGTGTGTGGTTGAAGATTTTTCCCAGACTGGTAAGAGTAGAAACATCTTCCATTCATCATTTCCGTCTCGATACAACTCGTTGGACTTACTTGGACTAAAAGAGTCAAACAGGAGCTCTATCAAATGTAAAAATGTCTGGGTCTGGAAGATTCTGAGATTTGTCATGCATGTTTTGCATGAGCCCTGAGGTCTGTAATGCATGCCCTAGCATCACAGATTTTTTCAGACCTTCTTGATGCCTATTCCGCATGACAAATGCCCTCTCCGCGCAGGAAAAATTACACTCCTTTTGGTACTCATGCAATACAGATTTTTCTGGAATCCAAATGCAGCATCACAAGTTGCATTCTTCCAGACCCAGACATTTTTGCAATCCATAAGCTCCACGAGTTTGCAATCGTGCGCAAGGTATTGTCGGTGATTTGTTGGCCCCTCTTCGTTGGTCTCCTTCCTACGCAGCGGGAACCATATGCCTTTGCCCTTGCCGACGAGTTCTTGATTGAAGTAAGTGCTTCCTTGATCAAGAGGGACAAGGTTGTAGCCCAACAGCGCGTTTTCCAGGATCGGTCCCAGCAGCCCCCGCTGATCCGCACAACCGGTTAATGCGATCCGCATCTTTATCAAAAGGAAAAGTCCCCCTTGCCCATATCAACAGGAAGTTTCTCACGCTGGATTTGCGTACGCAAATCAGGTCTGTCTTGCAATAGAAGACTGCAGGCCCATAATATCACGCCTATAGTAGAAGGGTTTTGACGTAGGCGCGTAGCATGGCAAATGTGAACCCTGTAGGCCCCATAGCATCACAAACCCCCTGCATGAGGTCCCGGAGTCGCTGCATTGGCCTTCTTGCAATACAGAGACGACTTGTGTCCACAAATCAGCAACACAAATTTTCAGAAGTATCCCTTTTTGGTATGGGGAGGCGGGATAATTTTTCCTCACGATAATCTTTTCCGCCAAGCTAGGAATCTCCTGCAGGGCTTCGTACCACATTCGCGCTCTTTTGGTCTCAAAACGCTGCCCGATCGGATCTACTTCCCAGGGTGGCAAATCCCGTAACCGGCACAGGCTTTCCTCCGCGGGTAAAGAGGATAGTTCTTGTAAAATTCGAGCAGCAGAGGGATCGTTATCTGTTTGTTCCCGCGCGTCAAGTGACAACATCGAAAAGGACCCGGTCAAGACCACGGGTTGCGTTTCATGATCTCCTCTCCACTGCTGGTAAAAACCACTTTTCATTTTCTCGTCCTCCTCGGAATTTTTCAAAAGCGCTTCTTGAGGTCGTCCTTCTTCGACATCCCCCTCGTTTCCGTTCTGATCGGGAATGATTTGTTCAGCTGGACGACCACGTCCAGCTGACTCTAGCACTACTCCTGCTGCTTCATCTGGTGGCAACTGTCGTGCGGCCGGGGTTCTACTTTCATCATAGTCCTCGTCGTCCCCCAGGAGTGGTTTCAGCTGCAAGGAGCTAATACCACGAAGAATTAGTATTTCATTCAAAAGGAGGTGGACCAAAGTTGATGCGATCATGCTCTTATTTCTTCTCGGGCAATGAACCAGTGCTGCTGGTGCCCGCTTTACGGATTTTTCGGACCACAGCCGCATTCTTTGCTTGAGCTTGTACTTGTAATTGTATAGTGTAAAGTATGCTTATTTCAATTTCACCGAAAAATAATCTGTACACTGGTTCGCTCAGAGCTAGAAAGCGAAAGCAATCTGTAGAATGTACCACAGGAGTCAGGGTAGAAGAAAACTTTTATGTACTCGGGTTCTAAGGTGCGCAGCACGTAGAAACTCTTGTTCATTAAAAAGCACAACTACAACCAGCAGTGCCAGGTCAAAAAATGTACTAGACTGGGTCAAAATTGTGTAGTTGTCCTGGCTAGAGGGAGCTAGGTCCTACGGTGCTGAAGTTTTCATTTTTCACTTCCTTTCGTGTTGAGCGAAGCAGTATATTAATTCGGCCCATAGGAGGCAAAATCAATCTAGGTCGAGGAGATGAACTTGTACTTGTACTTGTACTTGTACTTGAGTACATTCTTTAGTATTTTGGTGCGGAGAAGATTAACAATAGAACCTTGTTGTCCTGAACTACTTAGTTCCGATCGGATCTAGAACCGACTTACTTCACGCATTGGTTGTAATATCATTGCGACCGAGAGTTCTTGTGGGGCCAAAGCTACAGCACTGCTTTTCATTTGTAGTCGTGCTTCGACGGGCTCGTTTCGATGGTGATCAACCGACGACTTCTAGACAAAAGGGAAGGGGCCCTTGGGAGTGCCAAAAGACAAAGAAGTTTACTTCTAGTACCGATGCTGACTGGCCGACTTTCTGCGAGCATTTGCCCGTTCTCCAGCTTGTCTGACAACTGGATCTGTAAAGAATATACCGAATCGCGAGAACAAACCTGCCGATTCTCAAGTACTTTTACCTTGAAAGTTTTCTTGATTTTCGTTTCTCTTGATTTTCGTTTTTCGAATTGCTTTCGTCAAACTCAAATGTTCTTGGGAAGATGATTTCGTGAAGTTCTTTCAAATTTTACTTACATCCACAATTGATGTTGCTGCTGTGCTCCTTGGTTCATCTGTTTATTCTTTCGCGCCAAATAAACTACTGGCTTCTCACGCGAGGATGTACGACCTTCGAGGTGGGAGGTTGACTACTTCGTAACATCATCGAAGATCTACTGTATCGAACTACTATCAGCCTCCTCGCCTATCCCATCTCTACTGTCGTGGTGCCTCCGCTCGGCCAATAAGATGAAACAGACAGCCTTCTTCTTCTTCCTAGACGTCGCAGGACTACTTACAATTATTCCGCCCAGGCCATCATTGGTTTGTTCGCAGCAGCGAAATCTACCCGCAATGGTGGAGGCTCCAGAAGTACATGGGTATAGAACTGGTCAAAAGTCCGCATCGTTGAAAAAACCACGCGAACTAGACGGCCGCCGAGTGAGAGACATAGAGTTGATGTCCACCTCTCTAGATGGTATCGTAAACCAATGAAAATTGGTGATGCTCGTTGTAGTAGTACCTGCAGTCGTTTTGAAGATTCAGACATTTCATTTCATTTCATTTCTTTGCAGCCATTGAAGATGTTGCACCTCGACCGATTGACCTAGAAGATGCTTGATGTTCTATCTGATGCAATAAAATTTCGTACTCTCGTGGCACGACATGGAGCTTGATACAAAAATGCAGAAAAGAGATGCTAATACATGATACGTAAAAGTAAGTACCGAGCTGCAACATCTTTTCGCTAGGTCGCCGATAGCAGCAGCGGCAGCAGTGCTGGAGCTGCACCAGGCGTGTCAACAGTAGTTCTAGCACTACAACTTTAGCTGCCCTCCTGCGCCGCTAGCCTGGCGGCCTCGCGGTTTTGCCGCGCCTTCTCACGGCCCGCCGCTAGCCGTGCGAGGTTGGCCGCCTTCTTTGCGGCTTTCTCCTCCTGCTTCTTCTTCTTAGCCGCAAGCATCTTCTCGATGTGCTCGCGGGAAATTGGCATTTTTACTTTTGGTTTTGTGTCAACACAAATCGTCCGCTTCAACAAATGAAATAAATCTAGACTACAGAGTCAATCTAGAACTACTTGTTGCTACTTCTTGTTTCCTTTGAAAACGGAGAGAACCTATTAGTTGCTTCTGTACAAGCACTTTTTAAGCTTAATAGAGTAGAGTTGCTACGGCGTTCTTTTGAAGAAGTAAGTAGTACTAGACCTTACAATTTTCTACACCTGTTGTTCGTTGTTTTCATTTTGGAAATGATCGCAGTTTCAAAAAGCGACTCGAAGTTAGTAGTTGCTTTCAGTATTTGGATATAATAGAGCAACGGGGGCCTATCACTACATCACTCTTGATATAAATTTTTGGGCCGAAATTGTTGCTTCTCACAGGTTGATGACCTGGGCAGGGTGTGGCGATAGATTTGAAGAAAGATGATACCTCGACATTTATTTGCGGTGTAGTGATGATGATGAGACCTTGGGTGCATGCTTTGGCGAGAATTTCTTGTGGTGTGACAAATATTTGACACGCGGCAGGAACTTTTAGCACATCTTGCCGCGTGTCGTGTGCAAATTAAAAATCTGTAGTGTTCCACTCACTTGAAAATCAGCGAAACTGGGAAAAGAACTGTTAAACAACCAGAACCAACTCAGCCGACATAATTGTGCAGGAAAGCTGGTTTCCTCATCGGTCTACCAGTTCCAGAGCCTGATGATGATCGGCTTTGGTGCCTCGTGAAGATGATGATCGGTCGTGAGGGAGAAGTTCATCTACCTACAGATAGCTCAACTTACATTATATTACAACCTCGTCTTTATTTTATGTCTTGGTCCTCTCGCTCTCGTATAATAAGTACTTATGCTGCAGGAAGCATTTTCTTGATGGGCGCTTCCTCGTAGGCTGGAGTAGAGAAAAGATGACTATCAATCTGTGCAGACGATTCATTTCAACACCACAAGGAACACGGAACAAGATACCAAAACCGCTGAGACGAGGCCTCACCCGAAATGAGGAGCGGCTGCTGCACGAGCAGACCGACCAGCTTCTTTATCAGTACTTGTTCATCTGGGGTTCATTTTCGTACTGCAGTTGCAGCACGACGGCACAAAAAACTATGCGTGAAGATGTTGTAGTTCTCATCTCTAGTATAATTTCCGATGTTCTTCTTTCCTCTTGGTCCTAAGATAGACTCCTCTGGTGATCGCAGTTTGTATCGTTCTCGGAAAGGAGTTTTGCCTTGAAGTAGACCAGAGTAAAAACGTCGACCCGCACGAAGTAGTAGATCGATTCTACTTTGCGCCGCGAAAAATAGAAAAATGACGCCACAAGGGGATACCTTGCAGCGCGATAAAACTTGTCTACTTCTTATTCGTAAACCGAATAAGTAGCCACTCTGTTATGTAGAATAGTCAGAGGTAAAGAAATTCAATACCGCTGACAATGTTTAGATTGTTTTTCCATCGTGTACCTAAAAATTAGTGGTGCGTAGAAGTTGTTGTACATAGTGTCAAAGATGAATCATACGATGCTAAAAAGTTCTTGCGGAGGGCCGCCGTTCCGCCGCCTGAAGTTCTTTCCTAAATTGTTTAAAAAAAGTCCTCTTCAAGTGCTGTGAAGATAAATTGGTCCAATTGGAGGTGAAGGCGATCATGCTGCCAGGAAATAAAATGACTAATACGACATTCGTCGTGCCGAGATCATGTTGTACTTCTTTGTGGTGTTTCTCTCGATGGCAAGATTAAAATCATCTATCGATGCTGCATTATTTTTCGGCTAATTTATTTCCTGTCCTTCGCATGATTTATTTCGGCCTTTGTTACTTGCAAAAAGACGGCGAGACCAAAACCTCCAATGGTCGCGTAACATACAACTCGAACAGAACCAGGCGAATTGGATTGCCTGCTTCTGCTGTAGTTAATATTACGGTAGTCAAATTGTCAAAACTATTTCTAATACTAGAAGCTAGAAAAACTAGCATTAAATGGTGCGTGCTGATGATCATCGGCGTGATAGTGTTTTATTAATGGAAAAGTTAAAGAAGAAACAAGTAAAAAAAAAGAAAATCATACACGAAATCATAATACAATGCGCTTTCTGAAGAGGTAGTAGACATAGACATACACCGACGTAGTGGGATACTACCCATGTGGTCCACCGTGCCACTTTTCAAAATTCCTCATATGCTATGCAAACTGTATACTTCCTTGTTGTGGACCCAAAACTCTAGCGGCGACCAGGTTAAAAATTGCTTCTCTTGGCCTGGTGAGTTTTTGTACTATGTGACCTAGAATTTCTCTCGTAGCAAAACATCAAGTGTACTAAAATAAAACTCCTGGAGCTGGACCTCAACATGCCATCCTCTTCTACTACACTCTCGCTATCAACGCCCCTCCCGCGCATCCTAGGGCGCGGGTTCGATGAAGACGTAGTACATTGCGACCGGCCGGTCTTCCGACCAATTTCTGCGGTGCGAGAGCTGCCCGTAAGAACGTTTGAGGTCCTCTTCTTTCACCGGCTTCAGGACGTTTCCTTCGTGGTCAAGCTGTACGGAGGTCGCGTTGAAATTATCATCCGGCGGACGGACCGTGCCGCCTTCGTCCCGCATCAGAAATCTGGTCATGCCACGCAACCTCTTGTCCTTCAGCCCGTTGACCTCGTCCATCGGAAATCCGTATCAGAAGGAAAAATCTCCCCTCCCCATGATATTGAACATGCATGCTTCCGAAAATTTGCGCTGCGGATTTGAGGTCACAAATCACATTTGTATTGCAAGAAGACAAGGGCAGAAGCTTCCGCCCCATTGTGGACGCGATTTGTCATGCTGTTGGGCCTAAAGGGGAGCCGTTTGCCATGCTGAACAAGTAGACCCATACGCCCCTACCTACCCTGGTGACCTGACCGCAAAGCCTCTCTGCAGTACAAAGCTGACTTGTGTACACAAATCCAGCATCAGAAATTCCGTTTTGATATGGGGAGGGGGAATTTTTCAAGTCCGTAATCCGAGAAGCGCGTTTAGCACGAGAATCCACTGCGGTGGGTCAAAGCCCTCCCAGACGCGGTTGCGCCCTTTCTGCTGCACATACAGTTTGTCACCCCAAATACCCACGTACCGGCGATAAGTTTCGGGAAAAACATCACGGTTGCCCTATCCTGAGTAAAAACGTACCCACACCAGAGTCAAGTTGGCAAATCTGCTAGACAAATCACACAGCTTTGGTCGTTTGGCATGACAAGTTTGTCCTCGTAGTGTAATCCTGTTTCGCTAGCTCAGAAGCATTACAGATCTAGCCTACAATACTGATTCTAGCATCACAAATTCCAAAACACGAATAGAAAATGCTTCTCATAGGGCTCCGCATGAGAAACTTTTTTGGCATGCAGAATTGCATGACAACTCTGGGGTGGGTACGTTTTTACATAGGATATGGCCCACGGATGCTCCGAGTTAGAAGAAACTTCCACTTTTTCAAAATCGAAATCCGAGGGTGTAACTTGCACTTTATCCTGTGCAAAAGTATCGTACTCGTAGTAATTGCAAACATGCATTACAAATCTTGCTCCTAAGGTAAATCCGCATTACAAATTTCATTATCTCATGCTGAGGAAATTTGTAATGCATCTTTTTTTTTTTTTAAATACAAATCACAAAAATAACGCAGCGAAATATCACATAGACAACTTCAGATCGGAAAAAGAGGTGATCCAGGCTCGTCGTCCTTGTTCTATCGCGGCATCGTATTCGTGGTTCGTAAGTGCCATCTGACCCCTTCGCCTTTCGGCTCCAGACTGCTTGTCCCTTCTCGTCGCGACATGCTACAGTTGTTCACATGGTCAGCAGGCGGCGAGTCACACCACCGAGTTGTTTCCATCCTCGCTGTGCAAGAGAGTCAACAACCGTAGTGATGCAACAACGCAGGTGCTATGTTGCTCTTCCTTTTTTCGGTGGTGATTCTGTACCTGTTCCTAGAGCCCACTGGTCCGCCCCTCACGCCTAAAAAACTAAGCCTAAAGGTCGGGAAATCTCGAATCACATTTGCGTGAGTTTTGAAGAAGCAACTTTTGGGATCCTGATTTGCCATGACATGCATGGCTGGGCGCAGCGCGACTCCTGAGACCTTAGAGGGGCTTGACAGTGTGGCAGCGTGACTCCTGAGACCTTAGAGGGGTGAGGCAACATCAACCCTCCTACACAGTCGAACATGAGTGAGAACTTCAACACCGCAGCAACTCAAGGAAGGGAGCAGAAGCCGGGCGAAGAAATTCACACCCGAACTTTAGGTCTCCTGTTTTGGGTCCATTTGTAAAGAAATAAAAAGCGACTCGCTGTGGCCTTTTTTAACGTTAGGAGTCACGCCCTAGCGACATCTTTATCTTTGCCCTTGCTTTGCATCCCCGCCCGAAAAAAAAACGCGAGCTAGTAACAGATAGAGAATGTCGTTGAGTCTGTTGGGGCATCAGGCGTAGTGGACATCTAAGCTGCCTACTCCACTACCCCATCCTTTGCCCCAACTGTGGAATCTGCTTGGTTTTGTGTGTTGCTTTTTTAGCCAATCGAACAACGAGCGCTAACGCTGTAAAACCGCGATACGCAAACAGATATCGAAATCGAGATCCTCTATCCTGCTCAGCTAGCCCTCCCCATACGAACCTCTAGGCGATACGAAAATTTGTAATGCATCTATACGAGTACGATACTTTTGCAGTTCATACACCTTTTCAAAATCGAAATCCGAGAGTGTGACGACGTGCTCTGCTGATGAAGATCCACTGCTGTGCCCAGACAACTCTGGCTGCCTTCGGGTACCAGATTTTTGAGTGATCAGATTGTTTATCAAATGCAAAAGTGTCTGGGTCTGGAAGGATCCGAACTTGTGATGCGAGTTGCGGACCAAACAAAGATCTGTCTTGCATGACTAGCAAATAAAGGTTCTGACTTCTGGCCATTCTGAGAGGGTATTTCTGATGCAGAATTATAGGCATCACCAAGGGGCTGTAGAACCTGTCATGCTAGGCCCCGCATTCCAGACTTGAGGGAGCTTGGAAAAACTGCATGACAAACTTGCACTCTTCCAGACCCAGACATATTTGCAATGCATATTGTTCGCAGCGGTGTTATTTTTCATCTGCGGTAGCATTTTCGTGCTAAACTGAAACCAGACGTCTGCCGCGGTTATCAACTGTAAAAGTGTCTGGGTCTGGAAGAATCCAACTTGTCATGCTGATTTTGGATTCTAAAAAAATCTGTATTGCATGGGCAGCAAATAGAGTCCAAGTCTTGCTACACGGAAAGAGCGTCTGTCATGCGGTATAGGCATCAGGAAGCCCTCACAAAAGCTGTGATGCTAGGGCATGCATCACTGACATCAGGAGTCATGCAAAATGTGCATGACAAACCTGGCAATCTTCCAGACCCAGACATTTTTACAGTTGATAACGGTCTTCAGGAACTGATTCTTCCCCGACGAGGGCAAATCATCCGGCAGCGTGAGCGGCAGCCCAGGACTGACCCAGACGGCCGAAACCCGCTGGCCGGCTTGGGCGCGGTACTCGATTTCTCGGCGGTAGTCGGCATCTTGGAGGAGGTCGGACCCCAGCGGCGCCAGGACTTGCACCACTTTGTACTTGCTGCGGGGCGTGGTGGGGTCCTCGAGGAAGGTCTCTAGCAATTCCAAGTACTCAGCTGGATGTGCGGTGGAACCGACCAAACGCTCCTTCTATCAAATGCAAATATGTCTGGGTCCTCTGGAAGAGCCATGCTGCTTTTGCATGACACAGGAGGTCTGGCATGGAAGCTCTAGCATCACAGATTTATTCGAGCAGCTTCCGCAATGCCGAATCCGCATGACAACTTATGGCCCACTTTGGTCGTGACAGAGAGTGGGCTGCAGCTTTTGCTGCCTATCATGCACGAGAGATTTTGATGCGTCGTGAAATTTCCGCATCACAAGTTTGCATTCTTCCAGACCCAGATCGATATTTGCAATGCGTACCTTCTCGTTCGCAAACTCTTCCCTCAGCCACACCAGGCGCGGATCGGAGTTAAACGCCTTTTCATCCTTCGTCCTAGCGGCGTTGTTATCTCCGCCCCGGCAAAAGACGTAGTACAACCCGAGTGCGAGGCCCAGGCACGCCACCAACGCGATAATGCCGACGGCGATCCAGATTGCGCGCGCCTGCTTCTTCCGATCCTCCAGCATTTTCTCATGCGAGAGGCCGTCGCCGTATTGCATATTACCGGCGCCAAACAACGCAGTTTTCAGGTCGATGGCCATCTGCCGGGTGAAGCCGGTCCCAGCGGGCTCGGAGAGAAGAACGAAGTCGTCCTCGGAAATGGAGAGGCGGTATGAATGTGCACAACTCTCCCTCCCCCTCGTTTGTCATGCAAAATACCTAATTTACCACTTGGCTCTTGGCACTGTTTGCATGACAAGTTCTGGCAGCCCAAATAGCACTACGCTCCTGTCCAAATTTGTCATGCAAAAAGTGTATTATTGCTGACGCTTGTATTGCTGTTCATGCAATACAAATGAGGGGGAGGGGGAATTGTGCACTTTCATAGGTGCTGCTGAAGATCTTCTAGTTGCGCATCAACTCGCTGCTCTCCTTGGTAGGGTGTTGATGTTGGTACTACTCCACTTGCAGCAGGATTCTTTTCAACGTTACTTTGCTTGTTTTCATCCACAAACGCCAATCGTCTGCTCGGTTGACGTTCTGCTTCCAAACTTGATGTCCTTGCAGCTAAAGGCGCAACAGTTTCATCATCTTCGCCCGAAACCGGCGCACTCACTTTCGCCGCGGAACCGCGAGTGGAAGTAGACTTTGGCAGGAGCGGAGCTCGTTGCTCCTGAAGCTGCTGGTCTTCTTCATTTCGACGCATCGCGCGAGGAAAACCAGCCCGCTCATCCGCCGGGTCGACTTCTTCATCAAATGTTGTTGCGTTGTCTTTACTAGCTGTTGGCCTCGACCACGTCGGTTGCCGCCCGTTCACATTCTGATTGGTATCATCTCTGGTGGACGTCGAAGAAGAAAAAAACCTTTTCCTCTCCTCTTCGAAGCACTGCTCGAGTATCCCAAAGAAAAAAGCTGGCAGGTCAGATTTGTAATGCAAGAATAAATAGACAAAACGCTCTGTCTTGCATGTCCTAAACAGCATGCTATGGCGTTCCCCATGACAGATTTTTCTGTGTATTTATTTTTGCATTACAAATCTGCCCTGCCAGCTTTTTTCTGTGTGATATCGAGTTTTCTCCGGAGTCCGCACTTCTTCGCGGGAATCTCTTCGGAAACGAACAATAATCGCCCGTTGTTCCGGTCGTGGACCGACTCCACGAGAAGTTTCGCCTATCCTGAGTAAAAACGTCCCCACCCCACTGTTGTCATGCAGATTTGCAATTGCAGGAAGATTTGTAATGCGCATCTCCATGAGAGAGAGGCATTTCCAGTCACGTTTTGGAATTTGTAATGCTGTAAACAGGATAAGCAGATCGATTTGTAATGCGGCTGCACTAGCTAATCTGCACTACACTACGGACTGAACTTTGTCATGTGTGGCTCCCAAAGCTTCTGGTTTTGTATTGCTAAGTAGTTCCCAACTTGACTATTGGGTAGGGACGTTTTTACATATGATATCGCCACGCGCCGGAGCAACCCCAGGCCGAACCGACACGCGACTTCCCGCTGCGGCTGGCCCTGGCTGCAGACGGTGGGGACGCCGTAGGACTCGAACACCTTCCCCGCCGTGTGCGTGTAGCAGCCGAGAAGGATGACAAATTTGGGCAGTTTGTCGTCGTCGGACAGCTATCCCGTACAAAAGTATCGCACTTGTTGTATTGCAGTCATGCATTACAAGTCTTTTTCTTTAAGGTAAATCCGCATGACAGATTTTATCTCTCATGCTAAGGAAATTTGTAATGCATTTACACGAGTACGATACTTTTGCAGTTCATAACAGCTCCTGGAGAAAAGCGTTCAGTTCGGAAAGCGGAATCTCCTCCTTGCCGAGCTTCAGGTTCTGCTTCACGTGCTTCAAGGCTGAGGGATATCAACTGTAAAAATGTCTGGGTCTGGAAGAATGCAACTTGTCATGCTAAACCTGAATGATGCAAAAATCTGTGTTGCGTGAGTGCCAAAAGCTGTCCGCTTTTGACCAAGTTGCGAGGGAGTTTCCCATGCAGGAGAGGCATGATAGAGACCTCAAAGAATCTGTCATGCTGGGTCTCGCATTCCAGACCTCATGGGTCATGGAAAACTTGCATCACAAATCTTGCATTCTTCCAGACCCAGACATTTTTACATTTGATAAGGGAGCGGAGGATGATATTTCAACATCTGCAGTTGGCCCCGTTGTACCAGCAGCAGCTCCAGGTAGTTGTAGTAGTTGCTGCGTCTCCTCCTCGTCGGGATTCTCAGCATTATAGTTCCTCTCGTCTATAACTTCCCGCCCTGTGACACGGACCCGCGATCCGCGTATCTGCTCCACGGGAGCGTGGGTATCAACCGCAAAAGTGTCGGGGTCTGGAGGAGTCATGCTGTTTTTGCATGACCAAGAAGGTCTGGCATGGAAGCCCTAGCATCACAGGTTTCGAGAAGCTTCCGCAATGCCGACTCCACATGACAAATCCCCCACTTTGATGACAGAAAGTGCAAGTGATAAGCTTTTGCTACCTATGCATGAGAGAGCTTTCTGTGTTCTGAAATGCGCATCACAAGTTTGTATTCTTCCAGACCCACACACATTTGCAATCCATAGTGGGCAAAGTAGTACCACACATCTGCTCCGCCGTCCTTCGAGGCGGCGAGATTCTTGAACTTCTTGACGGTATCCACCGCTTTCAAGTGGTACAGGTCTCTCACATAATTCCCGTCTAAATAAAGCGAAGAGGACGACGAAGCGGAACTGGATCTACAGACGCGGGGAGCAGCAGGGGATGATGACGTTCTTGAAGGGGTCTTATTCATGATTTTTACCCGAGTCGTTGTTTTTGCTGCTCCTCTTGTTCTTTTGTTCGACGCTGTCTGATCGTCAGATTCTCCTTGAAAATGATAATCATCAGGATTATGTGGTCCTGAGAGTTCTTCTTCTTCTCCCTCGTCGTCCCGCACCACCTCGCGATGAATATCAGAATCGTTCTCATCCTCAGCGGATAATATTAAACCTTGTTCATCAGTACCAGAGCTCGGCATCGTCGTGGAGGTTCTACTTGAGGTGGGCCCGCTGCTAATACTATAATCGCTACTACCCAGCCTCGAAAACATCTCCTCGATCTGTTCCTGGTGCCGGTCTAAAAGCAGGTCCTTCCCGAAGCCGACCGCACTACGCTCCCCGTTGACCACCAAAATTCGCAACGGCTTCCACTGGATCAAACTCGTGTCCAGTTCCATGCCAATTCTTTCCAAAAGGTTCTCGATCTTCGGGCTTTTGCGCAGTTCGATCTGGGGCGGGCCTTCCGAGAGGGTGCCACCGAGAACCTTGTTGATCATGGCGAGGTAGTGATCTAACGCGTCAAGCGTCTGCTCCTCCTGCTGTTTAGGTTTGTCTTCATTTTCATCTCCTTGTTGCTGCGCATCATTTTTATGCTGGAATATTAAATGATGACCTTGTTCCTGCTCCTGTTGCGCGCACCGCGCCAAGTCCTTGCAGTAGAGCAGCCCGCCCGTGGGATTCAGCGGATCGTCATACACGACCTTCGCATCGACGGGGGGAAGGGAGTAAGTGATGGAGTGGAAGATTGTGGGAACCGCAGAAGTTGTTTTCACTGTCCACATGATTTTCGGCATGAACCTTGCGAACCCTCTGGCGTAGTTAATGTTTGCCGACTTTCCGTAAAATTGGACCTTCCGCTGCTCTTCGGGCAACAGAAGCAACCCCTCGTCGACAGCCTTCATCAGCAGATAAATCCGCAAGCGGTCGGCGCACACCGGCTTGTTGTGGGCCCCGCCGGTCGTTGCGAGAACAATGCCGTATTGCTCGAAAATGCTCGGAAATTGCATCAGCAGCCGGTCCGCATGCTTTTTGCACGCACTGCCGCACTTCCGACACAACCGGAATGTGTAAGAGGACACGGACAACGCCTTTGAAGAGGTGGAACTACTGCTGTCGAAAGTGTTAGAAGTACCCGAGCTGGTACTTTTGTCGGCCTCCTTGCCCTCGACAATCGCTGGCCAGTAGAACTTGTAAAAGTTGTTGTCTAAGTGGAAAGATGAATTCTCGTCAATTGTCGTGTTGTTCGGAACATTAAACCTGTTCATCTGGGCTGCCGCGAACAAAAACGCTGGTGGTGTTTTCAGACAAAATTCCGTGACATCGATCACCGGCCTTCTGGTAGAAATCGGGTCGACGGAATTCAGATTGCTGGTGGAGTTCTTAGAGCTGTCAAGAAGATGTTGAGCGGTGTTCTGTCTGTTGTTACTCGTGGTCTTGTTGCTCATCTTGTTGTTCCCACTTGTGCTGCTCGCCGCGGTAGAAAGAGTTCCTCGGGGACTGCTTTCCATTAATATTTCCGCAGCATTCGATGGTGTAGCAGCTCCAGGAACTGCGCCGCCGGAAGTTGTCAAAGTGTTCACCATCTTGCCATTCACCACTGCAAACTGCGACGTCTGCAAAATGCGCTGTTGAGTACTAGCGCCGGCTCCTTGAAGTAGACTTCCGGTGGAGGGTGCAGTACCAGAGGTTGTCGTGGCAACTTCGGTCACGGTGGTTTTCATCGTTACCAAATTACTTCTGGTTGTTGTTGTTTTTCCCTTTGTGGACGCCGACGGCGACGTCGCGGAACGAGAAGTACAAGAACTGCAGCTTTCGAAGTATTTTTCGCGCAGTTTCGACCGCAGTTCCGCGATGATTTTTTTCGTCAGCGCTGCATCTTTGCTCACGAGGTAGTGCAAGATCCCTAGCTGGGACAACAGAATCAGGATCTGGTGCTCCTGGCTCGGGATAAAATGATGATCTTGTTCGAGGACATCGCTAGTACTTTTTGTTGTACTAGTAGCTGATGCTGATCCAATCGGCACAAGCTCGACGTGAAAAAGGGGCTCGCGATTAGGATTGCCTCCCGTACTAGTACTCGTAGTAGTCCGATTCAACAATGTTGCTTGTCCCGCCGGAGAAAAATGCGTGGTGGGCGAGGACCCTCGCTCGTCGGCCGCCCAGGAGGTGGTGGAATTGGTTGTGAATAACAGATTTTGATTTTGATTTTCACTGTCTACTGTACTGTCCGGGGGAAAATTGATGTTCTGTGCAGCAGCAGCATTAGTAAAACCGGGACCCCCGCCTGACGAACTTGTGCCGCTCATCCGCGCGTTCGTGCTTATTGCCGGGATGTGTTCCAGAAAGGCAACTAAAAACTTCTCCGACTTCGTCCCGGATTCCCGGTCCATCGTTTGCCTTGTCAAGTACAGAAACCATTGGTTCTGTTGCTGCTCCCGGAGGTCCGCAAAGTGAAAGGGCGGGGACGAAGGGAATAGTGAGGTGGCAGCTGCATTGCGGTAGTTTAAAAAAGAATTGTCCACTTCGCCCGAAGCTGCAGCAGTTGCTCCGGCTCCTGGTGGAGACGAGGTCGTCCGGTCCAGAGAAAAGTTGTTCCCGCCTCGCCTGTGCCACAAAAACGCCTGCGCTTCCTGGTCATCCGCAGTGTCAGCCGCCTTCACAAGTTCCAGCGAAAACCCGACCAGAGTACAACTAGGGTCGTGTGGTGGACGTCGAGGGTCCTTGTTGTTCTCAGCGAAATTCATCATTTGTCCCGGTTCATGCTGCACAAAAAACGTGCGGGTGGTATTCTTGAAGGCGGTTGAATTCGACAGATAATTCTCCTGTGCCGGCGCTCCTCCAGGATAGTTATAATCATTCTTCGACGACGTGGCTGTTGTTGTACTTGTCGTGGGGGTCGTCCCATTGTTCTGCTCAAGAAGACCACCTACACTGCTAGTACTATCTAGCTCGAAAAACGCCCGGATTTCCTGTTCCGCGGCCTGCAATATCAGTCGCGACAGTTGTTCCTTTTCGATTTGAAAAAACGGTGCGGGGAGCTTTCGGATCCGGATCAGAACCTTTTTCAAATTCTTCAACAAGTTCTGTGCGTACTGCCGATTCAGCGCATTCGGCGGCAGAGTGATGCCGAACGGGTTCAAAACTGGATGGAAGGGACTGCCAGGAGCGCCGCTACTGCTGCTCTCGGTTCTAATTACAGGAGGGTCGCGACGACCAGAGGTAGAATCGGGCAAAAATGACTGCTCGTCGTGGTGGCCCCCGATTCTATTCAGCATTGGTGATGTTGTTCCACCTTGACCTGCCACCGGCCCTTGTGCACTTCCAAAAGCTGCCGGAGGAGGTCCTGGAGGTCCTGCAGTTATGTTGCTTTGCAGGACAAGCTGCCTCATCAGGTCCAGGAAAAGTACATTCCGGGGGTCGACGAGTGGAGCGCCGGGGGAAGGAGCTGCAGCTCCGGCCATCGAGGGTGTCATGGTAGCGGAAGTAGCTCCACCTGCAGCTGCACCTGGCGCTTGTTGTACCAACATCTTCTCCTGCTGTCGAAAATTATAGTCCTTCTGTTGTTTCAAATACTGCAGTTTCGCCACCTCGTAGCGGCTCCCCGGAGATAAATCATCAGGCTTGCTAGTGCTTTGGAGGGGCCCAGCAGTTTTCCCCGACGGGAGATTCTTTTTTTTCCTGGTATTGGGCTGCATGACTTGCTATGTGCTATGCTTGTACGAATTATAAAGATGTATTTGATGTGCTCCTGTTATGGGGATGTTCCTGCTACCGGTAGGTAGATTAGAGCCACATCATAAATATGATCCCATGCGGGAAAAATCTCCCGAGTTGGATTTGGTACGGTATCAAAGAAAAATGTACTTATACTCTGTGCAATACTGATGATGTTAGTTCTACTTTTTATCATGTATGAAATAGATCAACACAAAGATGCTCATAGACTGCTGCTTATCGTCCTGTATTTGTGGGTATGTTGCAGCAATCAATGTCGCACTTTTTTTACTGCGGTCGTGAGAAAACAACATCGTAAAATCTTCAAAGCGTGGTCGATTTCTTCCAGACTACTAGTTGCACTACTTTATTTCGTAGCAAAAGATAACTTTTTTTCGAACCAGCATCGGACTTGTCTTTATTACAGAACGCGTTCCGTGCGGCATATCTAGACATGTGATCGGTGGGTCATGGATCTTCACTAGTGCCAGCAAGTAGATCTTCTGCGATTTTGATTGAAAGTTAACATGAACATGTTGACCTCAGACTTGTTTGCGGACCACATGCAAGTCGTTTTGTCGATCCATATTCAAGTCGTTTTGTTATTTCTCGCGCAGGATCTTCGAAGTCGCGGTGATTAGATTTGCATCTCAATATCACTTCAGCTTTATGTCAGCCCGCCGAGGTGGACACCGAAATATACACATCTTCAAAACCGAAAAGGATTGGGCTGTCACTGCACATCTATTCGACGCCTCCTCGGGGCCGAGCGAGTGTTATTGCTCATCCTGGAGCAGTCGTGCTGTGGTCCTCCAGCACTTGTTGGAATAAAAAAGCTACTATACCGACGGTATCCGAATATTAGTAGAGCTCCACCGAATTTTTGAATATTGAAGCTTATTATTTGATTGAACCGTGATCGTAGCAAGCGGAATTCATCTAATGCAAATTATGTGATCTCGGTGGGCTGGCATAGTACCGCTGCAGCTTTTCATGCAAGCTATGTCCTGCTTGTTCCCAGAACTGCTCGTCCTCGTGAGTCATAGAATAAAACCTGCATGATGATCTATGTCTTGCGATGTTTATCTTTCGGACCACCCAGACCACCTATGTGATGCATGTATCAATTTCAACATCCACAAAGCAGAACATCAAGCGGCTAGGTAAACTATACCGCAGATGAAAGGTGCCAGAAGGCAACATTGCAACGACTCGCTAAGTGCTGACCACTGTGGAACCAGCCACGCAAAAGCGAGCAGAAGCAGTGCTCATGATTTTCTATCAGTTAGCTTCCGCGCTGTACTGTGCAGGGTTTGCCTAAAGTCCGACGATCGTGTTCGAAATATCTACTACTTGCTTCATCATAGCGTAGTATTTATTCGAGCTTTATTCGATCGACTAAATCGCGCCGCGCCAGTGTGCTAACTTAAACTTTTCACTCTTCCTTGTGTAGCCTAAAAGATGACCATGGATATCACCACGACCACCACCTCTAGACTACTATGCTTCTATGATGTACTTTACTTCTTGTACTAGGGAAAAAAAGGAAAATCTCCGAAAGATTTTCGTTTGCTGAATTATGTCAGGATTTTACATGTACCATGCTGATGATGAAAATATGCTCATAGCAGATTTGTTGAAGATGCAGATGTAAATGTATGAGAAAGGAGGATAGTGTAGTAGTAAATGCACAAAACGATTTACGCAGAAGTATGTGGTAAAAAAAAAAATAACTCGCTTGTACAACTATTTTTCGGGTCACTTCTCGAATAGTTGTACAACAACTCAGTACAAGTTGTTAGACTCAACTTATCACAACTCATGTAGACTCACTGTAAAAATTCTACTTGTATGTACTAAAAAACTGTGGAAAGTGAACAAACTCGTTCGACTTTAGCCTGAATGGTGCTGTGTAGTTGAATTTGCATTTCCTATCCCTCTTCTCGGCGCATCATGATGACGAAAATAACCCGCAAAAGAATTGTGTTCAGAAAAACGACGACTGTGGAGGAAAAAGCGATCCTATCATCAGACGCAGTTCTGTTTGTATAAAAAAAAATCCGAATTATCCCGTGCGGAATTCAACATCGTTAAGGGCCCAAAGAGACTGACGAAGAAAAATCGCAGAAATGCTGCGTCGAGGAACAGAGAAAAAATCTTGGCCCCGGGAGGGTTGCGAACGAGCGCAACTACCACATGCTTGAAACAAATGAGGGGGGGCCCGCCAGGTTTAGGCGAAATGGGCGCCCCGAATTTTTTCAAGCCCGAAAAAAAATTGCCAAGCTGAAAAGACAAAAATCCGCCCGGCGCGTTACCGCCTGACCGCCAGGCGGTAAGGGCAAGGCGCCGCGCGAGCGAGGAAAAACATGAAAGCCCGCCGCGCGCGAGCGACGAAAAACTTTCGCCAAGGAGGCGCAAAGGGGGGCGGGGCGCCGAACCATCTGGCGCAGGCTCGGCAGCATAAAAAAATCGCGCGCGCAGCGCGCGGGCGAGAAAAACATTTTGCGCCCCCGGCGCAGAAGCGTCGGGCCCGACGAAGCAGCGCCGGGCGTGTGCGTTTTTGTGCAGCCGGCGAAGAGCCGCCGAACGAGGTGCCACGGCCCCGTCCCACATCGCGCGCGGCCGAAAAATTTCGTTTTTTCCGCAGCCGACACAGAAGCGCCGAGCGCGATGCCTCAGCGCCGACCCTCGTCAAGGTCCGCGCGCGCAACGCGCGGGCGGAGAAAAAAACTCTGCCCGATCGGCAAACCGGCCCCGGGCGGACTCTGTATGTTACCGGCTTTGGTAAATTGCCGCGCGCGCAGCGCGCGGGCGAAAGTTTTTTTTTTTGTTTGCCCAGCCGGCACAAGCAACAACGAACACCGGACCAACGCGGTAGGCCCCGACACTGATCAAAGTCTGCGCGCGCAGGAACGCGCGGGCGCGGAAAATTTTTCGCCACTCCGCGGCCACAGACATATCGCAGAGATGGCCGCGGGCTTCACGCGCGCGCACCGCCCCGCCTGACATGCGATCGATACGGCAGCAATGCTGGCCCCGGCCTTGAGAAAAACTAACCCACCACGCGCACGGCGCGCGGGCGACGAAAAATTTCCGTAAAGCGAAAAAGAGCACGCAGCGCCAAACAGTGTGGCCGGGCGAAGTAAAGGGTCCCTGCGCGCGAAAAAAGCTTCGCACTCCCGGCGCAGTAGCTCCAAGCGCGTTTCATCTGTGCAGCCGGCACAAGAACGTCGAGCGCGATGCCGCGACCTCGTCCGGGTCCGCCCCTAATCGCGCGCGTGCGCAAAAAGATCGCTTTTGCGAAACCGCTACAAAGGCCCGCGCGCGCAGCGCGAAAAAATTTTTTGCCCGGCCGGCACAAGCAACAACGCCGAACACGGTAGGCCCCGACCCTGAGTGATCAAAATCTGCGCGCACGCCAGCGCGCGGGCGAGGAAACAAAATTTCTTCGCCCCTCGCCGGCCAAAGACATATCACACAGGCGGCCGCGGGCTTCAACCGCGCGGGCGAAGTACGATTTTTCGCAACTGAGAGAGCGGAGGCGAAGAATGAATGCCGTCCCCGGCTCCCGCGTGGGTGCGCGCGCGCTGCGTGCGCGCGAAGAAAAAAATTTCGGCCCCCGCGCCCGGATCCGGCTGCGGGCTTCACAATCACGGGCGGAGAGAGCTTTTATTTTCAAAACCTTGAGGGCCCGCGCGGGCAAGGCAATACTTTTACAAAAAATTTGGCCGCGCGGCACACTTGCAAACAGACCGCGCGCGGCTTCGGCCTCTCTTCAGGCTTCGCGAGCGCACGCAAAGGTTCGCCACTAACAGCGCGACGCTGGACAGAATGAGGCGTGCCACGTCAGAAGCAAAAACCGCGAGAGGGTAGCGAAGGTGGGAAGCTTCGTCGTTCTATTTGCAACGAGGGGGGGGCAGAGCTAGAAAGCGAACCGATGGAACACGCAATGCCGCGCGGTTTCGTTGCGTCGGATTTCGTAGGAAAGGGGGGCAGCCCCCCTCGGCTGAAACACGTCGGCCATGGCGAAGGAAAGGGGCGAGCGAAAGATAAAAGGCAGCGAACCAGCCCGGCGCCCCGATGCCAGGCTAGCACCAACAAGGCACTGAATAGCGATGGCGCGCCGGCCTAGCGCAATCCCTTCCAGCGCGCCGGCGCGACGGTGGCGACCGGTAACAAACCCACCAAGCGCGCCCCGTCTGATGCGCTCGCCCCGTGTTGCGCCAGGAGTGTCCTTCTTGTCGTTTCCTGGCATATTCTCGCAGGGGGAATGTCTTTGAGGGAGAATCTCTTTAGGCCGTCGGTAGAATTTCTTTGAGATTTTTTTTTTCCCAACATATTTCTGTTTGGATTTAAAAAAAATCCGAATTATCCCGTGCGGAATTCAACATCGTTAAGTAGTCTAGTGCATCTCGATGCACGACCCTGTGCAGCAACTTAGAACTAGACTACCTGCGCTAGAGGATTTCTTCTTCAAAGAAACTTTTTGTTTTTGGATAAACTTCTTCAGCCTGCCAAAAGTGTCGCTTGGAGGTTGTGACACAGGAGGTCGCCGGTGTTGATTTGTAGTATGTATAGCAATAGGAATAGCTACTACTACGTGTATATCAAGTGTAAAAATGTCTGGGTCTGGAATATTGCGAGATTTGTCATGCTTGTCTGGCATGACAAAAAAGTTTGTGATGCGTGTCCAAGAAGAGACCCTTTTTCCTGTCATGCAAAAACGCAGTTTCTCATGCGAAAAACGCAACACAAAGAAGCGCAGATATTTCTCATGCTTGGCTGTGCATTACAGAGCATTCACCACTCCCAACACAGCATTACAAGTTTCCAGACCCAGACATTTTTACATTTGATAGTGTAGTGAGTAAAATACTAAATCGGTCTTCAGCACAACGTAAAAATGCTGTAATGCTAAGTTGTACGCAACTGCTGAAGTACCGAAGCAACCCTGGTTCGGCTGCTGTTGCTCGCGGTGTGCTGGTCGCTAGAATGTTGAGTCACGACTCAACTTACTCTACTCTACTACCAAAAACTCAACTTACCTACAATTAATTTGCCGCAACGACGTTCTTTACTTCATCTCCTGGCCCCTCCGTAGCAACCTGGCTGATACAACTACTCCTCCTATCATTATTTCGTCCGCAAATAACTTCTACGCTACTGCTACTACTACTACTGCTATTCCTGCTTCCATTTCTTGCGCCCCCGCTGGAATTAGTTCGCGATGCCCGTCGCCCAAAGATGTTGTTTCGCTCCAGAAATGGTCGCGGCTGGCTCTCCTGACTTGTTTTCGTACTAGAAGTGGGCTTTTCATCATCATCAGCATGATGATGGAAATTTCTAAACAAAGTAGTCCCGGCCGTCCTTGAAGTTGTAAAAACCGCTATCCTGAGTAAAAACGTACCCACACCAGAGTTGTAATGCAAATCTGAATGCTGAACATGTTTCTCATGCGAAGCCCCATGAGAAGCATTTTCTCATCGTGTTTTGCAATTTGTCATGCTCCAATCAGCATCGTATGCTCAATCTGTGATGCTGCTCAGCTAGCTCAAACAGCACTACACTACGAATCCAAATTTGTCATGCAAAACAGCCAAAAGTTGTGGATTTGTCTAGCCAATTCCCCATCTTGACTATGGTGTGGGTACGTTTTTACTCAGGATAACCGCTGGGACATTATCAAAGGTACTACTTTCTGTGCTGTCTAAGGTACTTTCTAAGGTTGTTGAAGCCGATTCAACAGATGCATCGACTGCCTCCGAAGCATCGAGATCGGTCGAATCCTCCTCTTCGGAAAGAATGGATTCGATATCTTCACTTTTGTTCTCAGAAGTTTGTGATCTACTACTGTTCGATTGGGAGAACACGATGGCCTCGGCCTCCCTCTGCGTGTCCCGCAGTTGGAAGTTTTCGCAACTATAGTCCTCCTCCGCAGAAGTTCCATCAGCCGCTGCGATATCGCAAGAAAAAACTGTTTCACTGTAAACTTGTGATGCATAAAAATGGAACACAGAACCATTTGTCTTGCTAAAAATGCAAGAAAGTGAATTTTTAGCTGTGTTTTCCCTTAGGAAGCTTGCATGGCAAATTTTCTCTGTCATGCTGAACAAACTTGTGATGCAAAAGGAAAAGTTGCAAGATCCTTACAGTGAAACACTTTTTTCCTGTGATATGCGACCACCGTCCCACAATGAACATAGGCGTCGCCCCCGGTGATCAGGTCAAAAGTGACGGGAGAATATCCTGTGCAAAAACGTCCCCACCCCATAGTCAAGTCGGTAATAATCTGCAACACAAATCTCCAAGTTTTGGGAGTTTTGCATGACAAGCTTCCATCTGTAGAGTCGTGCTGTTTAGCAAGGGTAATCGCATGAGAAAGCCAGCCTCTCATCCTGTTTACAGCATTACAAAGTCTAAAACACGATCGGAAATGCCTCTCACGCAGATCCGCATTGCAAATGTTCCTGTCATTGCGCATTTGCACGACAACTCTGGGGTGGGGGCGTTTTTGCTCAGGATAGAGAATCGCCGTGCTTTTGTGCCAGCTGGAACTTCGTGGTGTCCTCCTCGGCGGCGTTAAAAATACCCGAAGCCTGCCCTCCGGTGAGGACGATAGGGACGATCGTGTGCTGCTGGAGGTCGTGTTCTTGACCATTCTTAGAATTTCCGTTATCATCGATTGCTCCTGCTTGTTCTTTCGCTGGTTCCTGTTCCTCCGACCGGTAAAATTCCCTTCCGACCGGGGCCAACTGTTCGCGAAGGAATTTGGTCCAGGACAGGTCAGCGACATACCGCTCGACCCTGTTGTCGCGCTGCCCGTTTCCGCCCAAAACAACCTGTGCGGGGAGAAAGACTCGGTTTTCTTCCTCCCGCTTCTGTGCCTCCGTGAGTTGTGCGTGCCACACCCACCGCGTCTGCGGCAAAGAGTACAGGTGCATCTTGGTCTCCTGATTCAACAACCGGGCCGGCAGGGGCACCAGCAGCTCGGACAAGTTGGTTTGGTGCAGATGCTATGAACTTCAAAAGCATCGTACTCGTAGTATTGCAACACAAATTACCTCAGCATGACAAAGAGAATTTGTCATGCTGATTTAGCTAGAAAATGAAATTTGTCTTGCAGGACTGCGATTAGTACGAGTACGATGCTTTTGCACAGGATAGGTGCTCCGCGTTCCGGTGGATCAGCTTCCGCACCATGTCCGCATACTGCATTCGCTGCCCAGTGTTCTTGCGAAAACTGATCGCCAGATTGGTTCCCGCGGCAACGTTGACGAAGTTGTTGCTATCGTACCTTTTGCCCTCCGCCAAGGCTTTGTCGCGCAAGACCATGCGCGCCGCGACCAAGTGCGCCTCTGTGTCAGATTTGGACTTCATCCCCCTGGCGTCGAAAACGTGAGAAAGCGGCCGCCACGCAGAGTTCGTGTTTCGGTCTTTCAGACACTTCCTCACTCGGAGGTCCAAGTAGTAGCAGAACTTTTTCCACAAGTCGATGCCGTACTCCTCTTGCAAGGTCACCAGCCGCTGCACCGCTTCGCCTTCCGTCGGGGCCAGCAGCTTGTAGGTGTCCCCGTTGGCGGCCACGGTCTGGAGGATGGAGAGCAAATTCGTGCCGCTCGCAAAGGTGATTTGCCCGTGCTTGTTGCCGATTTCTTCCGCGCTCTCTTCCGACCCGGATAACAGCCCGAAGCTGACGTGGATCTTGTGCTGAATTGCATGTGGTTGCAACACGCCAAACTCATCAACGGCGGTCGCGAACTTCTCCACCGAGGTCCTGTCGCTGCTACGTGCCGAGTACATGTCCTCCAGCTTCTTCTGCAACCAGTCCCGGGGGGACACGTTTTGCTTCAAACTGTCAAAGTCGATGTACCCCAAACGCACTTCGTCCGCCACCATTTCGAATTTTCCGACAGAACCGACCTTGGGCCAGTTGAAGGGGTCGTCGTGGCGGTCGTTTGTCAGTTTCAGCTGCGCTTTTACCGCGGGCTTGAGACAGACCGAGTTGGACGAGGTGGAACTCGCGACGGACAAAGTGTCAGAATCTTGCGAGCCCCGATCGTGGCAGTCGTGCACCTTTTTCACGAACATGCTCTTGAGCCCGGATCCGCCGAGATCCAAACTCAGGTGGATAGAATTGCGGGCTCTCATGTCTTCATCTTGCAGCTGCTCCTGTTGTTCTTGTTCAATCATGCTGCTATAACGTGCCACCGCCGCGAACTTCACCTCTCCCTCCGGAACCGTGGGGTGCATGTCCGTGAACTGTGCCAGTTCGTGCACAAAGGCGGCCACTTCGTGCTCCCGTTCCAGAGCTTCCTGTTCTAGCTGCTTATAGACCTGCGCCAAATTCTCGTGGTATTTGGCAAGGTTCTTCGGTTCGGCCATATGCGCCACCGCCGCCTGCAGGGAGCTCGTGGGGTCAACAGCCTCGACGGTTGATGTACTACTGCGGGCCAGAAACTTGGTCCCACTTCTCGAGCTGCTTGAAGCTGACGAGGAGGTGGAAATGAAATCTTGTTTCTTGTGGAAGTCCGATTTGTACTCATCATCCGAAACCCAATTTCCGTTTTCGTCCCACCAGGTGTGGAGCGAGTGGCCCCCCGGTCGCATCACCAGCTTGTTCTTCTTCCATTTCAACGACAGAGACTCGGAGAGATTGATTCCCAGCTCCGCCCGCTCTATCAAATGCAAAAATGTCTGGGTCTGGAAGAATGCAAGTTTGTCATGCTTGCCTTGCATGACTCGAGAATCTGTGTTGCATAGGCACGAAAAGACCCTCTTACCTGTGATGCAAAAACGCAGTTTGCCATGCGGAATACGTAAGACATGGTAGCCAAAAAATTCGTCATGCATAGCTTCGTATTGCAGTGCGTCTACCATTCACTCTTAGCATTACAAGTTTCCACCAGACCCAGACATTTTTGCACTGCATACGCTCGATGGCACGGCAATTCGCTGGCTGATCCGAAAAAAGCATGGGGACGCAGATGATCGGCACCCCCAGTCCGATGGCTTCCGTCAGACCGCCAGCACCGCCGTGCGCGACGTACATGACCTGGCCGGGGAAAAACTGGAAGATTTCCTTCTGCGGATATCAAATGCAAAAATGTCTGGATGTCTGGAAGACTCTGAGATTTGTCATGCAGTTTTTCCAAGCTCCGCCAGGTCTTCTGGAATGCATGGCCTAGCATCTTCACAGGACCTGCAGCCCCTTTGTGATGCGTATTTCTGCATGAGAAATGCCCTCTTAGCATCACCAGAAATGAGCACCCTTTGCGAGTCACGCAACACAGATTCTTGTATGATCCGCAACATGCATCACAAGTTCGCATCCTTCCAGACATCCAGACATATTTGCAATTCATAGCGGAGCGTCCAGCACGATGATCGCCTTCTCGGCGTTTGGGTGGTGCAGCCAGAGGTCCGCGCAAAACTTCGCATTTTTTTGTTTTTGCTTCGTCCCGAACTCAACGCATTTTTTGTATTGGGTTTCCCGCCAAAAGACGCTGAACTCGTCCCAGGTAATATCCTGAGTAAAAATGTCCCCACACCATAGTCAAGATGGGGATCGGCTAGACAAATCCACAAGTTTTGGCTGTTTGCATGACAAATTTGGACTCGTAGTGCAGTGCTGTTTGAGCTAGCTCAGCAGCATCACAGATCTCGCATACCATGCTGATTGGAGAATGACAAATTGCAAAACACGAATAGAAACTGCTTCTCATGGGGCTCCGCATGAGAAACATTTTCAGCATGCAGATTTGCATTACAACTATGGGGTGGGGACGTTTTTAAATAGGATAGGTAAACGCTGGGCTCCTCCCCTGCTCCCTCCGTTCGTGTATGAATTGCAAAAGTATCGCACTCGTCGTATAAATGCATTACAAATTTCCTCAGCATGAGAAAGAAAATTTGTAATGCTGATTTACCTTACGAACAAGATTTGTGATGCATGATTGCACGACGAGTACGATACTTTTGCACAGGATATCGTGGACGATCTGCTGAAAGTCCTCGTTGTCCGGGGCAACCAGGTATCAAATGCAAAAATGTACTCTGGGTCCGGAAACTTGTGATGCAAGTCCGTGAACAGTATTAGTGCTCTGTACTGCGCCGCCAAGCATGACAACTTTTTTCGTGTCTTCTGTGCTGTGTATTTGGCATGAGAAACTGCGCTTTTGCGTGACAGGTAAGAGGACCTCTTGGTGGCCACGCAATACAGCGTGCAGGGTCATGCCAGACTAGCATGACAAATCTCGCAATCTTCCAGACCCAGGAGACAACATATTTGCAATCCATACCAGGTAGGGAAGCACGTTTTCGGGGACCTGCATCAGCCCGGTCCACAGTTCCTCCAATGCTTGGTAGCTATATCGTAAGGAAAAACCCCCCTATGTATCCCCATATTGACGAGGTGCGTTTTTTGTGTTGCTGATTTGTGACCACAAATCGCATCTGTCTTGCAAGAAGGCAACGCCACAGGCGCCGCCGCTTCATGCAGGCGGTTTGTCATGCTGTTCGGCGTACAGCGCGGACGTTTTTCATGCTAAGCGTCTAGGCAAAAACCTCTCTCCTCAGGCTCCATAGTTAGAGGCCTGCAGGAGTCCTCTACTGCAATACAAATCTGATTTGTGTATTGAAATCCGGCATCAGAAACTTCGTTTTGATATGGGGACGAGGGGGGATTTTTGCTTTTGGTAAGCTAAAGTAAAAGCCCTGACGCCCGAAGGCGGTGTACAGAATCAAATTCTTGCCAAACTTATCGCAAGAAAAAACTGAGTAAAGTGTAACTTTGTGTGGCAGCAAATGCAAAACTGTTACACTTGTCATGCTGGACATGCATCAGAGGCTATTTTCGTACGTGTTTTCAAGTACTAGCTACACATGACAGGTTTTCTGTGTCATGCAAAACAAATCTGTGATGCTGGTCCTGCAAAAAAGTTACACCTACACACTTTTTTCCTTGGATAAAACTGTTCCAGCTTCCGCAGGATGCGCTCGTCTTTCCCGCCCGTGCAGTTGGGCACCGTCTTCTGCATGACCAAGGCCATGGAGGGCACGCGTATGAGAGCGTCAGGCTCGAAATCGACAAAGATGAAATAATCTGTAATGCATAATATGCGACACAAAAAGCGACTCTATTGCAGAGCATGCAAGGAAGGCGGATTGTAGTCCTGGTAAGGGTCAAGTGGAAGTGTTGGTCTGCTGACTAGCATGACAGACGGGAGCTCCTTTGCCCTGAACCGCATGACAGATTCGCTTCCACGACGTGGAAAATTTGTCATGCGCCGACTACTACAAACTGTGGGTCAAAAAACTGGCATCGATTTTTTGCATCACAAATTTTTCGACTTTGTCGATTTCGATTCTGACACCTCCATAACGCGCGCCCACCACTTATCCGGCCCCGGCATCTTGCAGGACACGCAGGGGAGATTGTATCAACTGCAAAAATGTCCGGGTCTGGAAGATTACGAGACTTGTCATGCAGTTTTTCCAAGCGCCGCCAAGTCTGGAATGCAGGGCCTGACATCACAGGTTCTGCACCAGCCCCTTGGTGATGCCTATTCTGCATGAGAAATGCCCTCTCAGAATGGCCAGAATAAATGGGGACCTCTTGCAAGTCATGCAACACAGATTTTTGTATGATCCACAACACGCATCACAAGTTCGCAGCCTTCCAGACCCAGACATTTTTGCATTTGATAGATTGGCCTTCTTGTCAACATTACCCTGACAGGCCTCCACCTTCGTGGGCAGGATGGGTCTCACGTGATAGCTCGGGCTGTCCATGGAAACCTTCAAGGGGAGGAAGTGGCTCACAAAGGTCGGGAAATGCTTCTCGACAGATGATATGCATTGCAAATATGTCTGGGTCTGGAAGAATTAAGCCTGTCATGCGAAATCTAAATCACGAGAAAATCTGTGTTGCATGAACGCCAACAGTTACCCAATTCTCGCTAGGCTGCAAAAGGCGAATTTCTCATGCGGCAGAGGCATGAGGAAGGTCTCCAAAAGTGTGTGATGCTTCTGTCTGCATTACAGACCAATGAGTGTGGTCCGCGAGATGCATGACAAATCTTGCAACTTTCCAGACCCAGACACTTTTGCATTTGATAGATGAGCTGTTCTTCTTTTTTGACGGGAGGGTTTTGTTCAAGACCCAGCGGGCCGCCCAGGCCCCGTGGAAGTTTCCGCACCAAATGCTCCCCGGCACGCGCAGCTTCTCCATCAGCGTCTTCGCGACCCCGCCCCACGCGGCGTAGCAGTCGGTGACGACAAAGTCCACCGGGCTGTCTCGGACAACGTAATTGGTGATGAATTTTTCGGTGAAATCCGAGATGCTACCCCAGGAGTGAGTCACCGAATCGTCCGCGGTCTGGGAAAAGAGCCAATCGCGCACGACGTATCCTGATTAAAAACGTCCCCACACCAGAGTCAAGATGGGAACCCTGCTAGACAAATCAGCCAGCCTTGGCTGTCTGGCATGACAAGTGTGTTCTCGTAGTGTAATCCTGTTTAGCTAGTTCAGCAGCATGACAGATCTAGCATAGCATGCTGATCCTAGCATCACAAATTCCAAACCACGAATAGAAAATGCTTCTCATGGGGCTCCGCATGAGAAACTTTTTTGGCATGCAGAATTGCATGACAACTCTGGGGTGGGGACGCTTTTACTCAGGATACGACGCCGCGCGGCTTCAGCGGGATCACCCGGATGCCGGCGGCTTCCAATTTCTTCCAGTCGTTCGGCGGATATTGCATTGACAATTGCCCCCAACCCCGAAGTGCAATAATTTGTGATGCGAAGTTTCCAAATGAAAGGCTTTTGTCATGCATGAAAGGAATGTGAATCTTTGTGATGCAGGGTCTAGGCGTATATAGCATTGCTTGCATGACAAGCGCCGCTCTTGCTGGGCTCTTTTGCAATACAAGTTTTCACTTTTCACGATTGGAAATCTGTGATGCTGATAGATGCAAGAGGGCGAATGTTTCACATGGAAAGGTTTGCAATGCAAATGCTCCCAAGTTCGGGGGTGGATGCATTTTTCATTGTAATAGCGGAATGCCGAAGTTCCACAGCACGGTGTCGGTCTCCGGGTTCTCGTGCTCCATCGTGTTATCAATTGCAAATATGTCTGGGTCTGGAAACGTGTGATGCAAGGAGGGGAATAGTGAAAGTAGCAGTGTAATGCGCTGCTCACCATGACAAGTTTTGCTGTGGTTCTGAGTTGCGTACTCCGCACAAGAAACTGGTGCGCTCTTGCATGACAGGCAAGGGGAGCTCTTCGCGGCCACGCAATACAGAGTTCAGAGTCATGCCAGACTAGCATAGCAAATCGAAATCTCGCAATCTCCCAGACCCAGACATATTTGCAGTTGATACGTGTCTTGTTCGTGCGAAAGCTCCAGGTGCTTCGGAAGCGCCGGGGCCTCGACGCCCGGCTTCGCGTCGACAAAGTAGATGGATTTATTCTTTGTTCCCGTGGCTCCTCCTTCTGCAGCTGCCGGAGACGAGTATCGTAAGGAAGTCACCCCCCTCCCCATATCAAAAAGGTACTTCTCAGAAAATTTGTAATGCTGATTTGTGGCAACAAGTCTTTTTGTCTTGAAAGAAGGCAATGCTACAGTCTCCGCCGCATTACGCGGGCGGTTTGTGATGCTGCTTGGGCTACAGCATAGACACTTGTGATGCTAAGCGTCCACGTCAGAAGCTCTGTACTCCGGCACGACATATGCCTGCAATTCTCTACTGCAAGACAGCTCTGATTTGTGTACGGAAATCCAGCATCAGAAACTTCATTTTGATAGAGGGAGGGGGGATGTTTCCTTTTGATAACGAGCTACTTCTGCGCACGAGTTTCCCGAACGGCGCCATATCCTGAGTAAAAACGTACCCACACCAGAGTTGTAATGCAGATTTGCAAAGACAGGAAGATTTGTAATGCGCATCCCCATGATAGCCATTTCCAATCGTGTTTTGGAATTTGTGACGCTGTGAACAGGATGAGCAGATGAATCTGTGATGCGGCTGCACTTGCTAACCTGCACTACACTGCATAGCGCAACTTGTCATGCGTGACTCACAAAACTCCTAGGTTTGTGTTGCAAAATCCCCATCCTGACTCTGGTGTGGGTACGTTTTTACTCAGGATACGCCAGCAGCGTGACTTTCACGTTGAACTTCTGCGCCAATTCCTTCCTTTATGAAGGTACACAACTCCCCCTCCCCCTCGTTTGTCATGCAAAATTCCAAATCCACCCTTTGCCTGTTAGCAATATTTGCATGACAGATTCGGGAATCCAAAACAGCGCTACAGTCTTCTAAAAATTTGTCATGCAAATGCTGCATGATCTTTGCCAGCGCTTGATGTGTTGCTGTTCATGCAACACGCAAATGAGGGCAAGGGGGAGTTGTGCACTCTCATATCATTAACGGATACGCTCCGCCCAGCTCCGTCTTCCCGCCCGCTTCAAACAAGATGTGCAGCGGCCGCTTGGCGTTTTCAATGGTGAAGTTGTGCGTCATGTTGTAGCTCTTCACCAATTGTTCGTACCACAAACGGAGGTTGTCGAGGGAGTCGTTTCGCGTCTTTTCCCGTAATGCCTGCTTCCTCGCTTTTTTCTCGGCTTCAGCATCCACTTTTTCGTGCTTCTCTTGATCATGATGTCCTACTTCTTGCGGAGTTGTACTATCGGAAGTAGGCAATTCAAGATCATCTTTTTCAGCCTTTTTTTTACTAGCTGTGCTGCTGTCCGTGCTTTGCTCATCATCCGATTCTTCTACTTCGTGGTCCAAAGCATCTTCCGCGAAATTGTCCCCGCCCAGATACCCGCCTAGGTAGCTGCGACGAGAATCAAAGGCGCCAGAAGACGACGCAGATGAAGACCCAGTCTTCCTCATCAGTTTAATCCGCTTGACCAGCCGGGTGAGCCGGTCGCGGATCTCCCACGGAATGCTGTCCCAGTCCAGATCCGGGTCGAAAAGATCGATGGGCAAGGACTTCGGCTTGTTTCCCAGGTCGAGATGGTGCTCGTCCCCTTGCTGAGAAGTCGATGTGCTGCTCGTGGGGGCAGGAACTTGCTGTTGATCGTCATCTGGTTTATTTTCCGCATCTAGTTGTACGGAAGATTGTTCTGGAGTTTCTTCCACCTCGGGCCGTTGTTCAACACCAAGACTTTCATCCGGACGAGTGGTTGGAACTTCTGTTGTTCCATCGGTCGTTGTTTCAGGTTGTACTGAGCCTGGGGATAATGGTTCTACTACTTCCACCTCTTCCGGCTCCTGCTCAGGTTCCTCATCATCAACCTCGGGTCGTTGTAGTTCTTCGACCACTTCAGGCTGTTCCTCGAGGCCCTCTTGTAAAACTTCTAGCTGCGGATGAACTTCTTCTTCTTCTTCCACCGGAAGATGTTGAACGGCGGTCGTTCCGACATGATCTTCTCGCGGATCATGAATTGTGATCGGAGGAACTACCTGCACAACCGGCAGTGCTTGTACTTGAGGACCAGCACCACCAGGGCTCAAATGACCGGCGGTAGAAGAACTACTAGAAGTCGCGCCGCCATTCGTTGTGCTCGAGGTGGTCGTCCTCGTGGGCGGAGGCACAATTCCGGTAGTCGCAATGCCACCGTGAAACAAGTTTCCGTCCGGCGCTGGCGTAGTTCTTCGGGACGACGTCGGCCCCGTTTCGACATGCGAAGCAGCCTGCTGGTTCGCACCAGCTCTCGTCAGCATGTATGCATGGCAAATACCGATGAATCTGGGTCTGGAATATTAAAAGTGGACAATGTTGCAAAAACGTCGCACTTTGTAGTTCTCATGCGCGCTAAGTATGTACGCATTGAAATAAGGCGTCTCAAAATTTGTTGTCATGCTTGCCTGCACAAAACTCGAGGGGATGAGGACGATGGTCCGCTCAATCCTATTGCGATCACGTTCCAGCGTCGCAAGTTATTGCGGCCAGATATTGACCCAGATCGATACTTCTATTCCCATTTGATAGCATGACAGCCGTCACAACACCGCCGATCAAGGTGAGCAGGACAGCGCCCCCAATGAGCAGGAAGTAGAGGCAGAACTTCTTCTTGTTGGTCTTGCGCAGTTCATCGTCTTCCGAATTACGGTAAGCCGCTGTAGTAGACGATGATACCAATGGCTGACACATCAACTCGGGTCGTCCCATATTACAACTCTCGTCTCCACCCGCAAGTAGGTCCTCGTGCTCCTCTTCGTGCGGAAAAAGCTCCGACAAGGAAGAACGCTCGAAGGCTATCGTGACGAAAATAAATCCCCCCTCGTCCCCATATTGAAAACGCATCCGTCTGAACAAGCTTTTTGTGATGCAGATTTGTGAGCACAAGTCCTGTCTGTCTTGCAAGAAGGCAAAGCCAGAGAGTCCGCCGCATTTTTATGCAGGCGGTCTGTGAAGATGCTGTTGGGCTTACAGCGTAGACATTTGCCATGCTAGTCACCTACGTCGAAAAAACCTCTCGAGGACTCAGGCTTAGCATATGCCTGCAGTCCTCTCCAGCAAGACAGACCGGATTTGTGTACGCATTCCAGCATCAGAAACTTCGTTTCGATATGTTGGGAAGGGGGAGTTTTTCGCTTTGATAAAGGCCGGACTCGGGAGAGGAGAGTTCTTGTCTTCTGGGATCAAATATGAATTGCAAAAATGTCTGGGTCTGGAACTTTGCTCGACTTGTCATGCAGGTTTTCCATGACCCATTTGCTCTGTAATGGAGGACCTAGCATGACAGATTCCGTGAGATCACTATCATGGCTATCCTGCATGAGAAACTGCCTCTCAACTTGATCAAACGTGGACAGCATTTGGTAATCATGCAACACAGATTTTTGCGTGATTCAGATTTAGCATGACAAGTTCCAACCTTCCAGACCCAGACATTTATTTTGCAGTGCATATCAAAGTCCGCGTGTTGAAGTACAGTTTTTGATTCCGCTCGATGCTTCTAGTATCAAATGTAAAAGTGTCTGGGTCTGGAAACTTGTAATGCTGTGCTGGGAATAGTGAATGCTCTGTAATGCACAGCCAAGCATGAGAAATATCTGTGCTGCTTTGTGTTGCGTTTTTCGCATGAGAAACTGCGTTTTTCCATGACAGGCACAAGGGTCTCTTCGTGGACACGCATCACAAACATTTTTGTTATGCCAGAGAAGCATGACAAACATGAATTCTTCCAGACGCAGACATTTTTGCGGTTGATATCTAGCATCGTCAAACAATGTTGATGACCCACAACGACCCGCCCCCTGTTGAAAATTTTCATTTCCGGGCCGCCCCTCTTGTTGTATGCAAGGAAAAAACTGTGTAAGTGTAACTTAACTTTGTCTTGCAGATGTTGCAATACAGTTACACTTGTCATGCTGGTTATGCATCAGAGACTATTTTCTTACGTGTTTTCGCGTACTAGCTACGCATGGCAGGTTTTCTCTGTCGTGCAAAACAAATCTGTGATGCTGTTCCTGCAAAAAAGTTACACTTACACACTTTTTTTCTTGGATATGTTGTGTGAAATAAATACTGTCATAATTTTGCTCCTCGTTATTTTCTTCGTAATCATACTCAAAATTGTCATCGACAACGAGCTGCTGGCGCGCAAAATTTTGCCGCCCAGCGAGTAGCCCGTCATCTTGGTTCTCCGTTGTATTTTTCATGTTGCTCAACATATCTTTCTTTTCCTCGCGCTGCACAGTCGTGTTTTCTGCAAAAACGTTCTGCATTATAGTCGCGATTGTCTCTTCGGATTTAAAAGCTGTTGCTGATTCCTAAATAAAAAAATGAAAATGACTAAAGTAAAAAAAATATAAACTAAGTAAGCAGCCTATGAGCGAAACCTGGTTAAAAGCAACCTGAAAAAGCTCTCGTCTGTAGGTAAGCAAATAAAACAAAAATAGCTTTTAAGAGAAATCTCGACGCAGAATGTACTGAATACTGAAGCTAAGTGGTTAAAAACGTAACCGGGAAGCTTGAGTAAACAAAACCAAAGTTGAAATACGATGGCGTGAAGATGAAAGAAAGGAAAATACTAAAACAGCGTAAAGGTTATTCCTCTGAGGAAAAAGTAAAACAAACCGCTTGTCTGCGAGTAAAAGCACTCTCTGACAAGGAAAATGTAGGTTTACTTAGTACCGAGTCGTGTGATTTTGTGTAATATTTTCCTAGTTTTCTATGTTGTTCACCACACACAGAGTTTTGATGTCTAAGCAACTTCTGCAGTATTTTTTTCACGAGGGTTGGGTCCTGTTCTTCCAACGATTTCGATTTTATGATGATGGGGGGAAGACTGCTCTTTCAGAATCATCAGAAGATTGTCTTTGAAACTACTACAAAACATCCCGATTTAATATTTCTGTTCAACACAACATCACGGACCGACCAACAGTTCAGCTCCACAGACTGATTTATTATTTTTCGGATTTTTTGACATTGTCATTGTACCACAGAACGCAGATACAACGATTTTTTGTTCGAGGACGATTTTTGTCAATTTAAACGAAATCATTTCCGGATCTTCGCTGTTGGTACTTTAATACCACCCAAATGATCTCCCATCCGGCCATAATTTCCGGGGCCGCTTCTAAGTTTGTTAGTAGTTGTTGCACTTAATATACGATCTTGATCCGTACTTTATTTCTAAATTTTTGATCTCGCACGACGATTTTTCAACAATGATTTTTTTTCACTAATTGTAATTCTATGGCCCGACACTACTCATAGTTGTAGAGGTACTTTTTACACGTCCTTGGTGCGCCAGCTCTGAGAATTTCCGAAGCTGCAACATCCTCGCTTAGACTGTGGATTTTCAGCACCTCAGAAAAAATATATTTCTGCTGCGCACATGAGCCGACCACTCAGGTGGAAATTATAAGGTCTCGATTTATTGCCTTTGTTTGATATTTACCGATTGTTGTAATATATCGTAGACATTTCTTCCCCCAGCACTTCTTTTCTCGTCGAACCGGCTGCAAGTGTCTCAAGAGGTGAACACAGATCCGAGAGGTGTACATGGGATGCCCTGCCAGGAAGAGGGCGACAGACTCGGAGCGCTCCGGCGTGAGGGCATTGGAGTAAAGTCAAATCCAAGTTGTGCGATCGCCGAAGTAAAGGAGCACCACGAGTCATTATGTCACATTGATTCACTTCGCGGTGCTTCTTCTTTCCCACGTCTTCTCAGACGAAATTGAATCAGTCGCGAGGACCTCCGCTATCATAAAGTAGAACTATAGAACTTTTACTCGGATTCTTCGCCCTTATAGATTATAGGGGCGCCCTTAGAAAATGAATTCTAGAAAAAAGGGCATCTAGAAACTTCCCCTAAGGGAGCTCCTAGGGGACGCCTCTAAGGGAACGCACTAAAGAAACAAAACGACTGGAAAGGCGGGGGCCAAAAGTCATGCGGCACAAAATAAACAAAACCCAGCGCGCGGAGTGGCCCGCGGGCCTCGCCCCATGGCCTGAAGAAATCGGAAAAAAAAAGCCGGGCCAGTTTTTAGCAGGCCTATTCTGGCTGCCCCCAAGCCCCGGCCGCGTTTGGGGGGGGGTAGGCGGGGGCGATAACCAGTGGCAAAACAAGATGGGGACGGTGGCGCCCGGATATCTGGGGATATATCTGGGGATATATCTGGGGATATATCTGGGGATATATCTGGGGATATATCTGGGGAGATATCTGGGGATATATCTGGGGAGGTATCTGGGGAGGTATCTGGGGAGGTATCTGGGGAGGTATCTGGGGAGGTATCTGGGGATATATCTGGGGATATATCTGGGGATGTATCTGGGGATGTATCTGGGGATGTATCTGGGGATGTATCTGGGGATGTATCTGGGGATGTATCTGGGGATATGTCTGGGGATATATCCGGGGACATATCTTAGTTAGTAGGAGGGGGGGCCGTTCTAGGAGCGAGTTAGTTTTTTTTGGAAGAGGCCCCAGCAGGCGAGCTACTTGGGAATGATTGAAGGGGCCGGCGAAACGGCAGGGGAGGCGCTGCGGGTGGTCCTGCCTAGAAATGAGACAGCCCACAAGAGGGCAATCAGGGCAAGGCTCGCGGCCGGGTGAGGGCGAGCTAGAAGCTGAGCTCAGGGAACGAAAGCGGGCGCGCCCCCTAATGTGGGCCGCTACTAGGGCAGGGCGTTACTAGCAAGCGCGTGCCCGGTTTGCCATGCTAAAACCGCCCGCCGGGTTTCTAGTAGTGGCCGCGTTTGCGCTAGGTAGCAAATTCCCAATGGTAAGAGTCTTACGACTAGCCTGCGCCCCCACGCTCGCCAAGTTTTTTCCTTGGTGTTTGCATTTAGACTTACTAGACGACCTATCGCCGGCGTCCTGGACGCCGGCGTAGTAGTCTAGTACACTTACAAATGCAGAGTTGATGTTGATGTTGTACACATTATGTCTAAAAGTCTTCTTAGAATCTGCAATAAATCATCCAAAGCATGTAGGATCACCAGTTTGATGACCTCATCTTTCCCAGCGGCTGGTGTCTCTCTGTTGTTCTTTTCCCTTTCTACACATCAGTCAGTCAGTAGCACTACTACAGAACCACCACTGGTCGCAGCTGTTTTTGGTTCTGCGCCGCTTCTGGTTCCTCCGGGCGCTTCTGCGCCCAAAACGGACTGCAGTTCTTGGAAGCGTGGAATTCAATATTTCTGGCGGTGGTCAAGAACCTGTTCGGCTCTTGTTGCTGTTCCACCCTCGCAGCAGTGGTATCAATATCAAATGTAAAAATGTCTGGATCTGGAAAATTGGAACTTGTGATGCTGCATTTGGATGGCAAAAAAATCTGTATTGCATGAGCACAAAGGGAATGCAATTTTTGCTACGCGGAGATGGCATTTGTAATGCGGAATAGGCATCAAGAAGGCCTCAAAAAGTCTGTGATGCTAGGGCACGCATCACAGACATCAAGACTTACGCAAAACCTGCATGATAAGTCTAGAAAATTTCCAGACCCAGACATTTTTGCATTTGATAATCGGTTCGCAACGTGTTGAGAAACCCGCTCTGGGACGGTTCCGTCTTCGGCTTCAGCATGATCGTAAAGGCGTTGACTATATCAACTGCAAAAGTGTCGGGGTCTGGACGAGCGCCAGACTTGTCACGCAGGTTTTCCATGACCCATGAGGTCTGGTATGTAGGACATAGCATGACAGATTCTGTGAGAGTTCTATCATGCCTATACTGCATGAGAAACTGCCTCTCGATTAGGTCAAAAGTGAACAGCTTTTGGTAATCATGCAACACAGATTTTTACATGATATAGATCTAGCATGACAAGTTGCTTTGTTCCATTTTTGCATTTGATAGACAACCTCTGCGTCATCCGCTACCTGGATGGCCGTGTCGACAAACACCTTCTCCTCTGGATCGTGAATAAAAAGCCCGTAAACCCCCGCGCCGAACAGCTTGTGATCCTTTCCCGTCGCCCGGTAGCCCGTGTAGGGCGGCGGAAGCTCGTGGGGTAAGGGCTTTGCTACGTGTTTGAAGATAGAAGACTTAATATTTTGTTGCCCCTGGTGTCGATCCACGGAGCTCTTACCCACTAGTACTTCTCCTTGGGAAGCAGCGGCTGGCACAACCTCGACGTCCCCGTCTCCTGCCGGAGAAGTACGAGGACCAAGTAGTGGTGGCGCAGCACAAGAAAATTGATCTCGTCCATCGGCGGAAGTAGCGGAAAACCCCCAATCCGGCTGGATGTCTATCAAAGGAAAAACAGCCCCCACCTCATACTCAAAAGACAATAATCATAATGGATTTGTGTACACGAATGAGCTTTGTGTAGTTGCAGCAAGACCTCTTTGTCGGTATATTCTAACCCTATTTGGGTACGCATCCGGCTAGCAGCTACTTAAGCATGAGAAACAAGTCTGACATAGGCGAAAACGCATGACAGACTCGCTGCACAATGCGCCACATGGGTGCCGTTTGGTGCCTTGTACGCAAGACAGAGCTGATTTGTGGTCACAACTCAGCATCACAAATTTTCTTTCGGATACGGGGAGGGGACATTTTTCCTTATGATACTGTCGTAGGGGAGTTCGCACTGGTAGAAAACCGTTTTCCCGAAATCCCCGGTCCACTCCTATCCTGTGTAAATAAAACGTTCCCACTCCAGATTCAAGATCAGGATCGCGCAACACAAATCGAGAAGTTTTGGGAATCACGCAAGAAAGGTTTTTCTCTGCATTGTAAGTGCAGTTTCGCAAGCACAGCCGTGGATCACAGAGCCATCTACCTATCCTGTCTGCAGCACGACAAGTTCCAAAGCACGACTGGAATAATCACTATTCTTGCCTCTCATCTTCATCATGGGGATGCGCACTACAAATCTCTCTTTGACTGCAAATCTGCATCACAACTCTAGGGAGGTGGGGACGTTTTTACGTATCGATAACTCGACCTGGTTCTTCAGCAAATGTTCGACCGCAAGGCCGTACGCCGCCACGTGATTCCCTTTCACCCGCAACCCGGTGTAGGCCGGATTCTGTCCGTTCCCGATCTGCCCAGTCTTGGCGTGGTCCGCGCGCCAGCCCCAGTAATTCTCGAGTACTAGGTATGCTCTGCAAAAGTATCGTACTCGTAGTAATTGCTGTCATGCATGATGAATCTCCTTTCCAAGGGAAAACAGCATTACAAGTTTCATTTGTCATGCTAAGCAAATTTGTAATGCAATTTCTACTAGTACGATATCGCTTTTGCCATGCATACAACGAAACTGCGGTCGATTTCCAGCATGGTGTCCACGGCACGAAAATCTTCGCTCGGGTCCTGGTTGTCGCCACCCTATCAAATGCAAATATGTCGGGGAGGTCTGGAGACTTGTATGTAATGCTTGGTTGGGAATAGTGCATGCTCTGTAGCGCACAGCCTTGCATGAGAAATAAGGCCAGCGCCGCTTAGTGTTGCGTTTTCCGCATGACAAAGACAACCTGCGTCTTTGCATGACAGGCAAGAGGCCCTTTTCCTGCTCATGCAACACAGATTTAAGAGTCATGCTCATGCCAGACAAGCATGACAAAAGTGCATTCTTCCAGACTCAGACATATTTGCAATGCCTACACCAACGCGGATTACAATGTCCTGCAGGACCGCCGTGTTGATGCGGCTGGGCGTTACTTCATTCGCGGCCATCGCCTCCTTTATGTGCGCTGCCGTACTAGTAGAACTAGCAGCAGCAGCTACGCCAGTTTTATCATAATTCTTTGCTCTGTGCTGGCCCCCTTCCCCGGCGTCCTCGAACTCCTCTCCACGTGGCAGCAGCTTCGGTCTTTTGTGCTCAGGACCAACTTTTTTAGCAGTTGTTGGACTCGGTTTAGACATACAAGAATCTTCTTTATCTTCCCTAGCAGCACACACTGCTGAAGGAACACTACATCCTGAGCCTTCGGGGGGAGGAATCAAATCAGAACCAGAAGATCCCCCAGAACCAGATCCTTCAACCCCCCGAGAGGATAAAAACGCCCTGAGTCTAGTACTTCTTGACGGACATGATATCGAACGACCAAGGACCGACCACCTAGGGGACAAACTGAGACCCCGCAGTCTCTTCGAAAGGCTATTGACGGCCTCGTCGTCGACGGGTGCGCCGCTGGCACCACAATTTTCAGGACCACCAATATTCGCCGTTGTATCACCATGAGTCTCATGATCTACTTGTTCTTCTATCTGCATTCTACTAGTTGCACAGCCACTACAGTGATGATTTGTGCCTTGCTCTACTACTCCTTCCATAGCGCCAGTAGCATCGGGACGAGCACTACTAGTAGTACTATTGACAAGGCCATGTTGGCCATGCTGCTGCATTTCATTTTGATGTCCTGCTCGGCTGTCTTCACTGCTAAATAAACAATCTCCTGCACGGCCATACGATTCTTGTTTTCGATCTTCCGCCGTTTCGACATATATTTCCGGCTCCATGACGCGCAACAATCGGGTGTAGCTGAGATTCTCTCCCTGCTTTTCTTGCGGCTCACCGTTCATTTCCGTTTCCACCAGCCCCGACCCCTTTCCAGGCTGCAGGGTGAGCCCGGCAACGATAGGGGAAGCGGCCTTGATTTCCATCGCCGGGAAAGTGCCAAGCGTCTCCAGCATGGCAAACCCGAGACCAAGCAAAACCGGGCGGCGGGTAAGAGAGGACAAAGGCTGTTCTTCACCTCCTGCTCCGGCGGTTTCGAAAACCTATTGGCAATACAAGAAGCAAGTATAGATCGATAAGATGGAGCATTGCAGACCATGTCTTCGTGTCGTGAGGCATGCTGATAAAAACAAAAATGTTGAGAAAACTTGTACATGTTTGAGTAAAAGTACTATCACAAACGAAACACCACCTCGACCGTTTTGAAGATTTCTAGCTGCGCATAATACTATACATAGGTACCTGAATCGGCTCGGTGAGTTGGTAGATGCCCGGCGTGAAGACGATGTCTTTCTTCTCCACATTTAACTTGTGATTGATCACCTTCGCAACCTGTTCCATCTCTGGCCGGGCAACAAAAATGTTTGAAAAGGGCCGGGTCTCTTCCGCACGGAGGATGGTTTCAGCTGCAGCAGGAGCAGTACCTTGCTGGTGATGTTCTTCAGCATTTATTTCCTCTCGGTAGGTCAAAGCGGGGACTCTCAAGTAGTACCCACTGGATAGTACACGACGACGGCGGTGCAGATGGGAGTCCGAGCAGTCCTCGTCGCTGCCGGAGTTCTGCTTCTTCGCCGATGAACATTCTCCTTCGCGTGGTTCATCGTGGTCGTTCCCACTTTCGTAAAAAATGTACGGCTTCGACTGGAAAACGAACCCGTGGTTTTTGCTATTGGGTGAAGATTTTTTTGCAGTAGTAGCGGTGGACGCAACTGTCCTCGTCGACAAAAGTACCTGCGTGACGGCTGCGTTGGGGTTCACTTTGTCCAACGGGCCTCCGCGGTGGGATGATGCACTTCTTTTCATCTTCTCGGTAGAAGAGGAATCCCGATCCTCTCCAAACCCGAAGTCACACTGCAGCCCGACGAAGCTCCAAGCACCGCCACTGGCCCCTTTTTCCGCTTTGGTGTTCACAAACAGGAACTGCTGTTGGCTGCCCAGCGCTAGCTATGCATTGCAAATTGTATGTCTTGATCTCTGGAAGGTTTGTCACGATTGTCTTGCATGCAGTTGACATCTGAAGGGTTTGTAATACGTGATGTCGTGTCCAGGAAGAAAAGACCCTTATTTTGCCAGGCGTGCAGTAGCATGCAGAGAACGCATGACAACATAAATAGCGCAAATATTTCTCTATGCTTTGCGGCGCAACATAAAAGTAGCTACACGGCATTCACTATTCACATCCCAGCATTTTTAGTACAAGTTTCCAGACATTCAGAGAAGATATTTGCGAATGATACCAGCTATCCTGTGCAAAAGTATCGTACTCGTATCAATGCTAATGCAAGTCTTGCATTACAAACCTTGTTCTCAAGGAAGATTAGCATTACAAATTTTCTTTCTCATGCTAAGGAAATTATTTGTAATGCATTTATACGAGTACGATACTTTTGCAGTGCATACCAGCTCCCCCCTCACCAAAACGTCTGCCATGAAGCCACCGCTGGTGTTTCCGTAGTATTGCAAGGAAAAATCCCCCCTCCCCATACTGAAAAGGTATATTTTTGGAAATTTGCGATGCTGATTTGTGGCCACGAATCGGGTCTATCTTGCAAGAAAGCAAAGCCAGAGCCTTCGCCGCTTTACGCCGGCGATTTGTAATGCTGCTGCGCTGACAGGGCAGACGTCTGCCATGCTGAGCGCCCGCCTCTAGCCAGCCCCTTCCAGGCTTTGCATCTGCCTGCAGTCCTCTACTGCAAGACAAAGCTGATTTGTGTACGCAAATCCCGCAACACAGATTGTCACTTTGATACGGAGAGGTGGGATTTTTCCTTTTGATACGTAGTCAGGGGTATTCATCTTGAGATGCAGGGATTGCAGGGAGCGGGTCGGTGGTGGATCCTGGTCTTTTCCATCTTCACTGTGATCAAAGAACAAGCGCTGCTTGTTCTTTTCTTTTTCTACTGCTTGTCGTTGTTCTTGTCCTTCTTCAGCTTCGTCGTCTTCGTCGGAAGTACTGTCATCACAGTACCCCGGAACATCTTTCACGGGGCCATACATGAAACCCTTGAAGGGGTCCGCCTTCCCGCACATGTCCTGAAACATCATCAAGCGAAAGTCTCCATCAACAATTAACCTCCGAAACGGGCTTGCCTGCGAGACCGCGGCGTTAACCGCCCCGAGAATCCGCATGTTTTCCACGGACCGCCAGAAGTTGCAGGTGCCGCCGGGCCCGAAGGTGAACTCGCTGGCGTTCGGGATTTGCAGATGCTGAATTTTTATCCTATGCAAAAGCATCGTACTCGTATTGCAACCATGCATCACAGATCTTTCTCTTAAGGTAAATCCGCATTTTCTCATGCTGAGAAATTTTGTAATGCATTTATACGAGTACGATTATACTTTTGCAATGCATAATTTTCACTTGATCAGCCGTCTCCCCAAGCCCGTAGTACGCTTGATAGTACCCCGGAGTGATGGAAATGTCTCTATAATTTCCCGGTTTGAACAACACTTGCACCCGCGACTGGTCCGATCGGTCAAACTCGCGACCCGGGTACGTGGGGATCTCGGTGTCCCGGAAGTTGTTCACAGATATCCTGTTTGGTTCGTCGCGCTTCAAATTGTCGAAAAGCTGCTCGTATGAACTGCAAAAGTATCGTACTCGTATAAATGCATTACAAATTTCCTCAGCATGTAATGCTGATTTGCTTTCACAAAAAAAATTTGTGATGCAAGACTTGCATTTATACGAGTACGATACTTTTGCACAGGATAGCTCGCTCAATCTATTCGCCTTGTGCGGGATCCTCGCGAACTGACGGCCCTTATAAAAAGGAAAGATGCCCCCCCATATCGAAAACGAAATTTGTGATGCTGGACTTCCGCACAGTCTTGCAGTAGAGGACTGCAGGCCCATATCATGCCAATGTCGAGCGGCTTTGGCCTAGGCCCTTAGCATGAGGAACGCGAACGTCTATGCTGTAGGACCGACAACATTACCAACCGCCTGCATAATGGGGCGGAGCCCATGTCGTTGCTTTCTAACAAGACAAACACGATTTGTGGCCACATATCAGCATCACAAATTCGCTGAGGCGTTCCTTTTCCATACGGGGAGGTGGGATTTTTCCTGACGATAGTCCTGGCTGGGACGCTCACGGTTGCTCAGGATAGAGGATTTCTGCAGGCATTTGGGGTAGAACTTCTCCCCTCCAGTGGATACACTGCTGCGTGAACACCGACGACCGGATGAATCTTTATGTTTACCATCATCTAATATCTCGTCGCTAATATTTCTATCCGCGGGGGCTTGCTCTTGACGGTCTTTTCCACCAGAACAAGGTCTTGTTTCTAATACTGTAGAAGAAGCTCTACTTCTGCATTTCTGTTCCATCTCCTTCAGCAGCAATAGCCCCTTTTCCGGGCACGACCCCCGTTCCAGTGCGTAACCCAGAGAGTCCTGTCCGCCCCAAATGTTTCGCTCGATGTTCGTTTCGAAATTCCAGGGAAACCAAGGCTGGTCCTTTGGGTAATTCGGCCGGGGCTTTCCTTCAGAGAAGATGTTATCCAAGACTGTCTGCAGATTTTTCGTTTCCGCATCATTCTTCGGCGGCTCGATAACAACAACGTGGTGGCCCCAGTCCGGGTGCATAGGCTCCACCTCGTCGCAGTTGTTGTATAATTGTGCGTAAGAAAAACGTGTGTGTCCCCTTCCACTCCGAGACTTCTTGCTATGCATACTTATTTGCATGCCCAGATTGTTGTAAGTATCTCATGCGCAGTTGGAGCCTGATGTTAAGCAGCAGTTTCTTATGCTGTCTGGAACTTTTTGGTGATCCTCTAATCAGCAAAAAGAGCCACTTAGATTTGTGATGCCTCTGCACTAGCCAACCATCGGACATCAATCCTAGAGACACAAACTTGTCAGGAGGCCAGATATTACTTACCCAATAAACCTTGTTGGTTTGTGTTGCAAAATTCCTATGCTCACTCTGGGCTGGGGACCACGTCGCTACTTTTGCTCAGGATATTATGTCTTGTCCTTGTCTATTTTCCTCTTCTGCCACAAAGAACTTGGACAACATCCGGACGTCTTGATGCGCATTACCAACAAGGAGATCATGATCTACTTCATGTTCGTCATCATCTGGCACACCTGCAGAAGTAGATCCCGTCTTCAAAACAGCCGCCGAAACTACTGGTGCGCCGGCACTTGTTTTTCCGGACCACAACGGGAAATAAGAACCACAAAAAAGTTCCGCCGTAAAGAATATGCATTGCAAAAATGTCTGGGTCTGGAAAAATGTAGGACTTGTTATGCTTGTCTGGCATGCCTCTTGGATCTACTGTGATGCGTAAGCAGGAACGGGGCCTCTTGCCTGTCATGCAAAAACGCAGTTTGCCATGCAGAAAACGAAACACATGGCAGTGCAAAAACTTGTCATGCTTGGCTGCATATTTTAGTGCGCCCACCATTCAGAGATTTGCATCACAAATTTCCAGACCCAGACATTTTTGCATTTGATAAAGAACAGCTGCAGTGCTGTTCCCGCCGCAAAGGAAATCATCGTCCTGAAGACCGCAGACCGAGCTATATCAAGGTGAAAAAAAATTCCCCCTCCCCATATTAAAATCGAAATCTGTGATGCGGGACTTGTGTACACAGCTCGAGTCTGTCTTGCAGTAGAGGACTGCGCGCAGATCCGAGGCCTAGGCTGGGGCCTTTTGCTGTAGGCGCCTCGCATGACAGACATCTTCCTTATAGGCCTTACCGCATTACAAATCGCCTGCATAGCGTGCCGGACTGTCTGCACTTGCCTTCATGCAAGACAGACAGCATTCGTGGTCACAAATTTGCATGGCAAATCTTCAAGAAGGATGCACTTTCGATATGGGGAACGAAATTTTTCCGCACAATAAGCTAGTCCGGACGAAGGTAGTTCGCGATGGAAAGAGCATGTGTCTTCCCCAGCAGCACGACGAGCGGAAAACTTCCAACGTGGAGAATCTTCACGAGCGGAGGTGCGACGTCGACTTTCGGTGCTACGCAAATGGAGGCTGGTGAATATTTTCCTCTTATTTTTTCCAACCAGGAGGACACTGCGAGAAGGCGAATTTGTTTCCGAAAACTGTTGTGTCTGTCCTGGGACAAAATTTTTTTGCTGGCTAAAAATAAACGACATTTTGTATTGCTTTACTCCAGGTAGTTGCACTTGCAAGAACTCTGGTCACAACAATAATCAACACAAAAATATCAAAAAAGAGACAGTAATAGACAGTAGACACAGAGTGACAACTTACACAAGCGGACCTCCGCGAACGGGAAAAACTCTTCCGGTGTTCGTGTTTGTCGACTTGTAAACTAGCCCTGTCCTACTAAATCCACTTCACCTTCTTGCTAAGTTCATCTAGAGGTTGACATGGAGTTGAAAAAAAAATGATTTAGTCGATGTCTAACAAGGTACTACCCTACGTGCTTATTGTTAAAAGTATGTTGACCGGCACGCAAGACGTGTTGAGATTACTATTTAAAAGTACTATGCTCGACGTATTGAGATTGAGATTGACCCAGCCAGCCGCGTCCAGGAAAATCATTCACATTTGTGTTTTTTATCAACTGGCACCTCTGACGGGAGGACGAGGAAGTTTTTCTTTCTCCATGTCTATGTATGTAGCCGCGTTTTATTTTTCTTGACTTGCTATACGACTAGTTTTTCTAACCGCCCCTCTATATTTAGTACCAACTTCGACTTCTGAACGGGAAAAAGCTTTCCGATGTTCGCCGAAGGGTATTTGTTTTTGAAGAATATCCTACGTAAAAACGCCCCCCACCGACCCCATCGTTGTCATGCTAATCTGCATGCATTGCATGTTTCTCATGCGGAGCCCCGTGACAAAAATGCTCTAGTAGTGTTTTGGAATAATTTGCGTTGCTCCAATCAGCGCAATATGCTAGGTCTGTGATGCTCCTGAACTAGCTCAACAGGATTACATTACGGGACCAAACGTGTCATGCGCAATAACCGACTCTGGTTGATTTGTCTACCAGATTTGCCATCTTGACTCTCGGGTGGTCGTGGGGACGCTTTTGCTCAGGATCATACAGAAAGCTAGTAAACCATCACCACCATCTTCATGACACAACCCGGAGAGATCTCTCCAAGGTTCTTCGGGCGGGTCCTACCCAAAGAGTAAGGAGGTAGTGTCGCGACACGAGGTCGTTGTATTTTTAGTTTATCGAAATGTCGCTCGGATGGTGCTGACCTTTAGTTATAGATACTCGTTGATCATGATCTCTACAAAAATTGAAATTCCCAGACCACACTGACTGGAAACTCTTTTTTATACTGTGCCTGAAGAAAAAAATCGGTAGCAGAGCGGCGGAGGTAAATTGGTATCGATATCGATATGCACTACATCATACAGTAAAATAATCTCATCGACCACTTCTATCTTTCTAAGGGTGCAGAAAACAGGATCGATTTGGCAGTTCACTTAAAGTGTGAAGATTCTCGTTCTTCCATTCTGCCCATCTCGGGAGATGATCATGAGCCGGATAATCAATTGCTATTGCACGGCACCAGCCTTGCCTTGGCTGCATTACTGGATCCTAGTACATCGTGATCTATGAAAACAGATACTTAGTACTCGACCGCTAGCTGGACTTCAGCTTTATGGAGATCTTCTACGAGTACTTCTACTGCTAGCACATCACGACTGCTCGATCTCGATCAAAAGCGTGCAGTTCTTGCAAGTTGATCTCCAGCCTCTGCCATGATCAAGATAACGCTTCGGAGCTTTCGGCTTGTCCCAGGTTTGTCCCACCTCTGTCTCAGGTTTGTCCAGTCCCACCCCTGGCTCAGGTGCGTCCCAGGTTTGTCCCACCTCTGTCCCAGGTTTGTCCCACCTCTGTCCCAGGTTTGTCCTCCCACCCCTGTCCCACCTCTGTCCCAGGTTTGTCCCACCTCTGCCTCAGGTTTGTCCCACCTCTGTCCCAGGTTTGTCCCACCTCTGTCACAGGTTTGTCCCCCTTCTGGCACACCCCTGTCACAGGTTTGTCCCACCCCTGTCCCAGGTTTGTTCCACCTCTGTCAAAGGTTTGCCACACCTCTGTCCCAGGTTTGTCCCACCCCTGTCCCAGGTTTGTCCCACCCCTGTCCCAGGTCTGTCCCAGGTTTGTCCCCGGTCTGTCCCAGGTCTGCCCAAAGTTTGTCCCAGATTTGACCACGACGGACTACGAAAGCACTTAAAGCACACACGCGACTACGATCCGCAAGTACGATATACTAGGACCTTCACACTGTCTGCTATCGGTATTTATAGTGGAATCTTGTTGTACTTGTACAACTACAACCGACATCCATATTTATTCGCGGCACACACACACACGTAGGAAGTTCTACACTTTGTCTTTCGCGGCACACATGATGATGAGCATGCGTAGTAATTTCGAACACCAGCTCGAGGTCAGGTGTTCGCGGGAAAGTTTTTTTCCACTTCATGGAGGATTTTCCCGATAGTTTGATGTTGTCCGAATGGATTATGTTTGTGCTTACGTGAAAAATCGTACAGATGGATCATCAACACAATCTCGAGGATGATCGTCGTGGAGCTTTTGTTCAATACTTACGTCTACATGCTTCTAGAAAAATTATACATGGTTCTGGTGCTGACGAGTCCGTTTTGGTGGAGAGAGACGAGAGGAGCACGTGGATTTTTAAAATCATGGCTGTATGCACTGTGATTATATCTCTTTTTTTTTTTCAATTTGATGAATAAAATATAGCCAGGCGCATCAAGAGGCTCGCCACTCCCTGGCCCAACGTGTGGCCCGACGTGAAATCCAGGAGAGCACATCACGCGATTGTTGCCTTCTGTAAGACTGCCGGCAGTCTTCTACCTGCATCTTCTGCTACTTATCTATCATCTTCTGAGTACTTCACGCCAACGCTTTCGACATCGCAAAATACAATAAGTAACGCCATGAGATAATTGCTGTCAAAGTACTTCCTTCTTTCAAAACTACTTCTTCCTTCAAAACTACTTCTTCCTTCAAAACTACTTCTTCCTTCAAAACTACTTCTGATAGACAAGGCACGTACGTGCTTTTTGTGCAATTAAATTCTTTAACCAGTGAATCTTTAAGCTCCCGCCAGTACTTTTACTCTATGTTCATGCGACTCATCCTGAAATTCCGAAAGTAGAGTTGAAGTTTCGATACTATTAATAGAAAAGCCTTTTCTTGTCTATTGTCTTGTGTTAAAGTTGTAGCGCTCGTCGATTCCCCACGGAAAAAAATCAACAAATCCCTATCCTTCCGAGACAACGACTCACGGCTTCTCTTTCCGAGCTTTCAAAGGACTTCGGCTGGAACTGCCACGTTGACCACGGCCGCGGGGCTGGGCACTAGGGAGGTGATCTACCCAACTGATGATCTACCCAACTGAGGTGATGATGATGATCTACCCAACTGAGGTGGAAGCTGTGGTCTTCTTGGCTCTGATCGACGGACGTATTCCTGCGCCACAGACAGCTTCTGGTCCACCAAACGAAGCTTCTGCATCCACATCGGATGAAATTCCGATTCGGTAAGCAGCTCCGGGACCAAACCCTGAATCCGCCCTTTATTGCTGAGCAACTCGTCCTTTAGCTGAAGAAGCTGCCGCTGCGCAAAAAGAAGCACCAGCCGCAGCCGCCCAGCCGCAGCCGCAGAAGCGCCAGCCGCAAACTGTTCGGCCGTCGGCCGCATGACGAGAAGCAGCCCCGCATGGTTTACACCGACTCCACGAGCTCCAGGACGGAGCTTCGACTCCACCAGGAGAAGCGTCTGATTATGAGAGAGAAGCTCGGGAATAACGTCGGGCCAGGAAGACGGATCCAAAAGACCACGGCGACGAACGTCCCACTGCTTCCGAAAAAGCTCCGACCATAGCTCAAGGAGGTCTGCCCGAGTGTCGGTCAGCCCCTCGCTCTCCGAAAAAAATATCCTGCGTAAAAGCGTCCCCGTTCCAGAGTCAATAATACATGGGCTTTTTGCTACACCAACCAGCCTTTTTTGGGTGTCGCGCATGACAAGCTTGGACTCGCAGTGTCGTAAGTACTAGTTGTGCTGGTGAGCTATTGTATCTGCATCAGAAATCGATCCACTACTCATCCTGATTCTAGCACGACAAAAACTGCCAGGCAGCATTAGAGAATGCTGCTCCTGGGGCGGCGCGTGAGAACAAGTATTGCAGATTTTCAGGAAGACACGTCTGGCGTGAAGAAGCTTTTACACAGGATAACGTACCTTTCAAAGTCCGAAAACGAAAATAGTGGAAATTCAAGACCTCCCGATTCATTCTTCGCCAATTCGTCTAGATATTCAACGACCTCTCGACTAGATGAGCAGCGAGAGCGAGCCTCTGATTCGACCTGTGTAAGGGTAAGATTTTGCTCCCGCCCGAGTAGCCGTTTTATTACAATGAAAAATGTCCCCACCCCCGAACTTGAAAGCATTTGTATTGCAAACCTTTCCAAATGAAACATTCGCCCTCTTGCATGTATCAGCATCACAGATTTCCGATCGTGAATAGCAAAAATTTGTATTGCAAAAGA